TCGAACACCAGTCGGGTGCGTGTGCCTTGTATCTGTTCTTGGGAGCTGGCCTCTAGCTGCAGCCCTCCCGGCAGATGTCGACCATCCAGAATCTCAGGAAGTCTTTGGTTAGAAACTGGAGGCCTGTTTGCAGTTTGGTAGGGGATGCCCCTTTCCCCTCCCCCGTGCCTCCTGCCTCCTGCCTCTGGTGGGGGATGGGCCAGTCAGCCACAGGCTAGCTCTTCTCTGGAATTGCTTAGTCCCTTTGTTCTGCGAACCGCAGGCAGGGTGTTCCGCCAGTTAATTTTCTCTCTCTTGCTATCCCACAGTTTTAAGTTGCTATCTCACGTTAGCTCCCTCCGATTGCCCTCAGGGCATTCGGGCCGGTCCTTACCCTAAGCAATGCCCCCCCCCCCCCCGCCCCGCCCCGCCCCGCTCCTCTCCCTTTCGCCCCCACTTGCTGGATGCGGGGGTCTAGGGTACTTTTCTTCTGGGAGTTGCTTTTAGGCATGTAATCTGTGGGTTTTATTTATTTTTCCTCCCAGTTAGGTTGCCCTCTGAGATTCAAAAACTTCCCCCAGACCCGCCAGTGAGAGGGTTTCCTGGTGTTTGGAAACTTCCTCTATTACGACTGCCTTCCCAGGATGGGTCTCCGTCCCTAGCTCTTTTGTCTCTCTTTTTATCTTTTATATTTTGTCCTACCTCCTTTCGAAGACAATGGGCTGCTTTTCTGGGCTCCTGATGTCTTCTGCTAGCGTTCAGAAGTTGTTTTGTGAAGTTTGCTCAGCGTTAAATGTTCTTTTGATGAATTTGTAAGGGAGAAAGTGGTCTCCCCGTCCTATTCCTCCGCCATCTTGGCTCCTCCTCCGGGAGTGTTCATTTTTAAAAGCCACTATGTAGAACAGTATGGAAGTTCCTGAAAACACTTAAAAAAAAAAAAGACTGGCAAGGGTAGATTTGATCAGTATTTAAAGAGCCTTCTCAGTCATTTTGCATGCTCCATTTCCAGTTCTCAGGAGGCTTTCCTCTCCAGAATTTGCGAGCTGACTGTGATCCAAAGGCAGACCTTGTTTCCCAGCTGAGAACTAACCATAAGAAGCACAGGCCTCCCTTAAGCAGAATGTGGTGTAGTGGTCTTTGGGCTGTGCTATAAGCACAAACTGAAGCCAAGTGAGGCTTAGGATAAATGCTTTTTGAACATTGCATAAATTCTAGACTTGGAGTGGGGGGGTGTTCTTCCAACTTGTTGGTTTGTTTCCATTCTCCTATCCTTTGCCAGGAAATCTTAGGCTGCCTTCCTTCAGTTAGGGCTTTATTTAGCGTTAGTTAAGCAGAAACAGTTAGAATGGAAGCCCAGAACTTGTAGGAGATTTCACTGCTGTACCAGGTTGGTTTTCCCTCTGTTTATTGCAGCGCTCTGAGTGAGCTGGGATACTGCTTTCTCCCCTAGCACCTCCTTCTTAGGTTATAAGACCTACCACGCAAATCTGCACTTCAGTTATCAGGCTGGCTTCTAATACATTCTCCATGATAACGGCTGCAGACAGCTTCTGGTAGACACTGGCATGGTTCCCCAGGCATTCCCCTCCTACCCCATAGCCCTTGGCCTTCTTTCTGTCTAGGCTTCGGAGTTTATTGGAACCCATATGGCGCAATTCAGCAACCTCTCAGGTAGCTCTGTCCTTTGTACATGTTCAGTCACAGGATTTTGACGTTGGCTTTTCCGTTTATCTGAACCTATCTTTTTTTTGGAGGGGGTCATGTTATGCCGCTTGTGGGATCTTAATTCCCTGACCAGGGGTTGAATCCAGGCCTCCAGCAGTGAAAACACTGAGTCCTAACCACTGGACCACCAAGGAATTCCCAGAAACTCTTCTTAACCTTTAGGAATTCTTTCAATATTTTGATCACTGATTGTATCTTCCTTAGTTTTCCAGTGCTACTAAAGACAATTTTTCCTTTTTATATTTTTTCCTAGGAATTTCAGTGAGATTTATGAAAGGAGAAGATAAATTAGTGGGCTCAGCTCATCACCCTGTAAACAGAAGTCTGCACTTAGTTTAGGGAAAAATTAAAGGGAGAATTAGAGGAAAAACATAGACAATAATAATATCTAACTGTTAAGTGCTTTCCTTGTATCCTTAATGATTTTATGTGTTTTACTTGTGTTTATTCATTTAATCCTCCCCAGACTTGGAGATGTTTAGGTACTATTATGATTCCCTTTTTTACTCATGAGAAAATTGAAGCACTGAGAGATTGGTAACCTGTAAGAAGTGGTAAAGTGAAGACTCCAGTCCAAGGATGTCTGGCTTCAAAGCCTGACAATTAAAGAATGTTTTCAGTTCTTTCGGGAAATTTCCTATGAAGGAAGGTATTATCAGTGATTATTAATTCCTTTAGAAATTTGATTAAAAAAGAAAAACAGACAGTAGCTGGTATGTGGCAAGAGTTGAAAGAAGATTATGTTTTTACAGTGTAAAGACTTGAGTGTGTTGGTTGAGGATTGGGGAAGATCCAGTTATGTGCACAGACTGAAAATGTAATATTACAATAAAACATTCAGGGGAGAAGCATACTACTAAATTAGGCAAGAAAGATGAGTTTTTGAGGCTGAATGAATGGTGTACCTTACAAATGTGAAGGAATGTTTTTTCCCCTGAAATGAGAGGGAAGAAAAAGGTGATTGTTGATGTTAAGAAACTTTCGGGTGGGGCGAGGAAGAGTAAGGATGCCTGTGTTAAATTATCTGCTTGGCTAGGTAGAAAGTCGAAGTTGTTTATTAAGGGAAGGGCAGTGTAAAGAGCTGTAATTGGGAACAGAAAAAAAGGTTTGGAGTAAGTGCTTTGGGGAACAATTACCAGTTTCTGATAATCATTATTAAATTTTTTGTGCCTTCTTCCAGGGAGTTCTTTATAAATTCCTCATCTGGTTTTCCTTATATATATATATACACACACACACACATATATATATATATATATATAATTCTCTACATATATATAGAAAGCCATAATAGTATTTAGTGTGGCAGACATTAGCATATTACCAAGTACACTCCTTTCATTACCCAAATCAGCTAAAAAAAAAAAATTCGACATATGTTATCAATTATCAGCAAAATTAATAATAGCTACCACTAATTGAGAACCAATTGTGTTCTTTTTGTATTGTGCGTGTTTGTTGGTGATTCCTGACAGACATTGTTATAGACATTGTTATCTTTGTTACTTAAAAAACTGAGGCAAAAGAAGATGAAATGACAAGTAACTTATCCAGTTAAATGCTAAAGACATGGGTGAACCTAGGGCTCCTTCTAGTCATTGTATTTCCCTTATGCTAGCCTATAACTTCTTTTACGTGGTAGCATGAAAGGAGTGGTTCTTTGCCAGACAGCTACTGAGTTATGACCACAGACATGTGTGTGTCCCTTTTTTTATTCATATTCTTTTCCATTATGATTTATTACAAGATATTGAATATAGTCACTGGGCTATACAGTAGGACCTTATTGTTTATTCATTCTATATATTGATATAACATTAACAGTTTACATCTTTTAAACCCAACTCCTAGTACATCCCTCCCCCATATCCCCTACTCCTGTAACCATAAATCTGTTCTCTATGTCTGTGGGTCTTTTCTGTTTTGTAGATAAGTTTATTTGTGTCGTATTTTAGGTCCCACATATAAGTGATGTCATGTGGTATTTTTCTTTCTCTTTCTAAAGACTTCTTTTAAGTATGATAATCTCTAGGTCCTATGTTGCATCAAAGGGCATTATTTCATTTTTTTTTAAAGCTGAGTATTATTGCAGAGTGTGTGTGTATAAGGTTGGTCAAAACATTTGGGTTTTTCTATAAGGTGTTACCAGAAAACTTGAATGAACATTTTGGCCAATCCTACATACACATGCACGCATGCGCGCGCAGACACACACACACACACACACACGAATTGAAAAACCTGAAAGAATAATCCTACACACATACACACACACACACACACATACACATGTGTGCACAAACCAGAAAACTTGAAAGAACATTTTGGCCAATCCTACCCACCCACACACGCATCCTACAGACACACACCCATCCCCAAACACACACACATCTTTATTCTTTCATCTACTGATGAACATTTAGATTGTTTCTTTTCTTAGCCTGCACTGCAGGGCTTGTGGAATCTTAGTTCCCTGACCAGACATTGAACCTAGGTCCTTGACAGTAAAAGTGTCAAGTTCTAACCACTGGACCCAGGGAATTGCTTACATTGTTTCCATGCCTTGGCTAATGTAAATAATGCTGCTATGACATGTTCCTTTTTTAAGGTAACATACATTACACCTAGAGTAGTTCTAAAACTTGGTATTATTTCATTATCTATGTTTGTTCTACTGGAAGTCATTTATTTCTGTTTATCTTACAAGTATGATTACTCAGAATGACATACTGCAGTACATTCAGGGCCATTTTTTCATAATTGTTTCAAAGAATGAATGTTATTAGAGGTATTAATAGGTGTTCTAAAAAAGGGGAGTCTCCTAATAGAATGAATTTTGGAAACATTGCATATTGTATATCCCTTTGGAGAACTCAGTGTGTATTAGAGAATTAAAATCTAAAATAAAGATACATATTCTCCATCACTTCATTAATTTACTTGAAAATGGAATTTTGTTCGAAAGAATTTTCTGTTCATTATCTTAAGGCATTAGCATTCATTAGAACTCAGTTTAGTAAATGCTAATATATCAGTAGACTACAAGTAAGCCTCTGTTTTGGCACATTCTGGTTAGCCTTTCATCAGCTGAGTGTGTTTCATTGCTAGAGCTACTTACAGATCATGTTTGGAGGTATTCCAAATGAATACTTACTCGTTTATGCTAACCTTTCAATGATGCCAATACATCTTGCTTCTCATTGCTTTTCTGCTGCTGTTTCATTTTAAATAGTCTTTGCTTTTTCAGCACACTTCAATTAGAAATGTTTGCATGTTTTTTATCCTTGCCATTTCAGATATGGGAGAAAGGACTACCATAAATGTAAGTGCAGATGGCAACAATGGAACCGTAGAGGATGGTAGCGACAGTGAAAATATTCAAGCAAACGGAATTCCAGGAACACCAATTTCTGTTGCTTATACACCGTCCTTACCTGATGACAGATTGTCTGTCTCTTCCAATGATACTCAGGTAGAAATAATGGAAAAAGTCCTCTTCATCTTAAACATTGATAAGCTACCAACACCTTGTGGTGAATATATCCAGTTGATAGTGCTGGCTGATTTCAGTTTGAGGAAGTAAAAACTTTTTCTGACTGATATAAATCTGAGCAGTTTATTCATTTAAAATATTGATAGCTAAATTTCCAACTTGGAAGTATGTCTTGTAGGTGTTCACATCCCCCTCCTGTTGAAATTACATTTAAAAAAAAATTCTTATCAAATATTTATAGGATAATTCTAGTATACTAGGAGAAGAAAGAACTTTTAGCTAGAGAACATTGTCTTTGTTTAGGGCTACAGTGAAATCCATACTGTAGTAGTGATAGGTCCTCCTCATCCTTCCTCCCCTGTATTTGGTATATTTTTTCCTTATCTTTTTAGATAAGGGAGTCCTACCCTGAATCATTGCCCAATACATAGGGGTAAGTCTTCTTGGCCTTGCTGGCCTTCATCAGTTAACAACTTTTAAACATTGCCTGGATAGTCTCAACTGTCTTATGTCTTATCTGCACAGAGTAGACAAAATATAAAATAGGACAAAAATATAAAATACCCAAAGACAGGTAGTAGAAAGCATAGCTTAGGCCATGGATGAGGTATCTAATCAAGGCATGATGTGCTATTAGTAGTTTCTGTTAGTAATAGTATAAACCAAGTAAACTTTAAGAGTTTGGTAGCTGGGGGAATATTTTAAAAGAGATATTTATTGTTGGGGATAGGAGTGGCATGTCACCATAAAGAAAAGCCATGTGGCCCATTCCTCAACTGATTTTCCTTCCAGTAGAACCCCACACCCTACTAACTGAGTAAAGTATATTGAAGACCGATATGATTTTATACTGGTAAATGCCTTTATTTACACAGTGTGTTCACTTGTTTAGGAATCTGGAAATTCTTCAGGACCTTCACCTGGTGCTAAGTTTTCCCACATTTTACAAAAGGATGCCTTTCTAGTATTCAGGTCATTGTGTAAACTGTCAATGAAACCACTATCGGATGGACCACCGGATCCAAAGTAAGGCTTCAGCTGTTCTGCCTGACTAATGCAGATTTTGAAGCTTGAACCTTCTTGTGTCTTTGGGGTTTCTTTTTTCCTTTTTGTCTTTTAGGACCTTCAAAATTATTTTTTAGGATTATTTTACTTTAAAAAAAAAGGAATTAAAAAACAGTGTCAAAATTCAGCTAGAGTAGATGCCTTGCACTATTTCTGAAAGCACATGAACAGCATTATAGAATTGTGTCTGGTTCATTGCAGGTGCTCAGCAGGGATTGAATGACTGAGTGAATTATTTTTTCAGTATAGTAAGTAATGCTGGAAGTAATGTAGCCCTTTACATGTATCCTTATGCTAGGCACCTGAAAGCTACCAGTTGAAAAGTAATAAAACCTAAGAGAAATAAATCTTAAAAGTCAGAATGTAAGATAATAACATACTCACTAAGGTCTGAAAAAATGCCATAAGATAACTTCCTCCTGTGGGAAGCAGGAAATACTTTTAAGATAGGCGTCACTTGTCTGATTCCCATCATATATATTAGTTTAAACAGCAGGGAAGTGCCATTTTTCTAAGTCATAAATTGTCAAATGTCTTTCCATTTAGATGATTCCAGTGCAACTGATTCCTGCTGAAGATTGAGTTTGGGAGTTACTAGAGAGCTCTGCTGCTCTGATGTTGCAACATGATGTGTTATATAGAACGTCAGTTTTAGGAGAACTTTCTGCAATAAGACAGCTTGGAGAAGGCCTGAGTGATTTTTAGGAAGGAATATTGAAATAGGGGAAATTCATTTTAAAATTCATTTTAAAAACTCTTTCAGTTTCTAGATGTCAACTGGGAAGAAGACTGGAGACAGTTATAATAAAAACTTTATAAGTTTTGGGAAACCACATTTGTTACACTTTCTACAGTTTTGTTTTCTTTTGTCACAGATTACGGATTCAGTGAGAAACATCTTTTAGGCCTAGAAACCTCGAACTCTCAAATCTTTTTAGGCCCAAGTCCTGAGAGGCAGAAGTACAGTTTATTGATTGTTAACATATTTTTAAAATACAGATGCTACAGATTAAGGTTGTTCAGATTACAATATAAAAGTTGATTATAGCTATATATTTTAAATTTTTAGTATGAGGGGAGGCAGAAACTGACAATTTTGACATCTTATTCTGGATTGATGAAACCTTCTTTAAAGAGAAGATAAGGATTTGGTCTTAGGCCATTTTTGCCATGATTTAAAAGTATTATTGACCTTAAAAACCTTACATGTTTGGTTTTCCTAAATAAAATCTTTAATATTACAAAAGATAATTATGAGGATTAATGTAAAGTATCATCCTACATGGTGGGCTTAAATCAAATACTAGGGAATTTTTGTTGGACCATAAAAAAAACCTTAACAACCAGAATCATTAAATACTGAAACTGAATTTTGAAAGAGATTAGATTTTCCACCCCTAAAACTGTTCTTTTTCCAGAATATATGATTTTCTATCTTGAATGGTATTTTTCCAAAATTAATGATCTCTTGAATATAGTTACATAATTTTCTTTTTTGTCTTTTCTTTTCTTTGTATTTTGTGGCCTTTCTAAGATGGTGATCCAGAAATTGTTCTTTAAGCTGGAATCATATTAATAATTTGAAACTACCCCATGAAAAACTACAAACCTATAATTTCCAGCTTCTTTTGCCTGTCAAAAGTATACTTGTGTTATAAGACAGTGATTTGCTCATTTCTTCATTGATAGATATCTTATACTTAGTAGATACTTAATGTTTAGATAAGTACATGAATAAATCCATTGATTATTTTGATCCATGCTAACAAGGCATTCTGTTAGATGCTGGGAATACAACTGGCAAAACATTAAAATATTAAAACTCCTGTGTTAGAGAAGCTACAGGATTTAGTTACTGTTGGAATTGAGCAAAAAGGGTGATAAATGTGAGCTAGACTAGGAAGTAGCAGTAGTGGATAAGCCTGGGAAAGCTTGGCATCAAGGGGGAATACCTGGCCCACTCTGTACTTTCCTGTAGCTATGTTCAGTCTTAGCTCTCACTGTTTCTAACTTGATTTATCCACTTTTTGGCAGGGTTGTTGGTTTTGGTTTTGGTAATGCTATATTTGCTGTCCATACGGATTCTTAGATTCAGAGGCATAGGCCATCTTGGAAACATGACTACATATTAATGAGCTGTGATATTATTGGTTCCAGTTTTATTTCAAAGATGGCAGTATTTTTTTATTCCTATTTGCATAAAATTAAATATTCCCTGTTAGTTTTAGGTCCTTGAGTCACTTGACACTTTAACCATAAAATTTTTAAGGTAGAAGAAATCAAGAACAATTAAGTTTACTGTATGGTGGAAATAAGACTGAGTACAATTTGGAATAAATAAACGTAAGAACCATCTGCTAAGGATTTAAATGTGTCCTGTATTTGTAAAGTTCCCGAGAATAAATCACTCGATCTTCTTGGTCTGCTGGACTTAAAAAACCTGTTTCAATCGGAGAAAAATTGTATTTGTGAAATCCTGATAATTAAAATTCTAGATATTGATCAGAAAAATAAAATTTTAAAACTTAAGCTTTATATTTTTCAGCTTTTCATTATAAAAATAATTTATTAATAGAGTGAATGGGTAAGCTACTAAGAGGTACAAGTATTTTAAAAGCCTCAATTTTTTTTTTAAGTTTAAATGGTTACTGAAAAAGTAAGCTTTAAATAATGCTTCGTTAATGCCCTAATAGTGTTTTTTATTACTGTTCAGGATTTTTGAGTAGCATAACTTGGAAAAAAGTACTTTGGAAACTATTTATACTAAATTTGGCCCTTCATCTGAGAAGTTCACAATGATTTCTAAACAGTGAAATATATTTGTGAAAGAAGGGAACAAGGCATAAATCTTTTCTTGTTCAAAGGAACAGTAAGCTGATGTTAGATATGTGTGAATGATTGTTTTCCCATTTAAAAAATTCTTGAAGTTATGTGGTAGAAGAGAACACCAGTGAAACTACCTATTACTAGTGGCTAAGCTTATTTGTGTACTTTTCTTTTTTTATGCTGTAGAGTTTTTCTTTCCATGTAAAGGTTTATGAAATTATATGGTTATAGGAAATATCTTCAGAACAACCCATTGTCACCATGATGCTAAACTTGTCCACTGTCTTCTTTTTTGTATTTCAGGTCTCATGAATTACGATCCAAGATTCTTTCACTGCAGTTACTTCTATCCATTCTGCAGAACGCAGGACCTATTTTCAGGACAAATGAGATGTTTATTAATGCTATAAAGCAGTATCTGTGTGTTGCACTCTCAAAAAATGGAGTTTCATCTGTCCCAGAGGTTTTTGAGCTTTCTCTTTCCATATTTCTTACTTTGTTATCAAACTTCAAGACACATCTGAAGATGCAGATTGAGGTATGTTCTGCATTTAGGCATTGTTGGATGTTTCATTTGTTTCATGTTAAATCATATTTTAACAGTGGAAAGTTGTTTAGAACATGAAATAATATTTGTGTGTTGTTGTATAACATTTGCTTACAAAGTGCTAAGCACTCAGTAAGCCCTAAGAATGCCAAATCAAATTAAGACATAGCTCCTGCCTTCACGGAATTTATAGTAGTTCCACAAATGATTTTAATTGTCTTGAATTAATTTGGTCCTCACAATAACTTTCCTATTGTATATAATAATGAATTTGGTTATCTTGAAAGGAAGCTCTAAATAAATACTTTGTCTACGTGGTTTTAAGCTATTTTAAGTTTTTAGTACTTTAAAGAGGTGACCAAGAAGAATTATATTTTAGGGGTTATATTTGAAATTTTAACTTTCGTGTTTTTTCCCCAATGTACGTATTATATTCCTCAAGTTTTCTCTCAACATCATTGGAACTAGAATAACAGTTACATCATTCTAAAATATTTCCAGAGACTTAGCAAAATGGAACTAGGGGATGTTCCCAACCATGGCATATATTATGCAAGTGTACCAATTCATGATCTTTTTTCCACACCTTCAAATAATTCAGTATATAAAAACAGTACTTTATGTTTTACCTATTTAATGGGTTTCTTTTTATAGTTTGTCCTTTGTGGAAATACTGTTTCGGTTGGGACATGATATATTTTAGAAACACTTTTCTGCTAGTCAACTTTTACCTTCATGTTTTGTTTGATATGGTGTACAGGTTACATTTTAATTTTTAATCCTGGCTCAAAACTAATAATTCATTAGCGCACAGGAAGGATACATTATTATTTTCCTAGAGTTTTGATATCTCCTTTATTATAAATGTTCTGTAGTATCAAAATTCATGTAGCACATTATTATGGGAATAAGACAGAATAAGGCTTTGGTATTTAAAGTAAAAACTTTTTAATTTGGGTCCTATTTTTGGACAAGAAGCAGTTTCTGGTGCATTTTTGTTGTAAAGTTTTTGAAGTTTGCCATATGTTAAAATAATACAAGGAAAAACTAGAAAGTTACTATTTTTAGATAGTTTTCTCTCATTATCTTCAGGAACTACAAATAAGAGACTTTAAAATAAAAACTTATGGAACTTAAAAGTATTTCATTTGATGATGAGGCATTTAAATTGACATTAGAGAATTTTGGAAGACTTTTGTGCATTCAGTTACTACCAGTCTGAGATGACTACTACTGAGATGACTGTGAAGTATGAATTCTTATAGAACCAGATACCATAAAGCCCATTTAAGTTGTGATTACTGTTTCTATAAAGTAAATTTGATATAAAAAAATTTGTGTAGGCATGAATTTAAAGGGAAATACTTACAGAAATTTCCTGTCTGTTCATAGATGGAAGATTCTCATTAAAACTATTGTAGTAATAGTCTTTTTTTTTTTAAAGCAATCAGGTTTATTTCACTCTCGATTGTCCCCTGTGGGGAGAATATGAGAATAAAACAAGATAAGTATAGATATGTACTCTGTTTTGAGAGTACTGAACATATTCAAACACAGGATGAACTGTGTTCCATTTGGAGAAAAGCCAACATAAGACAACCTAAATTTGGAAAACAAAATTGAGATGGTTGTTACATGAAAATTTATGAGAGTATTCACTTCAGAGTTTTTATAATGTGATTTTTCCTTGGGTAGTAACTTACATATCTATTTCAGAAAATACAGTTTATACACACTTTTTCAAGACAATATCTATTATGTGAAGACAAAGTACTTCTGTTATTTTACATGTATTTCATGATAGGTGCTCTGTAAATCTATAGAATTTTTTTTAGAGCCCCTGTTGATCGGCATGGTGTCTTAAATTACTCTGATAGTCTCCTGCTTAGTGCAATTCAATAACCCATACATAGTAGCTAAAGACTTTTCCCCCCGTTTCTCCAAATTTGTGTTTTTTATTTATCCCATAAATGAGCCAGATTCACACTGATTCACAGCACCGTTAGAGCTTCTCATCTTTCCATGTTGTACTTAGTCCAGATGAAATATCCAACAATTCCATTTATTAAACAGTTAGGTCCAAACAACTAAACAGTTATTTTTCTGAACAATGAAGTCTGCATTAAATTGAAGAAAGTAGGGAAAACTCTAGCCCATTAAGGTATGACCTAAATCAAATCCCTCACAATTATACAGTAGAAGTGATAAATAGATTCAAGTGATTAGACCTGATAAAGTGCCTGAAGAACTATGGACTGAGGTTTGTGACATTGTACAGGAGGCTATGATCAAAACCATCCCCAAGAAAACGAAATGCAAAAAGGCAAAATGTTTGTCTGAGGAGGCCTTACAAATAGCTGTGAAAAGAAGAGATGTGAAAGGCAAAGTAGAAAACGAAAGATACACACATTTGAATGCAGAGTTCCAAAGAATAGCAGAGAGAGATAAGAAAGCCTTCCTCAGTGATCAGTGTAAAGAAATAGAGGAAAACAACAGAATGGGAAAGACTAGAGGTCTCCTCAAGAAAATTAGAGCAAGGGAACATTTCATGCACAGATGGGCACAATAAAGGACAAAAATGGTATGTACCTAATAGAAGCAGAAGATATTAAGAAGAGCTGGCAAGAATACACAGGAGAACTATACAAAAAAGATCTTCACGACCCAGATAATCACGATGGTATGATCACCAACCTAGAGCCAGACATCCTGGAATGTGAAGTCAAGTGGGCCTTAGGAAGCATCACTACGAACTAAGCTAGTGGAGGTGATGGAATTCCAGTTGAGCTATTTCAAATCCTGAAAGATGCTGCTGTGGAAATGCTGCACTAAATATGCCAGCAAATTTGGAAAACTCAGCAGTGGCCACAGGACTGGAAAAGGTCAGTTTTCATCCCAATCCCAAAGAAAGGCAATGCCTAAGAATGCTCAGACTACCGCACAGTTGCACTCATCTCACAAGCTAGTAAAGTAATGCTCAAAATTCTCCAAGTGAGGCTTCAGCAATACGTGAACCATGAACTTCCAGATGTTCAAGCTGGATTTAGAAAAGGCAGAGGATCCAGAGATCAAATTGCCAGCATCCATTGGATCATTTAAAAAAGCAAGAGAGTTCAAGAAAAACATCTGCTTTATTGACTGTACCGAAGCCTTTGACTGTGTGGATCACAGTAAAGTGTGGAAAATTCTGAAAGAGATGGGAATACCACACCATCTGACCTGCCTCCTGAGAAATTTGTATGCAGGTCAGGAAGCAACAGTTAGAACTGCAGTGGGACAACAGACTGGTTCCAAATATGGAAAGGAGTATGTCAAGGCTGTATAGTGTCTCCCTGATTATTTAACTTATATGCAGAGAACATCATGAGAAATGCTGGGGTGGATGAAGCACAAGCTGGAATCAAGATTTCCGGGGGAAATATCAATAACCTTAGTTACGCAGATGACACCATCCTTGTGACAGAAAGCAGAGAAGAACTAAAGAACCTCTTGATGAAAGACAAATACTTCCATTTGAAAGACGAGAGTGAAAAAGTTGGCTTAAACCTCAGCATTTAGAAAACTAAGATCATGGCATCTGGTCCCACCACTTCATGGCAAATAGATGAGGAAACAGTGGAAACAGGGACAGACTTTATTTGGGGGGGGGGGCGCTCCAGAATCACTGCAGGTGATGACTACAGCCATGAAATTAAAAGACTCTTGTTCCTTGGAAGAAATGCTGTGACCAACCTAGACAACATATTAAAAAGCAGAGACATTACTTTGCCAACAAATGTCGGTCTAGTCAAAGCTATGGTTTTTCCAGTAGTCATGTATGGATGTGAGAGTTGGACAGTGAAGAAAGCTGAGCACAGAAGAATTGATGCTTTTGAACTGTGGTGTTGGAGAATACTCTTGAGAGTCCCTTGGACTGCAAGGAGATCCATCCAGTTCATCCTAAAGATCAGTCCTGGGTGTTCATTGGAAGGACTGACATTGAAGGTAAAACTCCAATACTTCAGCTACCTGATGTGAAGAGCTGACTCATTTGAAAAGACCCTGGTGCTGGGAAAGATTGAGGGCAGGAGGAGAAGGGGACGACAGAGGATGAGATGGTTGGGTGACATCACCGAGTCAATGGATGTGAGTTTGAGTAAACTTTGGGAGTTGGTGAGGGACAGGGAAGCCTGGCGTGCTGCAGTCCATGGGGTCACAAAGAGTCGGACATGACTGAGCCATTGAACTGAACAGAATTGAAGTCTGCATTTGGGGGCGGGGTTGGAAGTACACATAAATTGAAAGAAAAAATGTTTTATGTCATTGTTAAATAGTTAGCAGTTACTGACTACTGGAATGCATGAGCCAATAGGACACTGCACAACTTCTCAGACCTTGAAATCAAACTGGACACTGCCACCATCATTTCTTACTTTGATTTTCATGCACTACCTGCTTCTTTTCATAGCAACCACTAAACCCCAGGTTTTCAAAAATGATGATATCACTGAAAGGAATGTAGTGTGATCTAATTGATGATGAATCTGTGAACAGTCTTTTGAGGTATCCACAGATACTCAGAGGGACTGTTTTATTTCCCTCTGAATTTTCCCTCAGAAATTCTCATGGCATCCCTCTTGAGTTTGCTGCAGCATTCTGGGGTGCCTTGGTGCAGTATTTGGGAGCTGTGAGTGCAAATATGCATTGAATGCCTACTGTATTTGCCATGCAGTGTTGACACAATACTTAGCAACAATGACCTTGTATCTACCCTCTTAGAGCTTACAGTCTTACAGGAAATACTGACATTGGACAAGTCTTGGAAATATGTTAAATTTTGTGAAAGAAAAGCTCATTACAAGGGTACATGACCCATTTTGGGAGGAGAAGATGTTATTAGTCCTAAATTATAAATATGAATTTTTGGATTCATAATAGCATGTGCCATAAAAGTTTTTATGTTGTTCTAGGTTTTCTTTATCACTCATCCCCTCTTAAGTTACAGTTACTTTTCCAAAATAAATATGTCTGAAAATTTTTAGCTCTTAAATTGAAATTAATTACATTAACTAAACCCTTTGTGCTTGACATTATTTGATGTAAAGAATAGTTAGAAATAGTTTTATAGCTTTCAGACAGGTTTCCACTTGTGTGAATAATTATAAAAATATAACAGTATATGAGAATTAGATCCTTTTTATTGTGTAGATTATAACATTATTTACTTTAAAATCTAGGAACCCTCAGGCTTGCCCAGTACTATAATGTCTGAAAAAATGTAACTGATGAATATAGTTTATGGTCTACAGGAGATTAAAAAATGAAATAGGAGTTTTATTAGTTTTGTAAATATATTTAAGAAATAATCTCCTAGAACTCCAGATTTTTGCAGATTTCTTTTGTAGTGACTGTGTGATAACAAAATACAGTGATGTGAAGTACAGTTCTTTTATTGCAAAGGCCAGTGGAAGTGACCAAGTCACGTTACTGAAGTCTTGACTTTTCAGAAACAGAACTCTAAAGGAGTTGAACCCCAGGATCCTGGGTCCTGATCTTTGCTTTACAACTTAGGGACATTTACAAGATCACATATATGAATTATAAACAATATTTTAAGTAGAGGTTTTTCCCTAATCACAGGTGTTCTTTAAAGAAATTTTCCTATATATTTTGGAGACCTCTACCAGCTCATTTGACCACAAATGGATGGTTATTCAGACATTAACAAGGATTTGTGCAGGTATTTGAAATTATCCTTCTTTATTATCTCTTTCTTAGTGTGAGATATTTAAAAGGCCATATTCTAGATACCTTTTGTTAAAATTAACATATTGCACTGTTACAGATGCTCAGAGCGTAGTGGATATATATGTAAACTATGATTGTGACTTAAATGCAGCAAACATATTTGAACGGCTAGTAAATGATCTGTCAAAAATTGCCCAAGGACGAGGCAGTCAAGAACTTGGTATGAGTAATGTTCAGGTAAGAACTTGAAATTCATGTTCAAATTGGAACTTTGCCGAGGAAGAGCTGTTTGTTATTCCTTAAGAGATTTGTTGTTTTAATTGCTTTTATGAATTCTTTTATAGGAGCTGAGCCTAAGGAAAAAAGGTTTAGAATGCTTAGTGTCAATTTTGAAGTGCATGGTTGAATGGAGCAAGGATCAGTACGTGAATCCCAACTCACAGACGACTCTTGGTAAGCTGATGTTTGAACCTAATTTTTCGTCATTTAAGTAAGTGATACTGTGGAGGATGGTTGCAGATGCCACTGAACCAGTTTCATGACATCATTCCCATTTAGCTGATGAAGCAGAGTTCTCTGTGAGTTAAATAACAAACTTAAAATTATGAGTTTCCCAACTTAGTTATCCAAACTTTTTTCTTTCTAAATCTTCCAGAAGTATTTTGAATATCATATTAAAGTGAATCATGTTTATGCAGCTTTGTTAGAGGATAATTATAGAAGAAACATATAAAAACCAGAAATATTTTAAGAAGATTGACTTGTTCATTTATGTTTGACATTTACCCTTACTCAGAGAAAAATTCATAGCTGCAGGATCATCTTGGTGTTATCTTATTCAAGAGTGCTTTGAGGGAAAACTATTCCAAAACTGTTCCTTGAGCTAAGAGCAGAAACCCAGTGAATACTCAGCACTGTAGTTGTGAGAAGAACTGATGGTGCAAATTGTACACGTACTAATTGCAGTGTGTTGTAGTGTCAGTGTGTATGATCTATTACAGCACTTAATACGCTATTTGTATTAAATAATAGATATGTAAGCAACATGAAAGTATCTTGCCTTATTTGAGAAATCTTTTTCCATTGACAGAATAATTTATTGAGGCAGTTTTTCTACTTATAGGTCAGGAAAAACCCTCAGAGCAAGAGACGAGTGAAATAAAACACCCAGAGACAATAAACAGATATGGAAGTTTAAATTCCCTGGAGTCAACGTCGTCATCAGGAATAGGCAGCTACAGCACACAGATGTCTGGCACTGATAATCCGGAGCAGTTCGAAGTCCTCAAGCAGCAGAAAGAAATAATAGAGCAGGGGATAGACTTGTGAGTGCGCCATTTTAAGGAGAAATGTCATTGAATATTCCTCTGCCACTTCTGTGCTGCCTTGTCCTGGGTTTCTTTACGTCTTTGGGTTATATTTAGTCCCTTCTTATTCCCACCCTTCAGTGGATAAAATGGGGCACAGTTCTCCCAGACCCAAGACTTCCGATGACTCCTTAGTCCGTGCCCCTTGTTCATTGGAGTCCAGCCCAGACCGACCCTTGTGATGGTGTGTTAATTTTGTACCGTGTTTTACATGCTTTTGAACATTATCCAAGCAGTTTTGCTTTGTTCATTGTTCATTCAGCTCACTTACAGAATCCCCCATTGTATTCCCTAAGCAGGTAAGAACCCAAAAAATTTCAACTATAGAACATCTCCTGCTAGTGTTGCTCCTTTATAGGTTTTATGTTTTCCTCACTTCAGTTACAGATGTGCTACTTTTATTAGTGATTTATTGTTAATGCTTGCATTTTTATATGTTGATAAGGTGATCACCTCCTTTTCAGACTTGAATACTGTACCAGACCCTCCTCTTGTGAAGTCAGTTTTCCTGCTAAGCTGTGTGCTATCAGCTCCTGGGCTGTTTTGGGTCTAAATAGGCCCATACTGCTTTCCTTCCTCTTATAGCCCATCTCTTCTTTCAAAGAGATTCTCTAAGGAAAACTGAACTTGCTGGCCTTTCTCTATGAATCTCAATCCATGAATCTAAATTGTTTAAAAAAATACCCTTATATGTTTACTTGGCTTGCTACTCCACTGTAAAGCATTTCTTCCTGAATCTTAAGCAGCAGCTTTTGCTAAATATTCAGGGGGTCCCTTTTCACTGTTAATGTAAAAGAAAAAAAGTTGATGAAATGTACACATACTCATTGTCATAAAACTATAAAATCTCAAAAGTAGCCTCAGAAACAGCCATCAATACTTCATTTATTCATTTATTCTAACTGTTCAGTCCCATCTGTTGCAGACATTATGCAAAGTGCTGGGAAACCTGATGAGTGAAACAGTCCTTGTTTCTGGGGTCACAGGGTCTAGTATTTGCAAACAGATGCTCATATTGAAATTTTGCAAGTCACTCAGCAAACACGTGTTTGGTACTTGGGACTGTTTACCAAGAACCATGAAGGTTCAGTTCAGTTCAGTTCAGTCGCTCAGTCGTGTCCGACTCTTTGCAACCCCATGAACTGCAGCACGCCAGGCCTCCCTGTCCCATCACCCACTCCCGGAGTTTACCCAAACTCATGTCCATTGAGTCGGTGATGCCATCCAACCATCTCATCCTCTGTCGTCCCCTTCTCCTCCTGCCCTCAATCTTTCCCAGCATCAGGGTCTTTTCAAATGAGTCAGTTCTTTGCATCAGGTGACCAGAGTATTGGAGTTTTACCTTCAGTGTCAGTCCTTCCGATGAACACCCAGGACTGATCTCCTTTAGGATGGACTGGTTGGATCTCCTTGCAGTCCAAGGGACTCTCAAGAGTCTTCTCCAACACCACAGTTCAGAAGCATCAATTCTGCGGTGCTCAGCTTTATTTATGGTCCACCTCTCACATCCATACATGACTACTGGAAAAACCATAACTTTGACTAGACAGACCTTTGTTGGCAAAGTAGTGTCTTCTCTGCTTTTTATTATGCTGTCTAGGTTGGTCATAACTTCGCTTCCAAGGAGTAAGCGTGTTTTAATTTTATGGCTGTAGTCATCACCTGCAGTGATTTTGGAGCCCCCAAAAATAAAGTCAGCCACTGTTTCCCCATCTATTTCCCATGAAGTGATGGGACCAGATGCCATGATCTTAGTTTTCTGAATGTTGAGCTTTAAGCCAACTTTTTCACTCTCCTCTTTCACTTTTATCAAGAGGTTCTTTAGTTCTTCACTTTCTGCCATAAAGGTGGTGTCATCTTCATATCTGAGGTTATCCTTATATTTGATATTACAGTCCAAGTATGGGCAAAATGTATTTTCTACTAGCACTGAGTGATGTCCATAGTGGAGTGTTATACAGAGTTATGCCAAGGTAGGAAAATTCACTTTGGAGTATTAATACCCAGGAGTGAGGGAGTAGTCACTGGGCCCCTGAGTGGACATCTCCCCTGCCTCCAGTTCTCCCAGCCACTGCGCCTGCATTCTGCTTCACACTGCAGTGAGCACAGTGTGCTCGCAGGCACTCTTCCTCAGCTCTTCTTTCATGACACCACTCTGTCTGGTCCTTCGTACCTTCTGACCATGCTATCTCTGTCTTGGAATGGACTCTTTATCCAGGCCACATGTCTTAACGTTTCCAGTGTCTGTCCGTCATCACTTCAGCTACTGTGTGCTAACATCTCACAACCCTCAAGTGTTATTTTTCACATAGAAACTCGACTGAACTCCAGACCCTTCTCTAATTGCCCATTGGACATCTCCCCTAGACACTGCATAACTTCTCACACTTGGCATGTCCATAACCATATTTATCAGTCTCCATAATCAACTCCCCAATACAACCCAAAGCAAACAACAAACAGAAAATCCTATTGTTTCCCATCCAGGGTAGTAACCCCAGCATGCTACTAAGTTATGAGCTAGAATCCCAGGAATTACCTTAGATTTCCTCAGTTGATCTGATTTGTCACTGAGTCCAATTGATTCTACTTCCAGAATATTTGTGCAATTTATTGTCTTTATTTCCCACAGTTGTTTTCTCAAGTCATGCTATCACCATTTCATGCCTTGACTAGTAAACTCTTTTAGTTGGCTTGGATTTCTTTGGTCTCATTTATTCTTACACTTAGCTGGAGTCATTTTTCTTTGAATGAAATCTGCTTCTGTTTCCCTCCTCTCTCCCTCTTACAGAGGATAAAGCCACAGCTTTTTCTAATAGCACATAATACCCTCATGATATAAGTATGCTGTACTCTTAGGTACGTCTTCATCTCACCTGATTTTTCCAAAATGCAGAGCTATTTAATATCATGCTGTTTTATGCTTTTGTGTATTTGTATGACCTCTTCCTCTCTGTCTGGGATGATTTTTCCTACTGTTCATAAAAGTTGTAAGCATTCTTAAAAGCTCAGTTCCACAGTCACCTTCCAGGAACTCGATCATGGTCATCTCTCTTAACCAGTCACCTCCTCTGCTGTGCTGGCTTCTCAGTAATACATTATTTGTTGCATTTTCACTGTTACATGTTTTCTTAATTTATAAAAAATTAAAAATAATTTTTACTATTACAATTTAAAAATTTTTCCTCAGAGTGAGAGCCTCTGAAGAGCAGAGGTTGTGTTTATCTTTGGGGAGAATGCTTGGTTTTGATTTATGTATGTGGCAGCAGTTTAATTAGGAGTTGATAGGGGCGTGTTGGGAGGACAGAGCAGGGAAGGGCGTTTCAGACAGAACGGCCCTGGCAGAGGGACGGGAGGACGTTTGAGGACCATGGTTGAGGGCGGCAGGGGTAGAGGTGGGCGGGCAGTGGCAGGAGGTGACATGAGAGCATTGAGTTGGATCCAGATTACAGGGGCCTCTTTTCTCCATGTAAAGGAACTTCTGTCTTGTTCTTGGCATTGGTGTGCTATTGAAGGATTTTAAGCCAGAGGACCAGCAGCGATAGATTTCTGTTTTCGACACATTACTTTGCCAGCAGCCTGAAGAAATTATTAGAATGTGAGCAAAACAAGAGATAGGGAGACCAGTTAGGAGCTCTTGCAGTACCCAGGTGATGAGGCTCCAAACTAATTATTGGACCAATGAAAGGAGAAAGGAAATGATTTAGAAACAGAGAGGTGACACTTGACTTAGATATTAAGCCATGAAGGAGAATTCTCCACTGAATGGAGCACAAGGGCATGTGGAGGAAATAAGATGCTGCAAATGCTTTTTGTTTAGGGAATGAGAAGGGGATGCGTGGAGATGGGTGAGAGAGGAACGAGCTGTATGGAGGAAGGTTTTGTATGTCTGTCTAATCAGTGTGAATTTTATCTTGAAAACACTGGGTGTATAAAATTTTTTTATAAAGGAAATAACGCCATCAGGTTATAGTTAAAACAGTCACCAAAATTCCAGTTATGTGTTTTGAAAGCAGGAAACTTAGAATTAATCATTGGATAAAAGGAGAATGAGCCAAGATTGCTTGAGCGCTTGCTGCTGCTAAGTCGCTTCAGTCGTGTCCGACTCTGTGCAACCCCATAGACCTCAGCCCACCAGGCTCCACTGTCCCTGGGATTCTCCAGGCAAGAACACTGGAGTGGGTTGCCATTTCCTTCTCCAGTGCATGAAAGTGAAAAGTGAAGGTGAAGTCGCTCAGTCGTGTCTGACTCTTCGCGACCCCATGGACTGCAGCCTACCAGGCTCCTCCGCCCATGGGATTTTCCAGACAAGAGTACCGGAGTGGGTTGCTATTGCCTTCTCCGTGAGCACTTAGGGAGACTATATATTAAAAGCATGAGATATTTAGTATTCATATCCTTACTGAGAGTTCATCTACTGAAGGACCCTATCTCACATAACATGTGAAATGATCTGTATCAATGATAAAGATTGCCCTCCATTTGAGATTCTTGTCTAAGAAGAAAAAGAAAACTTTGCATAATGTATTATTTTTTGTGCATTTGTTCATTGATTGTTTTAAGTAAACTTTTTCTGAGTGCTGGAAAGCTAATTTACTGTAGTTTTAGATCTTTTCAGGGAATATGAATGACTTCCTGTTTCTAATGTTCCTTTTAACTTTAACATCATCCAGATTTACTAAGAAACCAAAGAGAGGAATCCAGTACCTCCAAGAGCAAGGGATGCTTGGGACCACCCCTGAAGATATTGCCCAGTTCTTACACCAAGAGGAAAGATTAGACTCAGTAAGAGCACCATGTTACTTCATCTAGCCTTTTTTGTAGGATTTCTTTTTAAGTTAATAATAATGTGTGTTGCTGCCCCTTTCAGATGCCCTCCTAAGTATGTAAAAATAAGCTAGCTGTTCTTAATTTTGCTTTTTAATTTTCTATACTCAAAAAAAAATCTTGATTTTTGTTTTTTAATGCATTTGGTAAGTTTAACTTCATGTTCAAAATAGTTAATTAACCCTGTGGCTAATGGACTAGTTAACTGTGGATCTTATGGACTTCTCTGCTTTTTAAAAAATTGGGTGTGTGGGAAATGTAATGTTCCACTAGGATATCAATTTCTGTCTTTTATTCTTCAGACTCAAGTGGGTGAATTCCTGGGAGATAATGATAAATTTAACAAAGAAGTCATGTATGCTTATGTGGACCAACATGACTTCTCAGGAAAAGATTTTGTTTCAGCCCTTCGTATGTTTCTGGAAGGATTCCGTCTTCCAGGGGAAGCTCAGAAAATTGATCGGTTGATGGAAAAATTTGCTGCAAGATATCTAGAATGCAACCAAGGGTAAGCAGGATTCAAATTCAAATGTTTATTGATTGCTGGCTGTATCCAGACCCTTTTCTGAGAGCCTCAGGTGATCCATAACCCCCTGCCCCAGGGAACTTAGATTGTCTGTGACCTGGAAGTGATGAGACAGTTCCATAAAATATTATGAGATAGAACATAAATCTTGAAAGAGAAAATGAGAAGTGATGTGGGGTTAGAGGTAAGTTCTTTAAATGATACATGTAAACTGTATAAGTTTATAACATGACACGTTTATTTTTCCAGACAAACCCTTTTTGCTAGTGCGGATACTGCTTATGTTTTGGCTTATTCAATTATCATGCTGACCACAGATCTCCACAGTCCACAGGTATGGTATTAATCATAATTTTAAAATATCAAACATCCAAGAAGTGTTTAAATTTGCCTCATAAAATTGTAATTCCTTCTTAAATATTAAGGAACTGTCACTTGATTTCTGATAGCCACTAATAAAAACATTATTTTTAAGGTTTTAGGTTTAGTTTCTAAAAACTTGGGGGAAATTATCTTTATAAATAAGCCTATTTGCAAGAATTTCTTAATGCTTCTTAGGGATAAGCTCCTAATGATACCTGTTGCTCTTGAGAGAAGAAATAAACTATATACTTATTATTAAGCAGAGATGAACTGGACAAATTGTGAAGTTTGAGATTAAACTTTATAGGAATTTTTTGGATATGTATTTTGAGATGTTTAAGGCAGGATTGATACAGAAAGTATTGACCACATGTAAGATTTTAATCATTTAAAATTTGTCTTTGGCTTACAACTGGCAGTATTATAGAAGCAACTCACTTCCAGGGCTTTTCATTATCTAGCATGACACTTTTTCCATGGTTTTATGAAGCAGTCTACAGATAAAGACTTATTTGAATATTTGCATATCAAGAGTTTTCTGTCAGGTTTTTCAGTCTAAACCAAAAGTGACTTTACATTTTACACTGCCTCCCTTTGTTTTCAGAAGGTCATACTTTTAACAAACTTTGTTCTGTTAATGAATTATAACATTAAATGCATTTGTGTCATATCTTCTTAATCTTCTTTTTTATTGTGGTTGATTTACAGTGTTGTGCCAACCTCTGCTATACAGCAAAGTGACTGTTATTCACACGTGAAAGTGATAGTCGCTTGGTCGTGTCTGACTCTTTGCAACCCAGTGGACTGTAGCCCTCCAGGCTTCTCTGTCCATGGGATTCTCCGGGCAAGAATACTGGCATGGGTTGCCATACCCTTCTCCAGGGGATCTTCCTGACCCAGGGATAGAACCCACGTGCCCCACGTTGCAGGCAGATTCTTTACCATCTGAGCCACCAGGGAAGCCCCAGTTGTACACATAGACATTCTTTTTTTAATATTCTTATCGATTACAGTTTATCCTAGGATATTGAATATAATCCCCTGTTCTGTATAGTACAACCTTGTTGTTTATCCATCCTATATATAATAGTTTACATTTGCTAATCGCATACTCCCAGTTCTTCCTTCCCCTCCTCCCTTCCTCTTGGCAACCACAAGTCTCTTCTCTATGTCTGTTGAGTCTTTCTGTTTTGTAGATAAGTTCATTTGTGCCATATGTTAGATTCCTCATACATTATTATATATGTACATTCTCGTGTAGGTTATTTTCTTCTAAAACTTCCTTGAATGTTCTTTCACAGTTTCCAGATTGTTAAAAATTTCTGGACGCATACCAGTTAGGGAGCATTCTCTCGAAATCAGTGCCGTGTCTTTGTGCCCTGTCGCTGTCACTGACCATGTGCCTGAAGTCCCACACTCCAGACTCCAGCAGTGCGCACTGCCTCTGAGATGCTGCTCCCTGTCAGGTGGTGTCCTTGCTCCCATTCAGCCTGCCAGCTCTCAAACAGCTTAGGGGTCCCTGTGAGGATAGGTGGCCTGTTAGAAAATTGAACCCCATAATCAGGACCCTATGTGATTTATGATGCAGGACCAGATGAACTGTAACAAATGGTAGCTTTTTTTTTTTTTTTTAAAGAACACAAGTAACTTGAAAGAATTTTCTTAAAAACTAATTCTCTGCATTCTTGTTTTCAGAGTTAAAATATAAGTGAATTTCACAAGTCATTTATGTTCCTTTACTAATTAGAACATTTATAGTTAGACTACCTTTTATATATAGTGTGAATCAGTTTTTAAATTTTGAGATATATTTAGAACATGTTAAATTTTTTTGTATATTCATCTTCATCAGTGGTAACAATTGGCTTGAAGAGATTTAAGCATTAAAACTTAATTAGGCACAGCTTAATTTAAACATATGGGAATAAACATCAAGAGTAACGTGTTCCATAAAAGATGAGCCAGAGAAGAAAAAGTAGGATTATGTTTTACACTACTCCCAGAACCCTGCTGTGGCAGAAATGTTCCGTTTGAGCAGTGTGTTTTTATTTTCTGTACCTGAAACTAATGTACTCTCTTTTCTAATGTTCTGGGAGCTCCTTCCCCTCCCTCCCAACCTAGATCCACAAATATACTTTATTGCTACTTCAGATTTTCTGCCAAGATTTGTTTTGTGTCCGTCTCTGTCTCTCATTGGTATGATATTAAAATATTGTACCATGTTCAGAATTTCCAGTGATGTTAATCTTGTAGCCTCTTACTGGAAGCATTTGTGTGGTCATTTATTTTGATGTCCCTGGGTCATTGCTTTTTTAGTACTCATTAGAAATTTAGATGAAATGGCTTTCTTTTAATGTTTTTTAAGTGCCTTAACTCAAGTTTTTAAAGTTTTAGTATATTATATTAGAACGTTTTCCCCTTGAGTAATAATGATTACATTTGATAACTTTTATGGTAATATTTTTACTTTTTTGTAGGAAAACTGCTTCTCTCATCTTTTCTGACATTCTAGAAAGATCTGTTTGCAGAGTAGTCAGAACAGGTGGTGCAGTGGTAAAAAACCCGTCTGCCAATGCAGGAGTCATAAGAGACGTGGGTTCGATCCCTGGGTCAGGAAGATCCCCTGGAGGAGGGCACAGCAACCCACTCCAGTATTCTTGCCTGGAGAATCCCATGGACAGAGGAACCTAGTGGGCTACAATCCATGGGGTCGCAAAGAGTCAGACATGACTGAGCACGCACAAACACAAAACTAGTTAAGTGTTTGTACCCCAGTTACTATGTCTTTTGGACCTTTTGGTTTCTCTGTAGTTATTTTTGCAAACTTCTGATCATTTACTCCTGATGTTGACTATTATTCCATGTACCTTCTTAAAAATTTACAAGAGCTTTATCTTTAGAGGTGCCTTAAATTCTTTGTGGAAAGTGGTAGGAATATATTTAACTAATAAGTAAATGTATCTTCAGAGATGTCATGACTTCTGGGTTTTATCCACGGGGTTTGGGGATGTAAAGCAGAAAAGTTTTGGTTGTGTTAGTTACCAAGTTCAGTGGCAGGGCCACCATCATACATACTACAGATTTATACTTCACAGTCTTACCATGGTATGCAGCATGATGTTCCCGTTGTGCGTATCCTTAAACAAAACGAGAAGTTCAAAGAATACTTGGTCCACATCACCTAGCATTCAGTTAACTGCTGAGTCAGTCAGCAAGGCTGTTATCTGATTTTAAATAAATTTCAGTTCTTATTACTCTCATATCCATTGTTACATAAAATCAGTTCTGAAATCATTAGCAAACACACTTATGCTCTTTTGAATGCAGATCTGAATCTTTTTGGTAGCATAAGTTTCTAATGATTGTTATGACCCTTTTTTAAAGACTCTGGCTAGAGCTCTTAAACCTTGGGCAAAAACAGTTTCATTATTCCATCTGCCTGTTTTCTTATCACAGATCACTCAGGGGGACATCACAGCAAGGTGAATTAGCATATTGCCAACCTAGGTCTTCGCTACATTGTCCTCATTTTCTGTGACTTCCTTTTTTTACTTTTAATGTCTGCCTTGTTTTGTATTTTCCACTTTCTGTCTCATGGTATTTATAAATTCTCTTATATGAGTATTTTTCTGTTCATTTTTAAGAATTATAACAGTTGTTCCTTTCTAGGTTAAAAATAAAATGACCAAGGAACAGTACATTAAGATGAATAGAGGCATCAATGACAGTAAAGATCTCCCTGAAGAGTATCTGTCAGCCATCTATAATGAAATAGCTGGAAAAAAGATATCGATGAAAGAAACAAAGGAGTTGACAATCCCTGCAAAGTCAAGTAAACAGAGTAAGTGTCCAGATCAACTGAATCCTGGTTGTTTAGGAGGAAAAAATACGGTTCTTAAAAAGTTAAGTTAGAGTAGACCAAGTATCACTTATTCTAATGAAAAGTATTATAATACATTGTCTGATGATCTGATTATGTCCTCCATATCCTGAAGAAAGATAGCACTGATCAATGATAAATAGAAAATGCTACATAATATGCATGAATTAGCATGCATTGAGTATACACTTGTCCACCAGGCAGTTAATCTCAGCACGGACTTGGAGAGCAGAGAGATTGCTTAGGCAGCCCCAGTAGTCAGACTTCAACTCTTCTTTCTTCTGCCTCCTTGTTGTCTTATTTTCATTGGTTCACCTGTCATTACATGTTAACAGAAGCTAGAAGTAGGGGTGATTGAAGGAGATGGGGAAGGTTAGGATCATAGGGGATCAAGGGGGTTGGAAATCACTACTTGACATGCACCACAAATTATGTCACTCTGGCGTTCCTAGATCTGACTAGCATCAGGAGCGCCCTGTGCCTGGCTCCATTCTCAGTATTCTGTCTGTATAGACAGTGGTGATTAAAATAGAGCTAAAACCAGACTGCAGGCATGAGGTTAGGGTAGTGGCTCAGTAATACAGAAGGAGAGCTCCTGCCTTTCTGAGCAGCTTCCACTTGAAAATGAAATCTCAAGCTTCATCAAAAAAAACAGATTGCTGCAGCAAAATTCTGTTGACAGGTTATTGGTGTTCAGTTGGCTAAGTCGTATCCGACTCTTTGCGACCCGATAGACTGTGGCTGTTGACAGGAGAGAGAGTCCAGAAGGCCTGTGTGATATGTGTGTTTCTAGAAGTTGATGAAGAATTACAGGGTGGGAGTCAGAGACTCCGGAGATAATGTTAGAAGGAATAGTGGAGTATAATTGGCCTTCTTTTGGGGGAGTATAGGAGTGATTCTGAGGAATTTTAGTAAGTTCTTCCTCATTTTATAGACAAGGAAGCAGAAGTGCAGAGACCTAGGACCCTTAAAGGATCTGTGAGCTGAGTGCAGTGCAGAAGCTTTTGTTAAATCTGTGTCTAAAGCCTGACGAGTGGCAAAGGCTGACCCAGAAGTCAGCATCCTTGGCTCTTAACTGCAGTCCGACACCAGTCAGCAGTCCACATGGTAGCATCATTCTCTAATACTTAAAGAATCGTTAAGTGTATTGATCAGGATTTCATTTTTACACCTGAGTAGATGCCAATTATCTGATTTCATTTTCTTTTTCATACCCACATAATGACGTCTTCCTATCCCTCTTTCTCTGGCCTGTTCCGTGTACAGTGCTAGGAAGTCACTGGGAACGCTGGGTGTAGAAAGGGGGTGGCAGTGTGCTGAAATTCTGCAGTCATCCTGAATGTGAGGCCTCTGTCTTCTTAACGCATGAGATCCCTCAGGTCATACAGGTGTACCGTGGCCTCTCGTCTGTTCCAGCCCTGTTTGGGTTGTTTCCCTGGCTCTTGCAGTGTGACAGATTTGTGCCTACTCTTGTCCCTTTTCATAGATTTTCACAGATTTCCCTGAAGCCTAGTTGAGGACTTTTTTTCTTCCCCATTTTTGAGGTGAAATTCTTGTAACACAAACTGTTTTGAAGTGAACAGTTACTGGTATTTAGTACCTTCAAAGTGTTGTGCAGCCACCACCTTGATATAGTTCCCAAATATTTCATCACCCCCAGTAAAGCCCTGTATCCATTAAGCAGTTCTTCCCCATCCCTGCCTTTCCTCAGCCTCTGGCTGGCACCAGTCTGCTTTCTTTTTTATGGATTTACTATTCTGGATATTTCATCTAAATGGAATCATATGTTATGTGGCCTTTGCATCTGGCTTCTTAGGACCATTTTAAATTAGTATTCATTGGTCATGTTGATTATTTTATGCTGAAACATCAAAATATCATTTTTAAAGGCTTTATATCTTAAATGCTTAATAGCGTTTGCTGTTTCAGATGTAGCCAGTGAAAAACAAAGAAGACTCCTATATAACTTAGAGATGGAACAGATGGCCAAGACTGCTAAAGCGCTCATGGAGGCTGTGAGCCACGTCCAGGCACCTTTCACAAGCGCCACACATTTGGAGCATGTGAGACCCATGTTTAAGGTAAGAGTTACTAACGACTTTTGGTTGTAGTATATACATTTATATATACTGCTGTTCAGCGTATTTTTAAGTTAAGGCAGTACAGTGATACAACCCATTAGTATAGACCCAGAAGTGAAAGCCATTATTATTTAGGTATGCATGATTAGTAATTGATAGGTGTGTGACCTTAGGAATAGAAAGGTTTGGGGAGAATTCATCTCTGGCCTGGTTTCCCCTGGATTCTCTTTAGATCTTGGGGGTTCCCTGACATCTCAAAGTGACCTTGAGCCTCTTGCTATCTTCCAGTGCCTATGGCCGAGGGGCTAACCTGAGGGTTCTGAGTGCTCCTGGGGCCCAGAAAGTAGCATTGGGAACAAAAGGGAACTTTCTCTTATGTTTATAGATCTAGTTAGGATGGTACTTACTGCTTCTTTGTAATTTGATTCTCCATTTCTTCTTCATTTTCCTATATTTTTTTTCTGTCCTTTCTTCAAATTCCAGAATAAGTAAGCAGTGCATCATAAGGGTTATAGGGAAGTGGAGGGGAGTCTAGTCAAGGAAAATGGGCATTTTTCCTAGAGAAGGAAAAATGGGTTAAGTACATGTCCATTTGTGAGACAGTGCAGTTAGAGGGTCTGTGGAGGGTGAAGGTTATCACTTGAGTTCTTCAGACATTAACTGCATTTGTGTGGGTAGTAAAAGATGATGATATTTCAGCTCTAATATTTTATAGTTCTACCTTTGCTTTAAGGTCTGTGTGATCATGATATTTCTAAAAGTTGATTGAGAGTTACAGGCTCAGAGTGGGAATTCGGGGAGAGAATGTTAGAAGAAATAGTAGAGTATCGCCAGCCTCTCTTTTACCGTAATACAGGAAATGAGATTGAAATTAAGAGCTCTTACTATGAAATAAGATACAAAGCAAGTTTTTGTTCTTTTTTGAGTAATCTTATGCCTTTGTTTTGTTTGCAAATGTTTTTGGTAGAGAGGAGGTGGAGGATGAAAAAACAAAAAGGAAAGGAACCAGTCATAATTCTGCCACTCAGAACATTTCTCTTACTATATTTACATACTGCTTTTTATCTTGTTAAAGAGTTGTGATCCTACTGTGTATAGAATTTTGTAACCTGCTGTTTCTCACATAAGTGTTTTCCCATGTCATTGGGAATTCTTCATAAATAGCTTTTATGATCTCTTCTCTGGATTAGGTATCATTTGTTTAATCCTCTGAGCTGGAATTGAAAACCTTTTTTCTCCCGCCATTTCTACTGTCATTACCTTTTCAGACAGTGTCCTTCATTTCTCACTCTTAATGCTGGAGTGTTCTCTTGTCTGGTGTCTGTGTCTACTTTTGTGCTTCTCTTACCCATTTACAGAGCACAGAATGTTTAAAATACAAATGAACTGTCACCTTCTTCCTTAAAGCCATTCACTGATTGTGCAACTGTGGTGAAACCTAACACAACCCGAAGGTCTGAATACCATGTGTGGTCTGGCTCCACCTGCCTCCAGCCTTATCACTAGATTTCCTCTTACTGTGCTGCAGTCACACTGGCATTCTTTCTATTTCTAGAGTGCCCTAAATTATTTTTTCTTCAGAGCATTCACACAAGCTGTGTCCTCTCTCTAGAATGCTTTTTCCTTTGCCCAAGTAGTTTCTACTTTCAGTGTTAACTTTCTTAGTGAGTTCTGCCCTTGCCTCTCTAAATCAGGTCTCCTTTCATACGTGCTATGTTCTTCCTTCACTGTATTTATACATTTCTTTATTTTAAACCTTAATGTCTGTGCTAGACTTTAAACTCTGGGAGGTAAGGGAGTACATCTATTCCAGTGACTTTTCTCAAAGTCTGACACAATGGCTTGGAATTAGTGCTCAATAAGTAAGCATTGGTTGAGTCAAGGAATAAATGAAAGATTCCTACAAGTGATGTAATATTAAGGGATGTAGTTAAGAAGCTTTTTATGTATGGCCAAATCATATTCTACAGAGGCTTATACAGTTGAGCAGACAATTTCACTGTCCCCTGGATGTTATTTAGGTATAATTTGATCATTCTTTAATTTGCAGTGGGGTTGTCACAGGCTTAAGAAGCTTATACTTCTTGTATATATTAAATAAGTCTCTAAATAGAGATGTGTTGTTTCTTCACTTAGCATAGGATGCATAATGCATTACTTTCCTGTGGTGCTTTGTATTTTAAAGTCCTGCCAGTCATATGCTTCCCATAACATCTCTTTGTAGTGGCAGTCCAGGTACTAAAGAGGAAGAAATGAGGTTCAGAAAGAAAGAGGTGAAATAAGTGACAAGGCTAAAACTGAAAGTTAGGTACTGTGACTTATGTTCCTTTGTTTAGGAATTACACTTCTGCACTTCCTGAGGTTACAAAGCTGTGGGTAATTCTGTCTTAATAATGCAGAAAATTTTTTTTTAGATCTTTTAAAAATTCCAGTTATTGTTTCTGTACCATGTTGTCATAAATACTCTTCATCATGGCTATACATAGTTCTGCTTCGTTTTGACTTATTAAAAGCAGGAAATACTCTTATCAGACATTTCAAAGTTACACACACACACACACACACACCCACCCACCCACCCTCCAGTATATACGTATATGTTTTGATATGAAGACTTTCAGTAGTCAAGGGTACCTCTCTTTTTTTAAATTTTATATTACAGTTTCAGAAGGTATTTAATTTTGATAAAATTTAGTGTTGGTTTCAAAATGTATTTTATTGAACTATATTTTAAAATATTATTCAACTAGGAGCCAGAGATATCATTGCTGTCTCAATGTAAAATAGTAATATTTTACTAGAAAAAATATAAGGCTGAATGACACCCACAGAACAGGCTTAAAGAAAAGAGAGTAATGTAAGTCTTACAAGTAGAAAACAGTTAAAAGGATTTTTTTGGAAATAAAATTAGTCCATGAAATATTGCAAGAGACACAGCTTGCAGAGAGAGATGAATTCTGAAGTCAGGGGTAAAATTAATATAATTTATGAATATAGACTATCCCCATTTTTTATTAATGTGAATAACTCATAGGGGCTGTGCTTAAAATGTATCTACTGTCTTCTCTTGAATTTACAATTTTGCTCTTCCACTTATTTAAGCCCAGGCAGCATTATATAGTTTCTCTTTTTTTCCTAAGAAAGCTCTCCAAATAACTATGCCTAGAAACTCATTGCTCTTTTTCAGAACTTCCATAAATCATTTTTGTCTGAAAGCTTTGAGAAATGTTAATGTGGTCTTATCTTAAAGTTTAGTTATCATTTGATGTTTATGATACATTTTAAATTTTTACCTTTTCTAGTTGGCTTGGACCCCTTTTTTGGCTGCATTCAGTGTGGGTCTACAAGACTGTGACGATACTGAAGTAGCCTCTCTTTGCCTGGAAGGTATAAGATGTGCAATCAGAATTGCATGCATTTTCAGCATTCAGGTAACAAAATTTTGCGTTTGTAGCCAGTCTGGAAAACATCAATTACTTATGTCATTACTATAGTTTAAATTATTTCTTGTGTTGACAGTGTTAAAAAAACTAATTTCAAGTTTATAGTGGAATTTAAATGAATCTTAATGTTTTAAGTTTCCAAGAAGCTGTGACAAAACAGGGTAGTTCTCTGTTGATGTGTCTACCATTCATCATAATAACTTCGTGTTGCAGTTTTTTTCTGTATAGAATATTAGCTGTATGGAAAATTTCTAAGAGTTTGAATTCCTGTATTGTAATTTGAATATCTTATTTATATTGTGTGTTTTTACTTATTGAAGCATATAATACTTTTTCATATTTTATATATTTGTAGATATTATTTTATAACTTTATTTAAGTCTAAGAACAGGTTATCTTTAAGAGACTCAAGTATCAAGGACATAATTCTTATGAAGATAGTCCTTTCTAATAAATTATATGCTTTGTCTGATAATAAATTTTATCCAGTGCTTGCCTACTTTCTTTTTGAAAACCCATTTCACATTTAATTATGAATGTTACAGCATAAAAAGCATAGTCTTAACTGTAGGGGGAACATGAGCAAATTTGTAAATCGAGTTTCTGCTACCTCACACAAGTCACTTGACGTATGTGTTCAATGAATGCTTTCTTACTGTATGAATTATTGTTGCTGAAATTTCATCTTCACTTGACATCACCATTGCCTTTCAGTTTTAAAAATTCATCCTTTTTGGTTTCGTATTAAAATTTAAAGAACTATAGTTTTGAGGTGTTACTAATTCATGACATAGTTGAGAACTTACTAAATTAAGTAAACATTTCCTCGGTAGGGAACCAGAGCCTGCTCTGTTACGCTTACAACCCCGTGAGTTCTCTTTCTCTGTCTCTTTCAACAGCTGGAAAGAGATGCATACGTCCAGGCGCTGGCAAGATTTACCTTACTCACAGTGAGTTCTGGGATTACTGAAATGAAGCAGAAGAACATTGACACAATCAAAACGCTTATCACAGTGGCTCATACAGATGGAAATTACTTAGGAAATTCATGGCATGAGGTATAAGCACTTTCTTTTTTCCTTTGCAATTTGGTTTATAAAATGAGCTAACGCTAAATATTATATCACTGACATGCTTAAGTGTTTGGGGAGAAAATTAATCTTGTAAATTCAGGATTAAGTACATTTAACTTTTTTATGCTGATTTATAATGTAGCCTGTTTTAAATTGTGACTTTGTACATTTAAATATTTTTATGAAGATTTTTAACACAGAATTTAAATTTGTTTCCCTTTTTGTAATTAAGATTCTGAAGTGCATCAGTCAGCTGGAGCTTGCTCAACTTATAGGAACTGGAGTGAAGCCTCGGTACATTTCTGGAACAGTACGAGGCAGAGAAGGATCACTTACTGGAGCGAAAGATCAGGCTCCTGATGAATTTGTGGGACTAGGGCTAGGTGAGAATTTTTTTAATTACTTTTGTGAAGTATCACAGTTGTTTCTAACTTGCTCAATATAACTAACTTTATTGTATGAGAGAAATATGATTAGAGGGCTAGGATAAAATGCCCTTTGGCTAACCTTATAAGGGTTAAGCAAGATAACATTGTAAGTCTTTTTTGCCTGGTCCAGTTTGCAATATTAAATGACCCTTAGTCTTAACCACACAGTTGAGGGTGGGAGAAATGTGCAGTTTAAAATTACCTCCTTTTACATTAAAAAAAAGAATGAAATGCTGCCATTACAGCGACCTGAATGGACTGATACTTCATGAACTAAATCAGAGAAAGACAAATATTATATGATGTGATATCACTTACATGTGGAATCTAAAAAATAATACAAGTGATTCTGTATACAAAACAGAAACAGACTCACAAGCATAGAAAGTAAATTTATGGTCACCGAAAGGAATAGGGAGAGAGGAATGGATAAATTAGGAGTATGCAATTAACAGATACAAACTACTATGTAGAAAATAGATAAGTGACAAGGGTTTACTGTATAACACAGGGAACTATATTCAATATTTACAATAATCTATAGTGGAAAATAATCTGAAAAAATGTTTTAAAAATTTACCTGCTTTTAAGACTAAGCAATAAGTTAATGAGTGAAGGCTTGTTTAAGATGATAATTAGTTGGGGGCACCTGGAGAAAGCATTCACATGCAGATTTTTTTAAGGGCACTATGCAGACATAACCCAAGTCTTGGGCCAGTGTGGAAACTGTCCCATGGCGGCCCTTGAGTTCAGTGCCGCCAGGCACAGCCAGGTTTAACCCAGTAGGAAAAAAGGAAGGTACTGTCAAAAGCAGATAAAGAAGAACCAAAACCATACATTTCTCGTCAGAAGTGGAAAGCATTCTACCAGGGAAGAAACAAAGGTTAGACGGTCTTTGACGTTGAATGTGTACTTCAGGGTTTGAATTCTTCCATGTTTCTTCTTCACTTGTGCTGCTTCTTCACTTGTGCAAGATGTGTGTGCAAGTTACTTTAATTCTCTGAGCTTCAGCTTCCTCTTTTCCAAAGTAATTGTGGTATCTACTTACAGAGTTGTCGGGATTACAATATGTTAACGCATAAGTGGACTTAGTCCTGCTGTACTGTTTCTGCATTGTTGTTGTTTTTGTTCAGTCACTAAGTCATGTCTCACTCTTTGGGACCCCATGGCCCGCAGCACACCAGGCTTCCCTGTCCTCCACTATCTCCTGGAGTTTGCTGAAACTCATGTCCATTGAATCCGTGATGCCATTCAACCATTTCATCCTCTGTTGGCCCCTTCCCCTCCTGCCCTCAATTTTCCCAGCATCAGCGTCTTTTCCAGTGAGTCAGCTCTTCACATCAGGTAGCCAAAGTATTGAAGTTTCAGCTTCAGCATCAGTCCTTCCAATGAATATTCAGGGTTGATCTCCTTTAGGATGGACTGGTTGGATCTCCTTGCAGTCCAAGGGACTCTCAAGAGTCTTCTCCAACACCACAGTTCGAAATCATCAGTTCTTCAGTGCTCAGCCTTCTTTATGATCCAGCTCTCACATGTTTCTGGATTATTCTTTACCTGGCCTCCCTACCTCACTTCTGACAGAGAAATCTAGAGATGCAACCTAAAAAGAAAAACATGAATACACCTGAGGTCTAAGAATACTTAATTTACCTTTTAAGGCTTTGTGCTATATATAACATTGTACTTCTGGACATTCTCTTTTTATCATTTAGTGATTTCTCTGTTATTGCTAGCAGTAAAAAGTCTTAGAAAATTCAGAAGAATTTGAGGCTTGAAAAGCAACCCACGGGGAGGGGAGTAAAGATGCGGACCATGTTGTGGCAACATATGGACTCATGTTGAATGAGTTTGCAGTGGTAATTCAGCAGTGCAGTCAGCACCTCATTTGTAAAATACCAGTGGTGTTCTGTGGTTCCGGGAGGTGCAGCTATAGACAGCTGCAGGATTTAGAACTGCTTGAGCACCCGCATGGTTGGTGACTTGTATAACCTAGAAGTCTGACTCAGACATTAGAACTCTAATTGTTCCAGAAAGTGGCATGAGATACAGATGAAAAATATTTACAGGTAAGTGAAGTGAATGTGCATTGATTGATTCAGCTCCTTTTGAACAGTCTTTCTTTCTAAGGCCTTGGGAGTGGAGGAGAGCCCAGATAAAGAGGGGTGAGATCGCCAGGGCTCAGTTTTGGCAAGTAACAGAAGTAGGTTACACTACAAATAAAATACCAGTGGAATATTTTATGTTCTATCAGTGTTAGTAAAACAAGAGAAATCATACTTGCAGATCATGTTTATTGGAATACTTGAAAATGAGTTAAAATTAATTGGATCATTGTGCTGCTCTGCTGCTTAGGTTGCAAAGAGGTGAACTGAGCTGCCTTTTCCCTTCAGGAAAAGGGAATTTATATTAAAATAATCACATTTGGAATCTGGAACTGAGATTGAGATAAAAATTCCAGGCCTCCAAGCCACATGAGCAGCTGACCACGCCATTCCCCTCTGAGTCGTCCACTTCTCTCTGCTCCACGGCCTGCTCCCTTCTGCTCTCATTGCTGAGGGATCAGGTCTCAGGCTCTAGTCTGGATCCTAGAGGAGCCCCTATGCTGACTCAGCCCCTCTGGGGCAGAGCTCCCCCCGAGTTGAGCTCGTCTCGGTAGTTGGTTCCTGGCTCTCCCAGCATGGCAAGTGTCCACCCTGTGCAGCGCTGTCCTGACATCTACTCAGGATGCTTTAGCCCATACTGAAGCTAGAGGAGGTTGTGGTGCAGACAGTTGAGCTGGTTTCATCTGTATATAATTTGTTTTTTAAAAATAAACTATTAGCCTCCTTTGTTAACAGAATCTATACCCCAAATATTGATGTAACCAACTTAATAGGGCTGAGTGTATATTTATCTTCCTTCCTTACAGATGAGATACAAGACTATACTTTTAATTTTTGAAAACAGGAAACTTTTGTTATTAAGAATAAATAGCATATGAATTATTAGATTTCAATTATATGCATACTATTATATGTATTATGTATTATTAAGTTTTAAAATTCAGTTGCTTGGTCATATAAATCTTGAGTGAATTTAATGACATCTTACATCTTTGTTCTTAGTTAATCTAAATGTTTGTTCTTTTGAGTTATTTCTTTGGTAAAACTAAAACTATTGGCTTACTACTTGTACTGTCATACAAATGTTTGATAGATGTCATATATTTATGAAATTGGTTCTTGGATTGTTAGGCATTTTAAATCTTCTTTAAATAGGTCTAATGATTACAAATTATTTTATCTAAATATAGAAGGTACAGAAATCTCTGTGGGAAGGACATTCAGTTGATACACAGACAAAGTTAACGTAGTGACTGGCATTCTTCTCTCACAGATTTTTCTTCATTAAATTCCTGTAACATGTTACATACCTCATATTGCTTGACACTATCCTCCTACCACGCCATTTCTCAGTCACTTATTTCAGGCTTTCATCCTTGTTCACTTGTATTACAGAAATAGACCCTTAATTTGTCTGCATGGCTTCAGTGGCTCTTCATGTTTCACTGTGTTCTACAGATATTACCAGAATTATTTTTCAGAAAATAGATTGGGTCATGTCAGTCTTTTAAAAGACCTAATGGTTCCCTCTTTTCAAAAGTAGAACATTAAACATGATGGTCAAGGTTCTTCACATTCTGTTCCTGGTCTGTCTGTCCAGCTTCGTCTTTTACTGCTTGCTGCTCTCTCTCCTTCCTTGTCCCCTGCCAGATCATCCTCCTTTATGGCTGCATCTGAGTGTGTTGGAACATGAACTTCACATGCCTGCTTCCATTACTTCATATATGCTGCTCTGTCTTCCTGAATTGCTTTTTCTTCTTTCTTTCCCACAGGATAATCCTTTCAGATCTAACTTGAATTAATATTTCATAATACGTAAAAACTTGCCATAAGCTAACACCCGCATTCTCCCCTTCCCCTATAAAAATTAGTTCTGTTTAGCCATGCTTGTGTTACATATATATAATTAGTTGAGTTCAGCCATGAAATAATCATCAGATTGTATTAAAGTAGGTAATAAGTCTGTCTCTCCTGGTAAATCATTAACTGCGTGAGGACAGTGATCACATTCTTTTCCCTTTGTTCAGTTCTTGGAGTAGATTTTGAGTTCAGCTGGCTTAAATAACACCATCTATTACGTCTGCATTCAAAAAGCCATTTGTGTGTCTAGTTAGTCAACAAGTACTTGCTGAGCATCTGCTTTGAGTAAGGTAGAGGAAGACAAAAAAAAGGTGTATGATTTGCTTCCTAAAATGGGAACTTTTTATCCGGCTGAGAAGGCAGCAGTGACACACCTGAAGTAATTTATAGTAAGAAACTAAATGGAAGAAATTCTGAGTTAGCAGTATTTATTTAAGTAAATACTTCATTCAGAGGAAGGTGAAGCAGTGGAGGGGAATCCTTCATTGAGAACTCAGGTTGGGTCTCAGTAGATAAACTTTAGATGATGGCCTGAATAGAGACATATGTTGGAGGGAGCTGCCTTAAGTCCTAGGCTGAGAAGCTTATACTTTATCCTGAAACTAATAGTAAGCAAAGTAAAGGTGGTGATTTAGGAAAATTAATCTCCAGGAGAAGAAAGGAGATTAAAGAGGGGGGAAAATCAGCAAAAAGGAAGGCAGTAAACTCTTACAGTGATTAAGTCCTGAAATGATAATGGTCTAAACTAAGTAGGAATGAAAATGAATGAATCAAATGAAAAACAGGCCAGAAGAAAGATTTAGTGATAATGGAAGAAGGGAAAGATATTAAGAGCTTGAGAACTGGGGGCGTTGTTTTGCTGTCTACAAACACATGGAACCAGTGTTGGGGGAAAAACCAAGTGATTTTGTTGAATAAGAGGATATTTATAGCATACCGGTTGAATTTTCAGTGAACATTTGTAAACAAGAGATTGAAGATTACATTACAGGAGAGATCTAATTGTATAGAATTGGGAATCCTCCTAAGTAGATACATTTGGAACTGGGGTTGGTTCTGTTTTTTACATGCTGAGGGAGGGATTTCCCTGGTGGCCTAGTGATTAAGACTGCGCTTCCACTGCTGGGGGCACAGATTCTGTCCCTGGTTGGGGAAGTTCTGTATGCTGTGCGTTGCAGGGGTGATGGTCAGGGGAGGGGGTTTCTCTTAAACATTGAGAGAAATTCTGCCTAATGTCATTGAGTGATTAAAAATTTCAGTGTCCCTAATTTGTGTGATCTTTGCAAACAAGTTTGTGTCTTTACCATGTCTGTATGCCATTCAGTATAACTCAGTAAGTCACTGATGCCTAAAAGAATTGTTCACCCAAAGCTTTCTTTCATTTGGAAAATAACTGATTTTATTAGAAATGTGTTTTAGAACTGTAATTACATTCTTTCACTGAATTATTTTCACACTGAAATGACTCTCTTTTATGTGTGGTAGTTGGAGGAAATGTGGACTGGAAGCAGATAGCAAGTATTCAGGAATCCATTGGAGAAACCAGTTCTCAAAGTGTTGTCGTTGCTGTGGATAGGTAAGGTGTCTGTTTTATTCCCCTTTCAGATGAATACTGTTTTAATTCTGTAGCATTTAGATGTGTGTTGCTCATTAGTAAAAAGAAAAAAAAATGATTGCCAAATATCTTTCCTTAGGTAATATAAGACTATATTGTGATATGCTATGATTTAAATGATGAAGTACCTAAAATTTTGCTTTTAAATCACAGAATACAGGAAGGAGGTAAACAGTATGAAAATTTAAGTGACCGTAGACATTAGTGGGCATTAGGGAAATGTTAACCTTGATGAGAAATAACACATTTTTTCTTTTCCTCTATTTTTTAAAAATTTCCTTTATAAAAAATGTACTCCCCTTATTATTCCTATTTGAAAATAGAGTATAATTTATCTTCCTGAGTGTATGATATGGGATTGCATTATGGGGAAAATGAAGGGGTTTGTTGGCAGTTCTCACTGGGGAGAATTATATAGTATATACATTGAGAGATATTCCTCATCTTTAGTCTGGTTTTCTAAAAGAATATTTCTAAATATTTCTGAAAGAATATATTATGGTTTGTTTTACTATAGAATATTCTAGAATATTTACTATAGAATATTCTAGAATATTTACTCTAGAATATTCTAGTTTAAAAAAACCCCAGTATTCAAAATAATGTCTAGTATTTTTTTTTTTTAAGAAGATGAACGTTTTCCATATGGATGCCCAAATAATTTGAAACCTAACATTTTGTAACACTGCTGTTTACATTTTAGCACTTCTGATGGGAACTGTCAAAAATACAGTGTGTTTTATAATCTTTCCTTGATGCTTAGAGACTCCCGCTGATCTATTAGTTTACTTTGCTCTAGATGAAAACTTTTTGCTCTTAGATGGAAGTAGAGTGTTTAGCTGTTACTGACCCTGGCAGTACTCCCTGGAACTTCTTACTTGGAAAGAATTCTTAGTGTCCATGTGTCCACTTGCTTTTTTGGGGGTGGAGGGAGGGGCTTAATTTGCCTTTTTCTTGGGACGGTTGAAAAAAGATTATATATCGTTTTATACCTACTATATAACTCTGAGGCTTAACATGTGCTTTTCAGAGTGCTTTCTGGGAAGGGAATTTTTAATAAGAGTGGATGTATGTATAAGTGATTATATTAAACAAACAGAAAAAGTGCTTTCCGTGTGTTACTTCATTTAATCCTCTCAGTAGCATATAAGATACATATTATTACTGTCCTCAATTTACAGATGAGGAAACTTGAGACAAGGGGGATTAGATAACTTCCTCCTCCCCGCAGCCAGGCCAGTCTGGTCGTGATGATTACAGTGACACTTTCATTAGCAGAGAATCTGAGGAACAGCGCCAGGGGTGCCCTCAGCTTCTCGGCCTGTCTGCCCGTGTGTGCAGCTCCAGAGCACTGTAGTGTCTGTCCTCCTGCTGCCAAGGTAGACCTCCTCCAGATGGTTTTCTAGCCACTGAAAAACACATCACTGTTAGGAGAATCGACCCAGACAAGAGTCAAATTTTACTTACTGGTCTTGTTGCCATAACATACTTCATGTGACCAAAGCCAGTTCTGATTTATCCAGCTGGCCAGTTTGCTGCAGAGAAACATGTAACTCATTTGAACAGGTGATCTGCCTCTCCATTTTAAGAGTTTGTGCAATTTCAGAAGAGTCTTAGTACAGATTCTATTAGTAAGTCACTGTCTCAAACTCCTCATCACCAGATACTTCTATAACATAAATTCAGGGTCCACAGTTTTATGCACAACCTCAATATTTACATTTTACTTTATTGTGAAAGCATCAAAAGTTACATCTTTGATTTGTTACAAGATTTATATTATTCTTATGTGGTACCTATCACAATTTCTCATTAAGTTGAGTATCTGAGTTTATTTTTATTAGTGATATTCGATTCCATAGGCTGACTCAGTGAGACAGCCCTGGTAGTCAAGACGGTGGTTGAGAATATTGTCAGGCATCATCCTTGAAAGTTCTGTATTTGTTCAGCAAAAACGTTGTTTTTCTGACCTTAGGCCTATTATTCTGAATAATCTGTTGTGATAAGTATAAGAACTAAACATGCAAAATGGAAATAATAATTCTTTGCTTAATTATATATAGGTTCTGTTTTTTAATGGAAAAAATTTTGATTTCATCAAAAGTTTTAAAATGGTAAAATTTCCTGATTATCTTCATTTTTGTGTTTGGAATCCTGTATTATTAGAACTTAAGAGTGTGAGGGCACTTTAACCTGGAGTCCCTGATCCTCCTGGATTTGCCAGGGAAACATTTTCTAGGCGTTGTTAAACCAGCTATTTCTTAAATGTTATTCAACTTCGTGGGGGTGGATTTTGTCCAGGAACAATTTACCCCTGATAGTCAAAAGTTATATAGCACCATAGTTTTTTATTTAATTGTTTTTTAAGCACACCAGATCTGTCCCACACTTTGGAATATTCTGTCACCTATCAGAAAATATGGATGACTACTCCCTGTTTTCTCATAAATGTCTTTCAATTGAGTCTAAGCCATAAATGTTATCTCTGATATTTTCACTATAAAAACTTTAGACAGGCAGTCATTTCATCTGCCTGTATGTTGCATGCAGCTTAAAGTTGATTTGATCTAGAATCTGCAAGTTTCATCTTTGTGTGTGTGTGTGTGTGTGTGTGTTGTTTCACCACTATCATAATGTGTAAGAATTCAGTATATCTGTCCGTCTTTTTTTCCTACTTTTCAGGGGCATGTCTTTTAATATTAACACACAAGATTCTCATGCTTCTGTTCTCTGCTTTTCACACAGGCGTGTAGAATCCATTTTATAGTTGTTGTGAAGCATAGCTCTTTTCTGCCTTAGTATATTAAGGCTTTACTATGAATGCCTCCCCAGACCATTCTGCTCTCCCATATGACTTATCTTTAACGGAGCATTTCTAGAAATATAGTGACCCTTCAGAGGCTGCCAGAGTGAGTGGGAATCAAAACGCTCTTTCCCAGGACGGATGCTCCCCCGCTTACACTGTCACCTGAGTCCGCAGAGCCTGGCTGTTTGCTTGCGCTTCTCTCTGGCCATCTTCACAGGGGTCCTTGCAGCTTCCCCTGGAGTTCTCTGCTGCTGTTCTTTCCTCCCTGGCTCTTTGTCACTTGCTTCCTCCTTGCTTAAAAGGGATTCTTTGTTTCCTTTGTTGTTTTTCCTATTTTCCCTTGTACTGTTCTAGTTGGACTTTGTTTGTGGTGTGGTTTTTATAGCCACTGCCTTCCAGGTACGCGCCTCTAGCTTGAGAAACAGCTAATGACATTCATAATGCAGAGTTTAGCACTTCTCATTTTTCTTCATGTGAGAGGGCGGTAGCCTTTATTTTAAATTTCTGGATCCAATCTAAACACTAGGTTCACTGAGGCCCCATTACTCTTACCACCCCCCCCACCCCCATAGTGTTTTCAGTCAGGTTTTTGAACTTTTGTTTTGTTCTACTCACAAGAGTAATAGAGGAAATGTGAAGATATCCCTTTAGCAGGAGATCAGATTCTGAGTTATTACCTTGTCAGTTTTTAAGCTGCTTTTCCTTCTTGTTTTCATTATTTACTGTTGACAGGACACATAGTCCTTCAAGGGCATAGAGGTTGAAAAATCATGATATAGGTTGCTTCCATGTCCTGACTATTATAAACAGTGCTGCGATGAACATTGGGGTGCACGTGTCTCTTTCAGATCTGGTTTCCTTGGTGTGTATGCCCAGAAGTGGGATTGCTGGGTCATATGGCAGTTCTATTTCCAGTTTTTTAAGAAATCTCCACACTGTTTTCCATAGCGGCTGTACTAGTTTGCATTCCCACCAACAGTGTAAGAGGGTTCCCTTTTCTCCATACTCTCTCCAGCATGATATACTCAGAACATTTAGACTGTGGTGGTAGGAAAAAACTAGAATGTATTTTAAATGTTTAAATTCTGTTTTGCTCAGTGGGGCGGTTGAGAGGGTGGACTCTGGGGTCGGCCTGTCCTTGTTTGACTGGCTCTAGTACGTACTAGCCTTGTGATTTTAGAAAGTTATTATACGTCTTTGTGACTCAGTTTCTGTGTTGATAAACTGGGGAGTCTAACGTACTTCATGGTATCTGTGATTGTTGTGAGTGGATATATGGTAAATAGATAGGTATAGATATATAGCACTAGGTATAGGTATAGATATAAAGCACTTTGGGTAGTACCCACCTTGTGATTGCTGGTAGATATACTGTTACTATGATTACCTTTGTTTCTAAGTTTAATATTTGACCTGCTCCTGCTTTTGAGATTTCATTTTTATCGTTCAAATCCTTTCATGTACAGTTTACATTGAGCAATATCAATTTATCCTTGAAGTCACCACATCAAACCCTTCTTTACAAACTTGGAACATAGGTAAAAATGCAGACTTTAAAGTAAGAGGACTAATGTGTTCATGCTGAAAACTTTTATGAAACTTCGAAATATAGAAAAAGAGCTCAGTGAAGATGGCAGGGCAAAGCCAGATAGCATAGCTTAACTCTGAATGTTTGAATGCTCTAAGAAAAGTGGGTTAGTTACTTGTTAACTGTTAACTGTTGGAAACTATTTGTAAGGTTTTATTAATCACTCGTAATTCAACATGAGTTTTTTTTAATCAGATGTACATTATTTATAAAAATAAAGTAGAAGTTTTCATTTTAAGAACATGTTTAAACCAGTAAATACTCAGGAAAATTGAGACGTCTGTTTTGTGTATGCCAGTTATTAGTTTTACAAACTAATAGTCTCTTATTTTGAGGCTTATGAAATACCCACCCTAGTGCTGATGAATTTACTGGTAAAATTGCAGCAGTGTGTTCATTCTCTAATACCATTCAGTGCAAGGGCGGGGTACCTTCCAACTACACTTGTTACTGAACTACCTGGTAAAAAGTACATGTTCAGTTACCTGATCTTCTGTTCCCTTAAAACAGATAAAAGTAGTTAGCAAACTAGGCCACTTGTTTTTGAATTGATATATCAGAAGTGAGACTTTATAAATTTTTGCATTATGATATTTGTTTTTTTTCTTTAGAATATTCACAGGGTCCACAAGGTTAGATGGAAATGCCATTGGTAAGTATGTACATTCAGTTAAAAAACTGACTTTGGGGCTAAAAGACTTTAAATTTGAGCTTTAAAGTAAATGTTAATCTATTTCTATTATAGTGGATTTTGTCCGTTGGCTCTGTGCTGTATCTATGGATGAATTACTTTCCACTACGCATCCAAGAATGTTTAGTCTGCAAAAAATAGTAGAAATATCATATTACAACATGGGAAGAATAAGATTGCAGTGGTCTCGAATTTGGGAAGTTATTGGAGATCATTTTAATAAGGTATTTGAGTAATTATACAATTTGCTTAATTTGTAATTTTTTTGTTGTTTAAAATTCCCTTACCATAATCTAATTGAGACTTTTTTCCTTTCTAAGCAGTTTTTTATTACATTTTTTTGTAATTAGATTAGAAAACACTTTGTCTTGTTTTTTTCTTCTAGAAGTAATTGTTCTAGGTTTTAAGAATTTAGTTCAAATATGCTCTTCTTGGTGAGAAATATTGTTAGCATACTTAGTGCCTCTATGGAGAATCTTTGAATTTACCTGTCTTTGCTATTAATGATATATTTTTCTAGAAAATTACCGATTTTTCTGCTGATATTAGCATCCTCTGTTTCTGTTGCTGTCACAGGTTGGCTGTAATCCTAATGAAGATGTAGCTATTTTTGCAGTAGACTCCCTGAGGCAGCTGTCAATGAAGTTCTTAGAGAAAGGGGAGCTTGCTAATTTCAGATTCCAGAAGGATTTCTTAAGACCTTTTGAACATATAATGAAACGGAACAGGTATTATATTTGTTGAACTGCTTAACATCAGGAAAAGTGTATTTTCCACAGTAGTGGGTGGGGAAGTGGGGCGGAACAGAAGAGAGGGGACAAAAACCTGATGAGATTTATCCAAGCAATTATATTACTATTTTAGGTCTCCAACAATTCGCGATATGGTTGTACGGTGTATAGCACAGATGGTTAACTCTCAAGCTGCTAACATTCGGTCTGGATGGAAGAACATCTTCTCTGTATTTCATCTTGCTGCGTCGGATCAAGATGAAAGCATAGTTGAGCTTGCATTCCAGACAACGGGACATATTGTCAGTGAGTGTCCCCTAAGCACTGTTCAAGTTAGAACACAGCACAGCACAGCTTTAGTGTGTTCAAAGGATAGCTCAAGTGTAAGATTATTGGCTTGTCATGGGTTTTACCAAGTTTTGCCTATAAAAGCAGAGTAAAAAGTGATGGTATTATCATTATTATAATATTATAGTTAACCTTTATTGAATGTTTACTGCATGGCAAGCACTGTAAACACTTTGCATTTATTTCCTTCAATTTTCACAATAACTGTGTGAGAAAAATATCTTTTTTATCTTTTTTTTTAATTAGATAAGGAAACACAGATCCAGTGAGGTTATGTAATTTGTCTAAAGGCACAAAACTAGTGAGTGATGGATTGAGGCACAAAACCAGAGTCTTAAGACATAGCCTTTGTTTCTGACCACTGTACTACACAACCTCCTTTGACTTTGAAACACCTAAGATATCAGTTTAGCCTCTCTTAAAAGATAATAATGACCATCATTGTCATCAGCATCAAGAATGATGACCTCACCATAGCTATCATTTATTGTTTGCCTAAATTTAGTAAATTAAGTATTGTGCTAATAATAAGCACTTTGTTGTTGTTTAGTCGTTATGTCATGTCTGACTCTTTGCAACCCCATAGACTTGCCTACCAGGCTCCTCTGTCCATGGAATTTCCCAGGCAAGAATACTGGAGTGGGTTGCCATTCCCTTCTCCAGGGAATCTTCCTCACCCAGGTATTGAACTCAGGTCTCCTGCATTGCAGGTGGATTCTTTACCATCTGAGTGTACCAGTCTCTGTTAGGTGCTGGGTTTATAGTGTAAACAAAACACAGCCCTGTCTCCCTGTTCCCATTACCCATGGCCGTCAGGTCAAGACAGACTTTGGAACCCATGTCTTTTGGAATCAAAACCCTTAACCTTCAAGAAGTATCCATTACATCAAGAGCTCGGTGTATTTGGGTATAATTAGGAGTAATTGAAAATCTTTGGATATGTTTTTCTCCCTTATAGCCCTTGTGTTTGAAAAACACTTTCCAGCGACCATTGATTCTTTCCAGGATGCAGTGAAATGTTTGTCTGAATTTGCGTGCAATGCAGCTTTCCCAGATACAAGTATGGAAGCAATTCGACTTATTCGCCATTGTGCAAAATATGTGTCTGATAGACCTCAGGTATAGCATCGTTTAGTAAACAAAATGTGACTTAGCATTTATTTCTAGTCTGAGATCTAAGTTTATTTGGGAATCTAGGGGATATGAAGCATTTTTCAAAATTATCTTGAGTTGTCACATTTATTGAAGACTTCAGGTATTTTTCTGAGTATTTCACATGTATAAACTTGTTTAATTTTCAACAACAGCTTTATGGGATAGATTGTGTTATATTCCCATTAAATAAGGAATCTGAGGCACAGAGAATCTCAAAATGTGCCCCTGATCATAGGGATAGTAAAGGAGACAGGATTTGAACCCAAGCCTGTGTGCAGCCATTACCTTGATACACTGTTTCTTGTGTGTCAGGTTCTGCAGGGCTGAAGGTAACTGTGGATGAGTGTGGCTGTAAGCTCTGGAGTGAAAGCTTGAATTGGCAGTCTGGCAGCCAGCTTTTTGACTTGCATATCTTTGTAACTGTCATTAGGAGAAAAGATGGCTTCATAGATTTTCTGTCACATGCTGACGTGGACCTGTGTGTGTTCAGTACTTCTTACATGCATTCGATCTGCGCACCTCCCCAGTGTGGTGGTGTGGCTATGTGATGTTAAAACCACTTAAACGCCTAAAATGGAAAGCTGATGATGGAGTTGGAGCTGAAAGCAGCTTTTGGACTCTATTCCATGCTCTGTAGGCAGTTGTAATCTCCATCTTTTTATAAGTTTTTCTAATAAAATTGCTCATTTTTGATTTGCAAAGTGTTTAAAAACTGCTTTGGAGAAATGTGTATAGGTATTAACACCTTGTCTTTAATAAACCTACCTTTCTTTCTAAAGGCTTTCAAGGAGTACACAAGTGATGACATGAACGTGGCACCTGAAGACAGAGTGTGGGTGAGAGGCTGGTTCCCAATTCTCTTCGAGTTATCATGTATCATCAACAGATGCAAATTAGATGTAAGAACCAGGTAACAATCAGTATTTGTAATTAAAATTTTGCAAGGGTTATTTTGACTTTAATCAAATTAACTTTTCTTATGTGAACATAAGCATAACTTGATCAAATATAGTAATTATTACTTTGGCAAATTTTAAAATATGTTAAATGGAGCAACAAAAAATGGAAATAGATTACTTTTCCTTAAATTTTGATTATTTCCAAGTTTGAATTTTAGATTCCATGTTAATTTACACATTCTGTCTTTTCATACTTTTGTTTCCAATCAGAAATTAAAATTAGTCCCAAACTTTAATTTCTGATGAATGAGAAAAGAATTTCCAAATGCATGTCCCTGGTGGCTTTTAGGTAAAGAATCATTTCTCTTTGAAGACTGGCCAGTAACCTAGTTTTGAGTAACATAAGGCCTGTTGAAAAAGAACTCTTTCAAAAGTATATTCTCAATAAAAGATCTGTATGACTGTCCAGTCCATTTGTAAAGAAACTACTATGGGTGTAATGTAACCAGACAAGTGTTCAGTGCACACATTTTATACTTAAAAGAACTTGTTATGAATTTGTTAGCATTCTTATCAATCCCATAATGTAGTTTTTCTCACTCTGTATTTTTGACTGCCGAATTGAAATAACCAACTTGAATATCCTAATATTTGTCAGCAGGACATCAGAAAGGTAGTACAGACTTGTAACAAATCAGTGATAGAATGTAATAAAAGAATGAATCTCTCCTTCCCCACTCCTCTTATGCCAGAACCACACCCATCCCTAGCCCAGGTAAAATTTGTTTGCTAGCCTAAGAAGTTTTCTATTTTTATAGTGTTACTTGTTACAACAGATTCTTATGAAATTTAAAATAATCCAAAATATACTCAAACCTTGGAAACTTGTCACAGAATTTAGTTATCATAAGCACATTTGACATTAATTTCACATTTAGGCCCTGAGGAGTTTCTGTCAGTGGACCTGTTAGGAAATTTGATAAAATTCAAGCTAGCCCCCTAATTGATGTAACTCTGAATTATATATACCAGTCTCAGATGTCCACCACTTCAGTAGAGCAAGTAAGATGTAGTAACTGAAAGTCACAGAAGCTCAGCACTCCCTCCCTGCCCGTGTTTATTTGTAGAAATCTATTTGGTGGAGGACGGATGTACCTGCTTTCTTAGTCTGTTAGCTGTCCTTGTCTGGGACCATGCTACCTTGCTTTTCACTGTATCCTGTGTTCAAATTATGGATGGGTTTAGATCTTAAGAAGAGGAAATAAGTGTTCTAGGTGGTAGAGAGAGAGATGTGAGTAAGCTTTGTCCAGGGACGGCTTTGATTTTCTTAGCTCACTCCACGATTTGTAAAGGCAGTTATTTCAATTACATCTAAAAATGCAGCACTGTGATTTGTATAACCCACTAGTTATAGAGTACTTTCACATGCATTCTCATTTGAGTCCCTCAAAATTCTGTAGATTTAGGGTTAAATAATTAACCTAGAGCCCTCCATATTCTTTTCCATATACCAGGAACTTAAATATTCAGCAGAACTCCTTCAATAGGTAAAAAGCCGTGTGAACCTCTGTGGATCTGTGTTTGCTTTGGGCGCCTGCAAAGAAGCAGAATGTTCACGTCTGCTCAGCCCAGCTACGGGGGTTATTCAGCATCCAATTACTTGGAGTGGGAGGAAGAACCAGCCCTGTCCCATTGTGTGTGTGTGTGGCAGGGTGGGAGTGCGGGGCGGGCATGGAACTCTGACAGGGATTTCTGGGAAACATACAGTGTGTTTCTTCCACAGAAATTCCTTTACTGTAGTTTTACACATTAGGTATCTTACAGAGCAAACAAACTTAACTTGCCTTAGGACCAAACTACTGTAATGTTATTTTGCATCCATTGAACAACCACGTGTTAACTGTGTACCACGCATGAATTGGTACCAGGCCCAGGGGTAGCATTGCAGCAAATGAGCTGGACCATCTCAGGGAGCCCACAAGTCCTCAAGGAGTGTTTCGAAGGAAATGTTGTTCTGACTTATGACCAGACTTTGGGAAATACAAACCTTTTCTAAGTGGAAGGGTACCTATATTTTCTTAGAAGAAATTTAACAAGAGAGAAAAGATCAAGCTTTTTAATGGTTACGTGAAGGCATTATTTCAAGAAGGATAATAAGGAATCAGAAGGCAATTTTACACGCCAGTCAGGATGGCTGCTATCCAAAAGTCTACAAGCAATAAATGCTGGAGAGGGTATGGAGAAAAGGGAACCCTCTTACACTGTTGGTGGGAATGCAAATTAGTACAGCCACTATGGAAAACAGTGTGGAGATTTCTTTAAAAGCTGGAAATAGAACTGCCATATGACCCAGCAATCCCACTTCTGGGCATACACACCGAGGAAACCAGATCTGAAAGAGACACGTGCACCCCAATGTTCATCGCAGCACTGTTTATAATAGCCAGGACATGGAAGCAACCTAGATGCCCATCAGCAGACGAATGGATGAGGAAGCTGTGGTACATATCCATTAAAAAGAATTCATTTGAATCAGTTCTAATGAGATGGATGAAACTGGAGCCCATTATACAGAGCGAAGTAAGCCAGAAAGATAAAGACCATTACAGTATACTAACACATATATATGGAATTTAGAAAGATGGTAACGATAACCCTATATGCAAAACAGAAAAAGAGACTCAGATGTATAGAACAGACTTGTGGACTCTGGGAGAAGGCGAGGGTGGGATGTTTCAAGAGAACAGCATCGGAACATGTATATTATCTAGGGTGAAACAGATCACCAGCCCAGGTTGGGTGCATGAGACAAGTGCTCGGGCCTGGTGCACTGGGAAGACCCAGAGGGATCGGGTGGAGAGGGAGGTGGGAGGGGGGACCGGGATGGGGAATACATGTAAATCCATGGCTAATTCATTTCAATGTATGACAAAAACCACTGCAATGATGTAATTAGCCTCCAACTAATAAAAATAAATGGAAAAATAAATAAATAAAGTAAAAAGCAGAGACATCACTTTAAAAAAAAAAACAGAAGGCAATTTTGAGTTTCAGTTTTAACACTTATTCAGAAGTGAATGAATGGAATACTAAAGCGGCTTACTCTCAAGGAACACTTCACTGTGCACCCGTGTGACACATGCTGCTCTGGCCTGGTACGCTGTGGGGAATAGACACCCTGCCCACACGAGTGGGGGGTCTTAGAGAATTATTTTGAGAAGTCCTTTAGTTTGAGGATATTATATGAACAAGTAAGGCATTAGCTAAAAATTCCTATAGTTCTTTGAAAAAGGTTTTCCAAAATCTAATTTTATTTGTTCTTAGACATATCAGTATACTTTCTTCCATGGTCATAGAGCCACAGAATTAATATTCACCCAAATTATAATTTTTCTCACTCTGTAGTTCCCATGTACATTTTTTAAGTGCTACAGTGATGGAGTGGGAGTAGAAGAAAAATAAAAAACTGAAGGCCAGGGTCTTTGGAGTTTTTCCCTAAACAATTCTTCCTAAGAAAACCTGTTTTACAACCTAAGTTTCTTAAAAGTTTAGTATCAAGTGTTTTAAACTTAGCTTTCAGTAACTTCATGAACTAAACTTATAAAAATCTATTTTAGGAGGGAGATACTGATGTGGTATGCTAGCTTTTCTAATTATATTTTTTTCATTTTAGGGGTTTAACAGTAATGTTTGAAATAATGAAAACTTATGGCCACACTTATGAAAAACACTGGTGGCAGGATTTATTTAGAATTGTTTTCAGAATCTTTGATAACATGAAATTGCCAGAACAGCAGACAGAGGTAAGAGATTTTCATTTAATATAGTCAAGTCAAAGGTTCTTTTTTCCTAATACATTTTAGTATTTCAAATTAAGCACAGTGAAAAGAAAAAAAATCCTAGAGATATCTTTTTTAAGGCATTCTGATATAGTAGTATTTCTTTGTAGTATGTTTTCTGTCGTCAAAACAATGCAGTTTTGACAATAGAAGTGAGTTAAGGTTTTTAGTATTTTTGTTGAACTTTCAGTATCTTTTCCTCATTTTAATACTGTCACAGCTAAAACATCAGTAGTTCTACTTAGTATTCATAGTGATTTATTTTAAATTGAATAAAGAATACATGGTAAGTTTTATTTATTTCTTGGTTTCTTTTAATTTTTTTAATTTTTAGAGTATGGTTGATTTACAATATTGTATTAGTTTCTGCTTTACAGCAGTGATTCATTCAGTTATACATATACATCTATCCACTTATTGTGATTCTTTTCCCATGTAGACCATTACAGAGTATTAAGTAGAGTTCCTGTAATGTTCAGTAGATTCTCATTATTTATCTACCTCATACATAGTAGTATATATATGTCAATCCCAATCTCCCAATTTATCCCTCTCCCCACCCCCTCCTCCCAACCCACTGGTAACCATAAGTTTATTTTCTGCATCCGTACCTCTGTATTTGTTTTTGTAGGTAAGTTCACTTGTACCCATTTTTTTTTTTTTAGATTCCACATGTAAGTGATACCGTATGATGTTTGTCTTTCTCTGGCTTCTCTCAGTACGACAGTCTCCAGGTCCTTCCGTGTTACTGCAAATGACATTCTCTCATTCCTTTTTATGACTGGTATACATATGTACCACATTGTCTGTATCCACTCCCCTGGTGATGGACATCTAGGCTGCTTCCATGTCCTGGCTATTGTAAACAGTGCTGCAGTAAACCTCAGGGTACATGTACCCTTTTGGATCATGTTTTTTTCCAGATATGTGCCCAGGAATGTGATTACTGGGTCCTTGGGCTTCCCTGGTGGGTCAGAGGTTAAAGCGTCTGTCTGCAATGCGGGAGACCCGGGTTCAATCCCCTGGAGAAGGAAATAGCAACCTACTCCAGTATTCTTGCCGGGAGAATCCCATGAACAGAGGAGCCTGGTGGGCTACAGTTCATGGGGTTGCCAAAAGTCAGACACAACTGAACAACTTCAATTCATGGTAGCCGTAACTCTATTTTTAGTTTTTAAGGAACCTCCATACTCTTCTCCATAGTGGCTGCACCAATTTACATTCCCACCAACTGTGTAGGAGAGTCTCCTTTTCTCCATGCCTTCTCTGCATTTATAATCTGTAGATTTTTTTGATGATGGCCATTCTAACTGGTCTGAAGTGATACTTCCTGGTAGTTTTTATTTGCATTTCTCTGATAACTAATGATGTTGAGAATCTTTTAATGTGCTTTTTGGCCATCTGTATGTCTTCTTTGGAGAAATGTCTGTTTAGATCTTCTGTCCATTTTTTAATTTGTTTTTTGATATTGAGCTGCATGAGCTGTTTGTATATTTTGGAGATTAATCCCTTGTCAGTTGCTTCCTTTGCACATATTTTCTTCCATTCTGAGGGTGGTTTTTTGTTTGTTTGTTTCTTTTGCTCTCCAAAAGCTTTTAAGTTTAATTAGGTCTTTTACTACAAACCAGTTACAGAATGTGTTTCAGTGTTTGTGGGGAGAGAACATCAGGTCTTTGTGTTTCGTTCCATATAGTGTGTTAAATGCAAATTTGGGGGCCTCTCTAACCTGCAGAAGATTTTACTTTAGATCTGCAGGTAGGCTCTTACTTAAAACATGTTATTAAGTAGACATATGTTTATGCAGGGGCATAAAACCATGTATAAAAATGAATCAGATTAGTCCACTTGAGAAAAATAAATTACTTAACACCAGTTTTATTTTAAACCTATGCTAACCCCACTTGGAAAATTCTTATCATTTCCTTCCTCTAATTTTTTTTTCCATGTTCTGTCATATTCTAGAGCAAGACCAACTGTTGCAATTAATGCTATGACTTTTCAGTAGCAGACACTAATAACAGGACAATGCAGTGATGGTTTTTTATAATCAAAACAGTGCAGAAAATAGTTATTCTATGCATAGGTTTATGAGATAATGAGAATAGGTATCAGATATGAAGTTGAGGTGAGTATATTCTAGAGGGAGTTAAGCACTCTGAAAGGAACATAGACAGTCTTATTTTAAATATGCAAACATTTTCTTTGTAACTTCTAGTAACTAATGAGTGGCCTGACCTTCATGTGATGGCTGTCTCCTTTGTAGAAAGCTGAGTGGATGACAACAACATGTAATCATGCACTCTATGCGATCTGTGACGTGTTCACCCAGTATTTAGAAGTACTCAGTGATGTCCTTTTGGATGACATTTTTGCCCAGCTCTACTGGTGTGTGCAGCAAGGTAGGTCTGTCCTGATAAATGACACAGGGTTAAATGTGACCCTGGTGATACACAAATGAATTGCTCTTTTCTTTTCCAGACAATGAGCAGTTGGCACGATCTGGTACAAACTGCTTAGAGAATGTTGTTATTCTGAATGGTGAAAAATTTACACTAGAAATCTGGGATAAAACCTGCAACTGCACACTGGACATCTTCAAAACCACAATCCCACATGCGTAAGATTTTATACCACTTTGTGTATTGAATGATGGACATAAAAGATTTGATAGGAAGTAGTGATTTCTCATAACAAATGCTTTGTCAGATATCTCAGTGTTCTATGAATTTGTGTTTATTACAGACCAAACTCCTATAAACCGTAGCAAATACATGAATTGTTTTATAAACCAGAATGTTTAGTCTTATCATCTAAATTTGGGTCAAAATGAAGTGCTTTTATGAGCTTTTATTCATGCAGATTAAACCTATCAGTGGTGTTGAATTTTTAAAAAATCTCAGCATTTATTTTAGTTACTGTGAGTAGTCTAAGGAAATTTCATTTGTAAATACAGTATTTCATAGTTATTTGTCATCCTTTTCTGAGGGATAAGTTTGGAATTGAATTGTAAGTGAGTTTTTACTAGTGGGGAAACTAAGACATAATCCTGCCACTTGACAGTTGATGGCACCCAATCGTTTGTAGGACAACTTGAACTTCCCCAGCTTCTTTTATGTCAAAGTGTGTTAGCTGTGGCATGTCTCACGCTCTCAGTGATTGGTATGGTTTTGGTATTTCAAAGGCTGTTGACCTGGCGTCCCATTTCTGGAGAAACTGCTCCCTCAACCCCATCTCCTGTGAGTGAAAACCAGTCGGTAAGTTTAAATAAATCAAGCCTATTTTAAATTATTGAACTATTCGTGATAAGAAATTTTACCATGGGGCACATCCTTTAATATGCGCCCAGCTCCTTTAGAAAGATGGTGTAAAATATAGATGGTTCTGAGACGAAGATTCAAATGATTTCTCGAGTGCAATAGGCAAATACCAGTTTACAGAAGGGTGTACCTGCCAAGCTGAAGATGTTATTGGATATTGTTTAAACATCCAATTTTGATAAAAATTTTACCTCAGAGAAAAGCTAAAAAAGCAGAATAAAGAATTCCAGCAGACCCTCCCCCTGCACACTTATTTCCTGGGTGTGTGTCACAAATTACTAATAAACTTCACAGCTTAAAGCAGCAGCAGTGTGTTCTCTCACAGTTCTGGGGCCAGAGGTCCAAACTGAAGGCTTCGCAGGGCCACGCTCCTTCCCCGGGTTTGCTGCCGCCAGCTGCTGCGGGCTGCTGACAGCCCCTGCCACTCCTTGGCTTGTACGCACGTCGCTCTGTTCGCTGCCTCATCTTTACGTAGCTGCGTAAAGTCAGATCTGTGCATCAGACCTCTCCTTCTCTTTTAAGGACACTAGTCATTAGATTTAGGGTCCACCCTAAGTTGAGAATGACCTGTTCTCAAAGTTCCTTAACTCTACAGACCCTATTTCCATGTAGCCTTTGTAAGTACCAAAGGTTAGGACTTGGACTTAGCTTTTTGGGGCCACTATTTAGCCCACTGCAGTCTACCCTCTGGTGCCCCAAAGTTCACATCTGTCTTCTGGGCTAAGACATTTATCCCATCCCAACATCCCCAAAGTCTCAATTTATTGTAGCATCACCACTAAGTCCAAAATCTCATGTAAATAATCATCGTATCAGAAGTTCCAGATCTTGCCCTCTAAGTCATCTAGATCAGGTGCATGGTCTGTGCTGGAGCAAAATTTCTCTCTCTGGACCCATGAACCTGTAAAATAAATGACCCCCTTGCAAAATACAATGGTGGGCAAGCATAAGTAAAGATTCTCATTCCAAAAGCGAAAATTGAAAGGAAGAAAAGGGTCACTTGTGGAGGCCGGCAGTGATCCTCAGTCTCTTCTTTGGCTCTGTCTGAGACCTGCAGCTGCCCTGGCTTTGCTTCTGGCCTCATGCTGGAACCAGGTGGAGCTGGCAGAGTAGTCGTGTCGGCCACCACATACTGTCTGACACTGGAGGTGCCTTGCATTTACTACCAAATCCTCCACAATCTGCAAAGAAAGTGTCGTCTTCATTTTCAGACCAGAAAACCTCAGCTTAGGAACAAGATTCCTGGCTTTCTCAAGATTACACGTAACTGGACTCTGGTGTGGTTCTGTGGACCTGGCAGCTTCTCTGCGGGGCCAGTCTCTTTGTCGGCCGCCTTCTCACTGGCCTATCTGGATGCTGGTCTGGGGTGACAGCATCCTTCCTCTGCAGAGCTTTCCTGGGCTCAGCCTGCACTAGGTGTGCACACACCACACCCACTACATACATTCTGTTTGAATTTCACGACAGTTCATGTATGTTGCTGACAAGTTTTGCCACACAGTGAAGCTTAGCGTTTTTATCTGTTACCCTTGGGTGGTGTCAGGCCTGATCTCAGTGAGGGTCAGAAAGTAAGCTTTTCTTTAAAAGATTACCAGCTCTTATCTGTGTGTAGTGATATTAAATAATTGTCCCATTATGTCCATTATTGCAGTGTGTGCAGTGTCATTTTCATAGGGACACAATGTAAATTACTTTTTTAAAGACAATGTAATAGAAACTGTTTTCATCATTAAGCTTTATTTGTTGTACTTAAAGTGAATCTTTTTTATTAGGATACAATATCACAGAAATCTGTAGATATTCATGATTCTATTCAACCAAGATCTGCAGATAATAGACAGCAAGCTCCATTGGCTTCTGTCTCGACTGTGAATGAAGAAATCAGCAAAATTAAACCCACAGCAAGTGAGTTATTTCTCTTAATCAATTGTGTATTTTGTTTTGTGTATGCAAGATAAGAAAGTTTTGCTTGTCCTCACACACACGTCCTGTAGTTGGTTACTGTAGTCACTTTATTCCTGAGTTGGCCGCAGCGCGGACATCCCTGATAGAGGCTGTCTCGCAGGTGGTCGGGACTCTGCTGACACCTGCCAGGCTCATTATTTTTCCTACAGCGCTCTCAGCTGATATTAGTTACAAGCACATGGGTGTTCTTCCTGCAGAAGAGGGGCCTAAAGGTCTGTCCTCAGCAAGAGGGGGGTAGCGGCCAGGGCGTCTGAGGAGCACTCTGCCCCGCGCCCCCCACCCCGGTGCTCCTCTTCACCTCCCCTCACCTTCAGTTCTTTTCACAAAGGGGGACTCCCTTGTTTTTCACTAAATGGGTTCAGTTTTGTTTACTGAACAGAAGTGAACAACACTGAGGAATGACAGCCTCCTTCCTGGAGGAAAATGGGAAATGTGTTCCACAGTGGCTGCACAATTTTGTATCCCACCAGCAATTCCATTTTTTCCACATCCTCACTAACATTTCAGTCTTCTTTTTCTCTCCTTAATAATAGCCATCCTAGTGGGTATAAAATGTTGTCTTGTTGTTTTACTCTGCATTTCCCTATTGATTAATGATGTTGAGTATTTTTTCATGTTCTTTTTGGCCATTTGTAATAATTTTTGGAGAAATACTTATTCGTGTCCTTTGCTAATTTTTAATTGGGTTATTTGTTGTTGAGTTGTAGGAGTTTCTTACATACTCTGGATACTATCCCCATATCACATACACGATTTGCAAGGGTTTATTTTCTCCCATTCTATAGGTCATCTTTTCACATCTGATGATAAATGCTCTGATGGTGCGAAAGTTCTTATTTTGCTGAAGTTCAGTTTGTCTTGCTCACGCTTCTGGTGTCAATGGTTAGGAACCAACCGCAGCCCAAACTAAGGTCAGGGAGATTTTCCCTAGTGTTGCCTTCCAAGAATTTTATACTTACAGCTCTTACATTTAGGAAGTTGATCCATTTTCAGTTTATTGTTTTCAGGGTATTTTTATTAACCCTCGGTGTTTATACTTGTTGTTGAGGGAAGACAGATTTTGTACCTCCTGGAAAGGAGCCTCTAGCTTCAGTTACTATGTCTCGCCACTTAAAAGGGAGATAGGTGGTGATGAGTTGTCCATTTTCGTTTTTCATTCCTGTTTTCTGGAACACAGCTGTTAGAATCCATACCAGCTTCGGTCTACCCTGGAAAATGTCACAGTACATGGCTTTGCTCTTTCAGCCCCAGGACTGGACCTTGGAAGGGAAGGACATAGTTTCAAGTTTTCACTGAGCTGATCTGGGCACATGCCTTGAACTGGAGTGGAGAGTGCTGCCCCTTGCCCCTCTGATCCGAGGGCTCACGTTTCCTTCCTCTCGCCACCCCCTCGCAGTCCTTTAGAAGAGCTCCCGTGTCCCCCAGAGCGCTCCGTGCAGGGGACGGGGCAGCAGTGCTGCCCAAGGAGGTGGCTCAGAGGAGCACAGATTATGGCTGCTCCGCTCCTTCACACTCAGAAGCTGGTGCTGCCCAGTGAAATGGTCCCTAACATGACCCTGTAGCCTTGTGAAGCAGACTTATTGAGACAGACATTGTCCCCCAGACACATTACTGTCCCTGCCGGTGAGGCCGAGTCCAGCTCCTCACCCGCGACAGCTCTGAATGCCCACGCAGACATGGTGGCTGGTGAGAACATGTCTCCCCAGCCTCAGTCTCCCCGAGTCTGGGGTGTGGCAAGCGTATCCTGCCCCAGAAACCTGAGAGTGTAGTTATGACTTGGATGAGGGAGGGCTAGGAAGGGACAACTTGGACTTGGGGGTGTCTTTGGTTTTTTACATTTTTTAACTTGAGACCTAATACTAAGAACTGAATGTTCAGTACAGCAACATTTCTGAAAACTATCTGGAAAAGAGCCGTCATGACCTAATAAAGAATAAATTTGCAAGTTGTTAGGCTGTCTTCCCCAAATTCCTAAAACCTGAATTTAACTTCTGGAAATTGGGGGATTCCCTGGCGGGTCCAAGTGGTGAGGACTCAAAGCTCTCACTGCCGTGGCCCACGTTCAGGAAACTAAGAGCCTGCAAGCTGCAAGGTGTGGCCAAAAACAAAAAAACTAAATTCTAGAAATTGGTGCCAGAAAAGGGAGTTTGTGAGAAAAGCAAAGTAGAAAAAACCTGAAGGGTTGTCAAGGCATCCAGTGCTGGAGCTGATGCCCTGAGGCCAGTGTACAGCCCCCGACCCCACCCCACCAGGGACGATCATCTGGCTCCTGGAAAGCTTCCCGGAGAACTGACCTTGGCTGAGCCAGTGCTGCTGGCCTTGAGCACCTCAGTAGTTGAGTTGTCTTTCCTAACCTTGTGTTTCTACATCTGCTCACCGGACACCATGGAGGTAGAAAGTCCTTCTTTCCATGAGTCTGTGTCCTTATAGAAATGGCCCTTCCGAGCACAGCGGTTCAGGCCAGAGGAAGGCAGCCGTGTTCCACCCCAGGCCATGTCTGAGCACCAGGCACCTCCAGGGTGGTTGCTCTCATAGTCCTGCACTAGGCATGATGCTGCGTGGACTTCTGGGCTTGTTACACTTTAGAAACAGGCCATTTTAGACGCACCACCAACCTGGATCCAGATAAAGCATGTACTCTGGCTGACCCTCCGTGTCGTCCAGTTGGTCACAGTTCTGAGCCCGTCACTCCCTGCCTCATAGATCTAGCTCCTATTGTTTTCTTCTGGCTTTTTTATATTACCTGTGTCAAAGATCAAACTTGGGTTTGTAGCAAATACTATTGAAACTGTAGCTTTTAATCCATTTGATACATTTTATTAAGGAATAACCTAAATATTACTTTAAAATTTGTCCTGCCACCTTCTTGAATGTATTCACTGTTCAAAGTTATTTTGAATATTTTTGTTTACTGAAGAAGTGAATTTTCTAAGGTTTTCTAAATACTGATTAAATGCAGCTTTTACTGAGTGCTCATGTGCAGAAGCAGGCTGTCCTTCAATGTGATGTGTGCAAGTTACCTTCATACATGTTAATGTTTCCTTAGCATTGTAATGTCACAGAAATTATAAAGAATTCAAAATAATTTTTGTTTGCATGTGCATTGGGGTGGGTTTCCTCACAGAATTTCCAGAACAAAAATTGTTTGCTGCCCTGTTGATTAAATGTGTTGTGCAGCTGGAACTCATCCAGACTATCGACAACATCGTGTTCTTCCCCGCCACAAGTAGGAAGGAGGACGCGGAAAACTTAGCCGCGGCGCAGGTGAGTGGGTGTGGGGGTCAGCTCTGCCATCTGGGCTTCAGAGCAGAGGCCAAGCTAGAGGGGCCGTTTGGGGGACCATCGCCCGCCCCATGGATGTCAATCCAAACCATGGGACTGAAGACATGGCCAAGGTTGTGAGTGTGGACACAGTGGGGAAGGGGGTCAGGAAGCGAGCCTGGGGCCTTGTGGTTGAGAGCTCATGATGAAGCAGTGGGTGAAGAGCTTGGGGGCAAGAACCAGGGAGGCAGGAGGATCCACAAGCCAGTGCTGCCTTGCAGCTCCGTGAGGAAGCTGTGCTGAGAAGGCTGCGGTCACCTATACTAGGGAAAGGGATCCACTGTGGAGTAGGGGGTTTGCCAGCTAGTTACTAAAGGGGTGAGGAGTGGGTTACGCACAAGGATATTTATGATTACAGTCCACAGCCTCACACTGGTTACCAGAAGTGAGGACCTCAGTAGGGCAGGGACCATGAAGGGGGTGGAGGCTGAGGGTCTCCTGGGGCAGAGCTCCGGGGTCGAGAGCTGTGGGCAGGGAGCCATAGACATTGGGAGTGGTGCTCAGTGAGAAGGGTGCAAGGAATGAAGATTCTGGAGATTTCACAAGAGAAGGTGGTCTTTTCCTGTTGAGACAGATTAAGTTCTATGGGCTGTTCATAGAAGTGGTCTTTGGTTCTAACTTGACTGTGGGTACCTGTGCTGTGGTGGTTTGTTTTCCAAAGAGAGACGCTGTGGACTTTGATGTTCGAGTGGACACTCAAGACCAAGGAATGTATCGCTTTTTAACATCACAACAACTCTTCAAGCTACTGGACTGCTTGTTAGAGTCACACAGATTTGCAAAAGCTTTCAACTCCAACAACGAACAGAGGACGGCTCTGTGGAAGGCGGGTAAGCCGTGCTGTGCGGGCCGCACCCTCAGCGGGCGTGCAGCGGGGTCACACGAGGGGACTCACAGCGCGAATGTTGATTCCTCACCAGCCATCGGCGAACACTCCATCAATGGGTCTTTCTCTAGTCTAGAAATTGCCGAATAACCACCTGGGTGGATGAGTCTCCCTGTGTTTAATCACACTGTTAATTGACTGGCTTTCACATTGTTTTTCACCCTCTGTGCTCAGCCTTGGCCTTGCTATCAATACCATCTGCTTACTGGAGCTGAGAAAAAGTGGGAGGGTCCCAGGCATGAAGGCATCTGTATTGAGTGCCTGCTCCCCAGGGCGTGGCCAGAACATAAGTCAGGGTTTTGAAGTGGGAGAGAAATTTTTTTGAACAAGTTGGAAAATTTAAGAAGCAAGCTTTTTAACAATTTTACTGACAGTGTTATTTTTTGAAGAAATAGTTACTTGGGGCCTATTAGGTGCAGAACAGTGCTGAGAGTGAGAGACTGAAGAATGTGCAGAAAAAAAGAAGGAAGCTGCTGTTCCTTGGACAGCAAAGTCCTCTGACAGAGTGCTGGGTGCTGTACACTTAGGAATTTTATTTCATCCATGGTCTCTTTACCACCTCATTAAACCCACCCAGGCTCTGTTCATTCTCTCCCTTCTTGTACAGCCTCGCTTCTGTAAATAGATGGTACTTAAATTTTTCCCATTTATTCAACCCAAGTTGTGGCCACTGTTCAGCTGAGACGGTTCCTGCCAAGGGCACTGGGCCCCTCACTTCCCTGGGCCCTGCAGGCTGCTGACCTTTGACCATTCTGGTTCCACACAGGCTGTGCACCTTCACTAGCTGCCCTTCCTCCTGTTAACTAAGACTTCCCATCTGCAGGCTTCAAGGGCAAGTCCAAGCCCAACCTTCTGAAGCAGGAGACCAGCAGCCTGGCCTGCGGGCTGCGCATACTCTTCCGGATGTACACGGACGAGAGCCGGGCCAGCGCCTGGGAGGAGGTCCAGCAGAGGCTCCTAAAGTAAGACTCGGGGCTTCGGCCCATGCACTGCTCAGTACAGAGGGTGGAGGGCCACGCCCCGCCCAGGGACTCCACAGCTGGGCAGATGACTTGGGGCCTGCAGAAGAGATTGTAAAAGCTAACACAGTCTTAAAGACATTTGTGCTTCCACAGAGTTGTTGAGATGTAAGCAAATGGTCTATTTTTGCTGTTACAGGACAAAGGAGGAAGTTCTAGGTCTTAATTTTTAGGCTCTTTTTCATGGCATAGATAGAAATGGATCAGTTTCTAAAAACAAATCTGAAAGTGAAAAATATCCCTGCTGACATTTAGTTTGAAAAAGTATGTGGAGTTTCTGTTGGTGTTTTAGTTTTGTTTGCATTCCATTTTTACTCCTTAAACTTAAGATTTTGTCCTTTCAGAAAGAATACAGTCTTTTACCTTGTATTTTTTTGTTTACTTAAGGGAATAGATGTTCTCAGAAACCAACTAATTTCATTTTAGAACTTCTGGCAGTCACCTGGGCCGCTTTCCCAGTTCTTGATGAGACTGTTAAGGCCCCAAAGCATCGAGGTCCCAGCGTGGGAGGGGGAGGGCCACCCTGGGGGTCAGCCGCAGTCTTGACACCAACCCTGTGCTTATGCTCCTCCACAGCGCTTTAGCATATAAGAAAACTTTCAAAATGAAGAAAATGGGGGCTTCTTGACAGGCTATAGTTGACCTTAGTTACCGTTCCTCCTGGTCTCAGTTGTTCCTGCTCGGTGACTGTCAGGCCAGCAGGTGCACCAGCAGCAAGCAAGATGGGGAACCTTTTCCGTTTCAGTGTCTGCAGCGAAGCACTCAGTTACTTTCTTACTCTGACGTCAGAAAGTCATCGGGAAGCCTGGACTAACTTACTGCTCTTATTTCTAACTAAAGTCCTGAAGATCAGCGATAACAGGGTGAGTACCAGGCACCTTGTCTACCAGCATCCTCAGCCTGAGGGGCACATGCCCGAGTGGGAGGCAGGGGTGCAGGGCCTCCCCACCTCACTCTGTTCTCTAGTGCGTGATCCTGTAGGGCCGCACTAGGGGAGGAATCGGAATCCGTTAGGACACCGACATGCTGCCCAGGTTCCCCCACCCGCCCCCTGGAGTCTCTCCTGTCGCATCCAAGACAGCTGCCAGGCATGACCCCGACCATGGTTGCGTCTGGGCAGCAGGCTCCCGTTGTTCCTCTGGGAGAGGGACTGATTCTGTGGGAATGGGCCGTAAACTCATTTGAGAATTTTAACCAGTAGAAAACAAAGATCAGATGTATAATGTGTAGCTATATATATATACCATTTAGACTTTTCAGAAATACACATTTTACTTGTTTAAAAATGTAGCAACATACAGCCCACATAAATGGAAACAGGGGTTCCTGTGATCCCTAAATAGGTTTAAAAATGCCTAGTCTGGTGGCTGACACTTTGGGCCCCACAGATGCCATGTAATGCCACTCTGTGCCCATGTGTGTGCCCCTCTGACCTGGGCCAGGTAGAGCCCAGAGAAGTACCTTCCGGCATCCAGCAGCCAAGTGGATGAGGAGGACTTCCAGTCCGTCCGCCTTGTCCCACAGGTTGCCTTCGTACCAGTGTCGCACCGCTCCCTCACACCTTAGAAGGTGGAGGAACAGACAAGGAGAGAAAACAGGCAGACAGCTAGTATTCAGAGACTGAACTACAACAAAAATACAAAGTGTATCAGTGGAACTATAAATAATAGAATGTATGGAGCCCTCATATTTTATATTGCAATATTAGAATTTGAAGTTTTAGAGACAAGTCTATTTACCAGACAGAATAGTTTCAGTAACCCATAGCTTATAAAAACTGTGATTCTTGCTTGGCTTCTTTCTTTTGCTTATTACCCAAGGCAAAACAATGATAAATAATAAATGTCATAAGTTTGTCAAGGAAATGTAATGATAAATGTTTTCCAAAATAAGGATGGATAACTAAGTGAATCATGTGCATACTAAGTTCTGAATACATCTCAGTCTTTCAGTTGCATGATCAGTAATCACTGCTTTATGCAGACGCGTCTCCTGTCTTCACTCTCAGGGCCCTGTCTCCGAGTGGGTTCCTTCTAAAGGCACTTTGAGGTTCTGTGGTTTGCAATGAGAGCATTACTAACAGAATTCATTTCCCCCCAGTTTAAAGCTCATGCATCATTCTACTACCCTCTCTTATGTGAAATTATGCAATTTGACTTGATTCCTGAACTTCGTGCTGTTCTTAGAAGATTTTTTCTGAGAATTGGAGTAGTTTTTCAGATATCTCAACCACCTGAACAGGAACTTGGAATAAACAAGCAATGATGGGAACTTCATATTTTTCTGTTGGCGTTTACATCCCTCCGTTCTTTAAAAGGACCCCGGAGCTGAGGTTTCCTACCTGAAAAAATGGTTTCTCTGGATTGCTGTGTCTAAGGGTTACTTCTAAGAAGCTTAGAATTTCAGTTCGAACCTGCAGTGCTCCCGTCCATCCCTTTGGTAACCTGGTGGATTCTGTTTGTCGTGTTGGGCTCACAAGCAAAAAAGCTGTTCCCACAGCGTCAGCTTGTATGCTTACAAGCCCTCGGTGGCAGGGAGAGCCCTACACATTTCTGGCAGGTATGGAAGTGAAACTTACCCAAAGAACTCTAGATGTAAAGATTTGAACTTCTGCAAGAAGTACAACTCAGGAGAGCTGTATTTTGAAGGATAAAATGTTTATAATTGGGGGTTGGGGGGAGAAGAAATTATTGTTCATGGTAAAAGTTATTTAGCAACTATGGTATTCTTATTCTGAAGATTTTTGCACACTCAGGCTATCTGAGATACTGGTAATGATCCTTCTGTGAAAAATGTACAGAGATGCAGGTCTGTAATATAAAAATCTTAAGACATTATAGAGTTCTTCCTGCACTGTTTTATTTCTTTATTTTCTTATTCATTTGCTAAATACCTATAATATTTTGTCAAATGCACTAAACATTTGGGTTGAACTTCTTGTCCTTTTTATTTTGTGGGGATTTGGTTTTGCCCTTTTTACAGAGTGGTTATTTTGAGGGTTTAACATGCACAGAAGCTGTTGTGGCCGACACTTGTCATGATTAACACCAACAAAGGTGGAACATACCCCTGCTGACGTAACTACCTGTAATACACTTCTCTTAGGGCTTTGAAAGATGAGCCATTAAAAGAATGATCCTTCATGGACCGAAACTTGAATCACTGCAGAATGAAATCTTGGTTGCTGTCACTTCCTTTTCTTTTCTTTTGGGTGGCGGGGCTTGATGTAGATTTTACTCTATGTACAGAATTTAATGTTGAATATATTAAAATAACAAATCTGGCATGGTTTGGGGAGGTTAGATTTACTGGAAACGTATTCATACTGTGAATTGTGCTCTGATGGTTAAAAAAACAAGATTGTCAAGCATTCCGTATTAACAGTGGATGTAGAAAATTTTTTCAGATGGATAAAATGTATATGGTACAGATGTAAAGTTTTCTATGTAAAAAATTCTGTACAACTTTCTGTACAATATTGATTCTCATCTGGCATATTCTAATCAGGTTATAGGTCAATAAAGTTTTTGGATTATTTCATCAGTGCAATCAAAACCTATGTCATCCACGGCCCCATGTTTCATTGACTTTTTTTTTCTTAAAAGCCTAACTAGGGAAAGGATATTCCCATTCACAGGTCCATGTGAATCCAATGTCCTTTAGTTGTGATATTTTCTCTCCAGTTCCTGGCATTTGATCCTCCCCCATATCCTGCTTTCTCAACTATAGGCTATTCATAGTTTAATATTTTGTGCATTTATAAACCCAGAATAGGGCAGTACTATATGAATGAATGCTGAGAGAAAGAGAAAGTAAGTTACCTTTGGGGCAGCTTGCAGGGTGGTGGCACGTGTGTCCTCAGAGTGCAGTTGAGTTCTACAACGACCTGAAAAGGAAAGAGAGAACATGTCAAGACTATTTATTTTGATGGTTGTGTTCAAAAACCAGGAGAGCATTCAGTCTTAGCCCTCGCATCTCTCAGGTCACCAGCAGTCGCTCAACAGTGTGTGTGTAAGTGCACTAATTTGTTACCCCCAGGACCTGGCCCTGTGCAAGCGCAGCTGGATGCTGCAAGAGCCAGGAGCCCCTGTGACCATCTAGGCTTGTCTCAGGGCATGTTAAAGGACCTGGCTGTGTATTATTAATATTTATGGTATAAAATCAGGACTTTTCTCCAGCAGAGACTTTCATCTTACTTTCAGGTGAAGACCTAAGAAGAAAACTCTCATAAATGATTTGATTACAAAAATTAGCATGGCATTTACATGCAACTAAAATTCCAAATATCTGAGAAGTTTCCCACTTAAAGGTGTGCTTACCTGATCTTAGAAGCATACCATCAGTACCTAGGTGTGTTCTCGGCTCTCTAGTAGAATCTAAACAAGAAATATTTCCAAGGATTTGAATTAGTCTTCCCTTTTTTAAAGGCATCTCTTAGGGAGCATTTAGGAGGGCTGACCCCTCACCACAGGGTCCTCAGTCATGTGGCAAGGTCCCCATCCTCGACCCCGGGTCCTCCTGCCTCTCTTCGATGTCTATGTAGAAACCTCAATTCCAGTTAAAGGAAGAAACGGACACTGGTAATAAAAATAATTTATTTTTATCAAGAAGTAGTTACATCATATAAAGAGCAAACTTAATGCCTTCATTGGCACAAAAATAGAGGCAGAAAGATGGGACATGTAAGTGCATGGCTCACAGGAGTATAATCACAAATCTATCATTTATTCTGAGTCAGTAGTTATCAATGAGAAATAGCACATCTGATTCTGATTACAGAGCAACAGCTATATTTACTAAGTGAAGAAATGATTTTGAATAGTGATAATAGCAGCAGATGTACATACAGCAAAGAATATTCTTACAGTACTGTTAAGATACTTGTTTTATTCACCTTATCTTACAAGCAGAATTTAAAATAATGCACATATGGTAGTTGATTCCAAGAGTTCATTACCACCCCACTTTATGGCAAAGTTGTGCAAAAATAATTCTATACAAATTCTACATTATATAAATTAATAGCCATGGCTTTTTATTTATGTACATAGTATAAATACATCATATACATCATCATGGAAAAAAATATACCTTATATACAGATGGAATATGAGTAACTGCCATGTACAGGCCAAAAGTAGCACACATTATTCGGGTTCAGGTTTCACATTCCTTCCACCTTCAAAGGCACTACTGGGCCCAGTACAGACTGATTTTAACCGTGTGCAGTAGACAGGCCCTGCCAGGCGAAAGTGCCTAGTTTGCCAGGACCCTGCTGCTGTTCCTGCCTCAGCTGTTCCGCCATGAATCGCTTCAGTGTTTCCGAGGTGCCTGGGCGGAGCCAGGGCTCAGTGGCTACAGAGTTTGATCCGTCGTCACCCCGGTGCCTCATGATGTCATCAGGGTCAGCCAGTGAACTCTCATCATCTAAAGGAGGCAAGAGAGACGACTCAGGTAACAGGAACGGCAGGTAGATGATGGGAACAGACCTCCTGTGTTCTAACCCATTAAGCTCTGCATTTCTCCACAGCACTGTGTTCTAGACTGTCCTGTTTTGTCCACACCCCTCCTTAGAGAGATAGGAAAGCAAACCCAGGAACAAGCCAGTCATATGGAACAAAACAGCATCAACTGAGCACGGCGACTCTCTGGTCCCAGCACCCACAGGGATTCAAGGACAGCAGATGGCACCAGCTGACTAGGAAGTGTCCGCAGTCTCCTCCGTGTCCCCTGAAGGGCGCCACACCCACCTGTTCCTGCTTTTAGCGAGGTTTTGGAAATACTCCTGACACTGCTTTAAGGAAAGAAGGTCATTTTAGGAAATCAGACAGGGATGAAACTGCTTCCATTCTTGTACCTAATCTAAGAGGTTTTATTTATTCCATTAAGACATAGCTCTCATTTTTCATTCTTTTAATTAGTTATACGCAGAGCTTCTCTATTTAACTTCTCATTAGATATAATAATAGGAAAATCTGTCTTCCCTACCCTGTGATGTCAATTTTTTTTTTTTAATTACATCTCCTGGTCTGTGAAGCATTAGTTCAGCAAAGGGACATGTGCAATCAATGCAATGAGCAATCAGTCTACAACATACTAAAAAGCTGTTTGAAAGGACAATGTTTTAAAAAATGTTCAGAAGTTGAAACTCTTCTGAAAAAGATACTTCAAATGGTTTATTTTCTCTCAATTTAAGTATATCCTTGTTCACTATTAATTCAACTTACTGGTTCTAAAAGAAACTGAGGAATAGGTAATTCTCAGTACAGATTAAAATGTCTTTTAGCCAGAAAGCAAGCATTCTTTCCCACTGTCCACATTTTTCTAGGTATGGTATGAAAAGTACTTATCAGTCTACCATGTTGTCTGGTATTTGGTAAGAAATTCCTACAGTCAGCACACATAATATCTTGATAGAGATGGTATGAGTACAGTTTTAAATTAATACAACATTAAAGGTTGTATCTAAAATACATCTTTGAAAAATCTTTAAAAAATAGCTATTAGAAAATTATTGTATGAACTCTAACAGAATAAGGTGAATTGTTCAAATAGACCACTCTGCTATTTGCTAAAGCTAATAATAGGGCTTATTACTATATTATCATCCTATTATCCTCATGACTGACAGCAGTGCCATAAAGAAGGTGGCCAAGAGCTGGCAGAGGAGCTCATGAGTTGCCTTAGAAGTGTCCTGCCTGCCTGTGCTCAGTGATCAAGCTTTTAACCTGCTGTTCACCAAAGATGTGAGATACAGCAATGCCTTGCATGATAAAAAAAACTACTTTGACATTTAAAAAGAAAATACTATCCTGAAGCTTTTTTGCTTTATCCACACACAGAAAGCCAAGTAAAAAGGTTAAAAAAAATTTCTTTGTACTACTACAAATTTATAAAAGATGTGTTATATAAAGAACCAAGGTTTTAAAGTTGACTTCTGATAATCTGTCACTTCAGTCCAGACATCCTGGAATGCAAAGTCAAGTGAGCCTTAGGAAGCATCACTACGAACAAAGCTAGTGGAGGTGATAGAATTCCAGTTGAGCTATTTCAGATCCTAAAAGATGATGCTGTGAAAGTGCTGCACTCAGTATGCCAGCAAATTTGGAAAACTCAGCAGTGGCCACAGGACTGGAAAAGGTCAGTGTTCATTCCAACCCAAAGGTCAATGCCAAAGAATGTTCAAACTACGCACAACTGCACTCATCTCACATGCTAGTTAAGTAATGCTCAAAATTCTCCAAGCCAGGCTTCAACAGTACTTGAACCATGAACTTCCAGATGTTCAAGCTGGATTTAGAAAAGGCAGAGGAATCAGAGATCAAATTGCCAACATCTGGATCACAGAAAAGGCAAGACAATTCCAGAAAAACATTTACTTCTGCTTTATTGACTATGCCAAAGCCTTTGACTGTGTAGATCACAACAAACCATGGAAAATTCTTGGAGAGATGGGAATACCAGACCACCTGTCCTGAGAAATGTGTATGCAGGTCAAGAAGCAACAGTCAGAATTGGATATTGGATATGGAACAACAGACCAGTTCCAAATCGGGAAAGGAGTACATCAAGGCTGTATATTGTCACCCTGCTTATTTGACTTATATTCAGAGTACATCATGTGAAATGTTAGGCTGGATGAAGCACAAGCTGGAATCAAGACTGCCTGAAGAAATGTCAGTAACTTCAGATATACAGATGACACCACCCTCATGGCAGAAAGCAAAGTGGAACTCAAGAGCCACTTGATGAAAGTAATGGAGAGTGAAAAAGCTGGCTTAAAACACAACATTGAAAAAACAAAGATGATGGCATCCAGTACCATCATTTCATGGCAAATAGATGGGGAAACAATGGAAACAGGGACAGACTTTATTTTCTTGGGCTCCAAAATCACTGCAGATAGTAACTGCAGCCATGAAATTAAAGATGCTTGCTCCTTGGAAGAAAAGCTATAACCAACCTAGACAGCATATTAAAAAGCAGAGACATTACTTTGCCAACAAAGGTCCGTCTAATCAAAGCTATGGTTTTCCCAGTAGTCATGTATGGATATGAGAGTTGGACTCTAAAAGAAAGCTGAGTGCTGAAGAATTGATGCTTTTGAACTGCGGTGTTGGAAAAGACTCTTGAGAGTCCCTTGAACTGCAAGGAGATCCAACCAGTCCATCCTAAAGGAGATCAGTCCTGAATATTCATTGGAAGGACTGATGCTGAAGCTGAAGCTCCTGTACTTTGGCCACCTGATGTGAAGAACCGACTCCTTGGAAAAGACCCTGATGCTGGGAAAGATTGAAGGCAGGAGGAAAAGGGGACAAGAGGGTGAGATGGTTGGATGGCATCACTGACTCGATGGACATGATTCTGAGCAAGCTCCAGGAGTTGGTGACAGACAGGGAAGCCTTGCACGCTGCAGTCCATGGGGTCGCAGAGTCGGACATGACTGGGCAACTGAACAACTACTTCTTCAGTACGGAAGCAAGACACCAGTACAAATCAACATTTTCCCTGCTGAAAGCAAAGTCTGGATGTGTTTAACACAAAAAAACCTTATCTATTTAGGATCCACTTGAAAAGGGGTACTGTCTCTGGCAGGAAGAATCTGTTGCGAAATTAATCCTTAGGCTGTACAACTCCAAGGATTTAGAACTCACTTCCTCTCAGCCATCAGTGAAAACTTCCATGAAGCAGGTCTGAGTTTTCACCAAATTTGCTGTTGGCTATTATACTTGGCCTTTTACCTGCAGTAATAGGTTTATTCTGAAGTTCATTCAGTCTTCTCATTCTTTCTTCATTTCTCATTCTAAGTTGATCAATATTTATACTGGATACAGATTTTAAAGAGACACCATCTGGTGGCACATCAGGGTGACTGTTATCCTGTAATTAAGAAAACAGAACTTCAGAAATTATCATTAACATAAAATATGTTCACAATAAACCAGTGAATCCAAACATGTTCTTAACCTTGATAAATGTATAGTGATGAACAAAATTAAATCTGTAGCATTTATATTCTAACTTGTGTTTATCCTTGCAGGCTCAGATGAAGGTAAAGCATTTGGTGATAACATATAAATGCTATCAGAGTGGATAAAGGTGGGGAATTACAAAACACAAAAGGAAAACCTGAAACATCAGGGGCTAAGAGTCAGTCCAGCTATACTAACCCAAGACAGCCTGGTCCTGGCCTAAGGGTATAGACATGGATGAGTGGAATAGAAATAGAGAGTCCAGAAATAAGTCCTTATACTTAGGGACAGAAAAACCAATAAAATTCACTAGGATTTTTCTCAACAAATGGTACCAGAATAACAATATCTACATGTAAATAACAAATTTGGACCCTTATGCCTCATACCATTTGCAAAAATTAGCTCAAAGTGCATTCACTGACCTAAATTTAAGAGCTAAAACTCTTAGAAGAAAACACAGAAATAACTTTCACGACCATGGGTTAGGCAATGGTTTCTTCGATACAACAGCAAAAGCACAAGCAAAAACAGGATTGATAAGCTATACCTCTGTCAAGATCAAGAGCTTCTGTACTTCAGTGGGCACCATCAAGAAAACATTTGTTAAGTCTAATATAGGACTTGTATCCAGAATCTATAAAGAGCTTAGAACTCAACAATGAAAAGATGACCCGATTAGAAAACAGGCAAAGGATTTGAATAGACCTATCTCCAGAGAAGATCTCCAAACAGCTAAGAAGCACAAGAAAGAATGCTTAGTATCATTTTGTCAGAAAAGTACAAAATCAAATCCACAATGAAATAATACTTTACACTCACTAACAAATGTTGGCCAGGGTGTAGAGAAACTGGAACCTTCACAGACTTTTCACAGGGTGGGAATGTAAAATGGAGCAGCCACTTTGGAAAACAGTCTGGTAGTTCCTCAAGATGTTATAGGATCAGAAAACATCTGTATGCTAACATTAAAAGCTGCTATATTGATAACAGAGAAAAACTGGGAACAACCCAAATGTCTATCCATTATTGAATAAACAATTGAAAAAAAATGTGGAATATCCTTATGATGAAATGTTACTTGGCAATAAAAAGGAATCAATTATATGTTATGACTCAGAGGACCTTTGTGTCCCAGTAACCTGCTGATGGTCGCGTCAGCATTTGGTGGCAGAGCCTCAGTTCAGACCCATGCCCAGCTTAATCAAGAGCATGTTCTCCTTCTTTACTGGACCATACCAGTTTAGCCATGAGTCAGCCAGACCTCTCCTTCCTAAACTTGAAAAAACAAGAGGACATTTCATACATACGAAGTCCAATCCTTTCAGTTTGTTCCTCCTGCGCTCTCTGGCGGAGGGCAGCGGAGACAGTGGCAGGAAGCCCCCATCCTCAATGGCAGGGTACGTCTCACCGTGTGCACCTAGAGAACGTGGGGGGAAGCTGTGAACATCCACCTTTCACGTATCCATTTAGAGCTAACCCAAGACTGTCTTTTAATAGTTCTATTAAGTTATTATTTACATATGATAAAATCTGCCCACAATAAACATACAGTGATTTTTAAAGAACTGCACAATCACTATACTCTAGTTTTAGAAATTTTGATCACCTCAAAAAAGCTCACTTGTGCTGACAAAATCACTCCACCACTTCCACCTACCAAGCCCATGTGAACACTGATCTGCCTTCAGTCTCCAGATGTGTACTGTTCCTAAGATTCCATATGGAATTCTACAATGTAATATTTTGTGGGGCTTGTTTATTTTTTGCAGAACAAAAAATAGTAAGCTGAAGACATGATGATACTTCATCCCTAAATGCTTTAGCAGACGCCATCTAAGAACAAGGGCCACAGACTGTACAGCCACAATCTCAGTACCACATTCAGGAAATGTAACATTGATACAATACTATCATTTAATGTATAATTGATACTCAAATTTCTGAAATTATAGTTTTTCTAAAAGCAGCAATAACTATATTCTATTGAATGAGAAATGGGCTTTTCTAAAACTCCAAAAATAAAGTTTTCTGACTTCTTTATTATACCCCACCAGTAACTCACCTGCTCTTTTTTTTAAACGCTTTGTTTACAGTTTTTTAAGGTCAGTAAAACTGAGTGGAACGCACAGAGAATTCCTATTAAACCCCCTGCCACCACATATTCAAAGCTTACCCATCTATCAACAGCCCCCACAAAATGGTACATTTGTTAAAACCAATGAACCTACAATGACACATCATTTTCGCTGAAAGTCCATAACTAGGGTTCATTCCTGGGGTTGTACACCCTACCGCTTCTAACATATCCACCATTCCAGTGTCATACAGGATAGCTCCACCACCCTAAAATCCGCTACGTCTCACCTGTTCATTCCTTCCCCTGCTGTGACCTTGTGGCAAGCACTGATTTTTTTTTTAACTATCTCCATAGTTTTACCTTTTCCAGAAAGTCATAGTTAAAACCATACAATATGTAGATGATTCAGATTGACTCCTTTCCCTTACAAACATTCAAGGTTCCTCCATTTCTCTTCCTGGCTTTGTAGCTCAATGCTTTTTAGCACCGAATAATACTGCATTGTCCAGATCTATCACTGTATATCCATTCATCTACTTAGAGATAACTTGGTTGCTTCCAGATCTTAGCAATTATGGATAAAACTGCTAAAAACATCTGTGTGCAGGTTTCTGTGTGAACATAAGTCTCAACTCCTTTGGGTAAATACCAAGGAGTGTGAATGCTGGATCATGTGGTAAGGGTATGTTTACTTTTGTAAGAAACCACCAAACCATCTTCCAAAGTGATGGTACTGATTTCCATTCCCACCAGCAATGAGTTAGCGTACCTCTGGCTCCATATTCTGCCAGCGCTTGGCAGAATATGTGTCCGTGTTCCAAATCTGGGTCATTCCATAGGTATGTGGTGGTGTCTTGGGTTGATCTGAGTTTCCCTGATGACACGTGACCTGTGTTTCCCTAATGACAATGATGTACATGGGGCACCTTTTCATATGCTTACTTGCCATCCTCTGTCTGTGGTGAAGTGTCTGGATCTTTTGCCCATCTTTTAACAGGGCTGTTCTCTTAACTGTTTTAAGAGTTCCTGGTGTACTTGGGATAGGAGTCCTTTATTAGACATGCTTTCCACAAATATTTTCTCCCTGTCTCTGGGCTTGTCTTATTTTCTTGCCATTTGCAGGTCACTGAAGTTTAATTTTAACGAGGTCCAAACAAAGAGTGGGCTTCCCTCAGAGCTCAGTCGTAAAGAGTCTGCCTGCAGTGCAGGAGACCTAGGCTCGATTCCTGGGTCAGGAGCATCCCTCCAGTGTTCTTGCCTGGAGAATCCCATGGACAGAGGAGCCCGGTGGACTAGAGTTCATGGGGTCCCAAGAGTCGGACATGATTGAGCAATTAAGCACAGCACAAAGAGTAAAGTACTGATTTTTTAGGTATGGAGAAAAACACCTGAATATAAATAATGCTAAATATTTAAACAAATAGATTGCTAAAATAAACATACTCACCAATAAAAGCACTATCAGATTCTAATAATGAGTTTGTCAAGAAATCATCAGTGTCATCTCTGGGCTAAAAGGAACATCATATATTAATGACTATTTTTATTAGTCCTGTGTAGAAAAACAACAGATCTGTACAAAGAGGCACAAGTCTCCACACTCCCCAAAACTAGCAAAAGTGCATGGGGAGAAGTAGGACTGGCTGGTTCCCTCTTCCACCACATTCCAATGCCTAGAAACCACAGGAAAAGACCTTTTATTATTAAGAGTTACATTACCACTGATAAAAATATAATGGAGTGTGAAGCAATGAACCAAATTAAACATTTAAAGTCTTTACATCATTGTCAAGATTTATCTATTCTCTCAATAAATCTTGAGTGCACTTAGTATTTCCTGCATGTGAGATACTGGAGACAGAGCAGTAGGAGTTTCTGCGATGGAGTGGGTCACGCTTCCGTGGGGAGAGGCGTGCCCTCGGATAACGACAGCCCCGTGGGACGGCATGTGTCCCAAAGACACAGCACGATAGACGGGGATGTAAGAGTAGGGCAAGTAATGCTAGGGTCGGGCTTGTAATGAGCTCTCAAATTAGAGGCAGGAAATTTACATCTAGGGTTTACAACAGAGAATGTCATCTTACATATTGGAAGAAATCTAAACTCACCCCACACCCCTCCCTGCATGTCCCTACCAGGTTTCTAGGATGTGCTAGAACACTCCAGTGAAGAGCTGTCCACTAACCTCTAAAGGAAGTGCACACACTGAGGCCTAGTACTGGTTACCAGAAAGTTCTTATCTTTCACTGAGTTCTTCCATATACTGAATTCTTTCAGTATATGAACTGAATTCTTTCGCCTTTAACACCCAAGGACTCTACTTCTGCCTTCAAGAACGACAGTAATGGTAAGAGCTTCTCAAACTGCCAAATGGTCTGAACCAGCAGCTGTCCTTAACACTGCATACACTGTCCAGCCTCTCTTCTGTCTCACCGTCCTTGCCACACTGGAAAGAGTGACCACCTCAGCCCAACCTTCACGACAATCTTGAGTCTCCATATAGTCCAGTCTCTAGGAAGGTGAGCCCCAAGTCTATTGGCTTTTCTTTTGTGACGGCCTTGTTGAGCTGTCGGCTCATGCTCAGTTTCTACGCAGCAAAACACGGGGTTACTAATCAGCATTTAACTAAAACCCCAGTGGTTAAATTCCAGTGCCTTCTCACTGAGAAATGTGCTGCCACATACAGAGGAACCTACAGCGTGTCCAGAAAAGATGTCCATGCATCTCCAGTAATGTGGGACGGGGAAGGGCTCTGGGTTCAGCCTGTGTCCAGACGTGGACTTTACTGCTCACTGGCTATGTGATCGTGGCCTGAGCCTCCTCTTAAGTAAAATGGGGGTAGGCAGACCTTGTTGTGAACTTCAGAGCAAATACACACCAAGCACCTCGCAGGTAGTACGGGCATGGACTTGCTGCTGTGAGACTGTTACCACCACTATCAGTTCAAAACCAGCACCAACGGTAACACTGAGCAAGTAGCAGCCTAGCTGAGCCTTATTTTTAAAATCTGAAAATGGAGATAATATTACCTGTATTATTAGTGTGGGGAAGATTAAATTTATTTCCAACCTCAATCTTTCCCCAAACTTTTCCTCTTAGCCATCTATTCACTACCTCCCAACTGTCTGTCTAGTGGGCATCTTAGACCTACCAACTAAATATTTTATAATTTCTCCTTGTTTCTTGGCTTCCCTTGTGGCTCAGCTGGTAAAGAATCTGCCTGCAATGCAGGAGAACTGGGTTCAATCCCTGGATTGGGAATATCCCCTGGAGAAAGAAAAAGCTACTCACTCCAGTATTCTGACCTGGAGAATTCCATGGACTCTACAGTCCACGGGGTCACAAAGAGTCGGACACAACTGAGTGAAAGTAATCCCTCGGAGGGCAAAGATTTTTGTTCACTCCTGTGCCCCCAGGCACGTACAGTATTATCTGGTCCATAGTAAGTGTTCCACAAATATCTGCTGAACAAAAATGGCTCGTCCCCCCGCCCCTTCAGTCTTCGCACAGATGTCCCTTTCTCAGGATAAGTTACGCCTTTTACAGGTCTCACCACTGCATGTATTACAGACTCTTACTCCCACCACTACTGCCTGCACTAAAACTGATCACATTCATTATGGAACAGGCCGCACAAGGGTTTTTAATGTTTTATATCATTTAATCCTCACAATAGCCTTTGAGCCATTTTTTTAATCCAGTTAATAATAAACATCTATGGAGAAATCACTATATGCTAGGCCTATTCTTATGTGTTTGCAGATATTAATTGATTTTAATCATAGCCACCCTCAGAGATAAGTACTATCATCCCATTTTACAGACTAGGAAACTGAGGCAAAGAAAGATTAAATAAAAGATTAAGTACCTTGCCTAAAGTCACACAGCTAAAAACATACTAACTTGAACAGCCTAGCTCTAGAGTCCTATTCTTGGTCATTACAGTAAGCTTTCTCTACGTTATTAGACTTTACCTACCCATAACACTGATGGGACAAGATTTAAATTCTTTCTTAACTCAGTATTTCTGAAGAATTCAAAATTGGAATACTCCCTTATCATGTTCCTAAAATCTTCTACCACTCAAAAACTAGCTTGAGAAACCATAACTGATTTCTTACCATTCTGTGGTCTCGTGCTTTAGTGCTTGGGACAGCATCCAAGTCAGCTGTAGTCATGAGGGGTAAAAATGAGATAAAAGGTTAGAAAGTACTTCAGAGATAAATTTTAGAGCATCTTTTGTAGTTAATCCGTTACTGGAAATTACTTTTCAATGATCATACTTCAGAATATTTTAAAGATACTACTTGTTTATCAATAAATATAACCCAGCACCCAATTCATTCCAGTTACATAAAATTCTTCCATTCACATTTAATAAATAAAAATCACTGTGAATTTAAAACTGACGCCTATAGAAATATAACCATCTCCTCTCATATTTCTGCAATCTGTGTAGAAAATTGTTGAGAAGAGTTAAACAACTCCCTTATGTGGCATTGAAGGAAATGAATTCAACTCCAAGCGCCTGGTTTCAGGGGTGAAGATTTTTGGATCAGCTATCCCAACGGCCTCTCTGATTTGACCAGGGTTTGATGTGTTCCTCTGAATAGCTTATTTTATCCTTGTAGCTACTGCCTTTGGGAATAAATAGACTACTGATGGTAGCCTGTATTCCTTCTTAAAATATTTTATAGCCATGTTTTTGATTGTTGTGAGTTACATCATATTCTTATGAACTAAGCCATCACAGTGTTTGGTAGAAACTGGGGTGGTTGCCACAGCGGGTGTACAGCCTCAGTGCCTGTACCCACATAGGCTGAAATTAGCCCACAGTAGTCCCCAAGTTGCCAAGATCACGCCAGATCAGATCATCAGCTAGGTCACCTCAGGGAAAGTTCCACCAAAGTGGGTGTAACGATTGAAGACTGTACTTGCTTCTCTCCTCTCTCCTAATAATATGCCTACTATTTATCATGGACTCTGGGTTACTCTGCTGTCAGAGGGTGATCAATAAGACCACTGTTAAAAGTTCTGTACAGACGGAGGGAGGACGTCTCCTATCCCCTTCACTGAAGTCTTGCCCTGTGATCTGGGCCTGACGTGGTACACAGCTTACTCCTGTGATCCTCTCGTGTGATCAAAACAGGCTCCCCAGATTCTGCTGGTCAGACAAGCCTGCTAAGTAGGGTTTTGAATTTTCCTAAAAATAACTGGTAGGACCGTCTCCTCCTATTCTTGTTACTTAACTGCTGTATTTTTATGACTCCTTTTCCATGGCTGCACTCAATGGCCTGAAGGCCGGCAAAGCTGGTGAGATATTGCGAGGGTCATGCAGGGCCCATCCATGTTCTCTGAGGCCACTGGCACCACTCCACCCCTGGGTGCCCACCCCACCTCCAGTTACACACTCCCAAGGGACCCTAGAGTTCTCCTTTGCAACATTCATCACACTTACTTAGCATCTAACCTCTCCAGTAGAATATAAATTTCTTGAGAGCAGCAGCATATTTCATTCATCCCCATACTCCCTGGATATGGGGCAGTACCCACGCTCATAGTAGGCACTGAGTAAGTTATCTGCTGATTAGCTAATTACACAGAGATATAGCCCAGTATGGGGCTTACTTATAAAGATTTTATCCTCTATCAAAACCCACAGACACACATGGTAGAAATGTCCCCTAGGACACTGTGTGTATGCCAGGCATTCTTTCCCCTGGTGCAGATGTCCCCTGGCCTCGTCAAGGTACTCAACCCTTCTGGCTACAGTGAATGGATAGACTCTGCTCATGCATGGACAGCCAATCACAGCCCTCTCTGGGACTTACTCTTTTCTGGGACTACAGACCAAAGGGGCATGTGAGCGTGGGGCTGCCATGGAGGCTGCCTGCCTTGGAGATGGCAGAAATGTTAGAGGTGGAGAAAGAAAGCCGACAGAAAAACAACCCACTGAAACGATCTGAAATAGCAATGATTATTTTTTGCCTTTAGCACCTTCCTGCATTTTTAGTTTATTCAGTCTCTTCTGCTGCTCTCTTAGCAAGGCTTGCTGTTCTATCTCCAAGGTGTCATTATCTCTTGGATCATCTGGGTACACAGATTTCGGATCAGCTCGTGTTTCTGAATCTGGTACAAAAATAAGTTATGTAACCAAGTTAAATCTTGTTTCCAAATGAGATTTTATAAAACTTCACTATAGATAACATATGAAATAACCTAAATTCAAAATCAAGGAACAATATAAATAATGAGACATCAGCAAAGTCAAAGCACATCATCATACAACTAATGAACATGAAATTAATATTCTTTAAATAAATACGTTTTCACAAACTCAACATTATAAGGGAGCTCCAGAACAAGCAGCACCTTACTGCCACATACTCCATCCCAACTCCCCACTTCCCCAAGAAGCTACCCAGAGCCTGCGCCCATGTGCAGGAGCATCTAAGCCGTCAGTCAGACGGCTGTGACTCTGGCAGCCACCAGACGCTGAATCAGAGCTGAGCCCTCAAATACACTGGGAAAACGGAAACATAATGTTCCTGGCCAATTAGTATTTGTAAATATCACGCCAAAAAACAAAAACAAGGTAAAAGTATAGGCCAGCTGGAGCTTTAAGAGGGACATCATATCTGGAGGAAATGACAGTCTAAGAATTCACCTATGGCACAAGTTCAAGAATATCAACTGATCAGAATGAAAATGTTAAACCTTACTTTCTAAATCTTGAGAATAAATATATAGTTCACACATTTAAAAATCTTTTGACCCATAGTAGAATCAAGCAGAATCCCGTGCCCCACCCCCTACCCTCTTGTTTATAGAAAGGCTGAAATCTCCCAGGCCTCCGTGAGTTACCAAAAAGCAGGCTCAAGCAGCTAATGATTAGGACAACAGAGTTCCAGATTTGTGTCTGCTGCAATTCCTGACTTGTTCTACAGATACTCTTAACTCTCACTAGAGGGAAAGTGCATGATGACCAGACTGCAGCCACAACATAAACTGCTCCATCTTGAGCAGTACTGAATTTATGGCTAGGACAAGTTCCAAGAACTGGCCTCAAGAGAATGGGATTAACACTTTTGCTCATACTAACTGATATCTTTGTGGGCATCAAAATAGTTGTAGCTTGTTCTGCCCATATATGTAAATGGGCAACTATGACTGCCAGCAAAGAGATGCTACAGAGCATGTCAACATCTCTAATACAGCATCTTGTGTCAGCATGAAGTTACAGAAAAAGGACCTTCACACGTGATTCCACAGAAATGGAAAGATGTTCTGACAAGTGGGGGTTTGTAAGCAGCTTTTGGCAGGAAAGAATTCTCTGCAGGCGGTCCCTTCGTCTTGTCACTAACCTTAAACCAGGCACCCCAAGCTCTAATAACCTCAAACCCTAGCACACCTTTCAAATCTTTTGATCACGCAATACCCTGCCTATTTTGTTGACTCTTTCCATATATCAAAGTAGAAATGAAGAACAGGTGATTAACAGATGACCATATCTCTTTCCTAGTTTCCCCTTCAGTAATCTCGTACACAAACCATGTGAATCAGATAGCATCTGAAGAAAGATCAGGGGGAGTCCACAAGCCCGCACGCAATGGGGGAGGGCGCAGACTCTGACCCCATCTCACTGATTAACTGAGATCACTTCCCTTCTTCCATTGAAGAAGTTTCATGGTCCATCAGAATCTGTGGAGATGGTTTTGAGAGGGACACAGTCTACCATCTCCCTAGACTGTCAGTGTTCTGGTTGACAACAACTTTCCTTCCTACCAACTTTTACAAGTATTGACTTTTTAAAGCAACAAGCAGCCAGCCAGAACTTATTCCATAACAACAGTGGAAAATGGGAACATGCTGAATATCTAAGAGTTAGAAAATGATTAAGAGCAAAGTTAACAGAAGAGGCTCTGGACACATGGAGGTGGCTTCACCTGACTTCCCCACTTCCAGACTGTTTCCTCTCCGTAAAAACAAGAGACATTAACAACACGTCATATGATGAATGAGAACTAGTTGTGGTAACAGGGAAATGAATGCCTCAATTTTATGGTTTAAGCCTTTTTGTTTTCAAGATCTCCTTACCTTCTTAAAAAGTTAAGAACCCCCAAAGAGCTTTTATTCACCACTGTCCCACACATCACATTAGAAATTAAAACTAAGAAACTTTTAAAACATGAAAATACAAAAACACATTCAATTAGCTTCAGAGCAATGAAGTTATCACATGCCATAAAACTTCTCAAAAACCTGTACACACAGGAAAAAATAAAAATTAAAAGGACAAATAATGTCTTAGTTTATAATAAACATAGTTTTGACTTCAAAAAGTCCCCTGACCAAATTCTAAGACATACTGGATTAATATAACACCTGGCATATAATAAGCAATCAAAAAATGATAGCATAAAAACATAACTATGGTTTATATAATTGATGACATGTATATCTAAGTGGAAAATAAAACTGAGTAACATAATTACATCTAGCTTTTATCTTTCTCATTTTAATTAAGCTCAGAAAGACTAGTAAATATACCAAATATCAACTGTTTTTATGTTTAGGTGATTTGAGTAAAGAGATGTTTCCCTCTCTTTGTAGATTTTCAAAACTTCTAAAATAGGTACTACTTTTAAAATGAGAAACAGAAGTAAACTCATCTGGTATAGGTTATATGACCACCATCCAACAGCCTGCCTCCTCTGCTCCAAAGACTGCTCTGAGAGTGCTCCTGAATAAAAATCACATATAACACATTCTGGTTCCCTTACACATTTTCAGTCTCCCAGGCCTTTGTTACCCTGGCAAGCCAACTTCCCTAATGAGCTTTCTCTCCTCCTTCTAAGTGGCTGCATCACACTTTTTACTCCCTTCCTTCAACAACCCTTCCTTTCCTCTGCTGCTCAGCGACTCTGCCCTCTTCAGCGGCCGTTCCCTCCCTCCCCTACACTACGAGCCTCTTACTTCTCCAACACCTTTCACATCAGCATCCTAACAAGCTCCTCCAGGACCCTGCGATCCCCCTTCCCAGCCATGCTTCTTCCAAGGTTCTTATGCTTATTGCCTCCAACACCATGCCTCCTAATTATTCAATCCTCATTCCAAAGGTTTGGCTTCTGACCCAATAATTCTGCCAAAAAGATCTATTTGAGGTCACCAGTGACCCAGTCTGATGTGAGTGACACCTTCCAATATTCACTCTACACAACCTTTCTCTCCTGGCAGACTCTGTTCCCTCAGTTTCAGGATTGACATTCTCCTGCTTTTCCTCCAATCACTGACTTTTTCCTCATCTCTTTCCTAAGCTCATCTTGCTGTCCATCCTCCACTAAATGCCAGGTGCCACTCTTTACACTATGTCACTGATCTAATCTACTCCTGTGGCTTTAAGAGCTGTATGCCCTGCAAAATTGCACACCAAAGCTCTATCCACCAGACTGGTAAACTAAAGAACTAGAGTAATACAGAAGAGTTTTATTCATTATCACTTAAAACAGATACCATAAATGAAACTTTACTTGAGAAAAAGGATACAAATGTCTTTAAAGACCCTTGAATATGGATAGAACACTCAAGCTCTACCTTTTTTTTTTCATTTATTTATATTAGTTGGAGGCTAATTACTTTACAATATTGTAGTGGTTTTTGCCATACATTGATATGAATCAGCCATGGATTTACATATGTTCCCCATCCTGAACCCCCCTTCCACCTCCCTCCCCATCCCATCCCTCTGGGTCATCCTAGTGCACCAGCCCTGAGCACTTGTCTCATGCATCAAACCTGGACTGGCCATTTGTTTCACATGGCTCTACCTTTAAAATAGCAGCATTCTTACCTCTGTCTTTCAGTTCCTTAAAGTCATGAATATTCTGAGAAGAAGCAGAGTCTAAGCTCTTAGGTGACGGTCTTCTGACAGGAGCTTGTAACCGATGTCTGGCCATATCAAATACATCCATGGAACTTTCTCTTTTCCTATAGATAATAAATTATGATAAAGGTGTTTTTACGGGAAGAAAATCTGAGTTGACATTTAACTCCCTATAGAAGAAATTTGGCATCTTTCACTACAGTATATTATAAAAATTTATTCTAGTAGCTGTTATTTCAATTCCCTGTATTAAAATAGGTTATTTGTAATGTCACTATAATCTTTCAAAATGCTCGGAAGCAAAGTATCTTATTGGAAGAATACAATGCGTTAGCTTTACCTTAAAATGTTCGCATAGTAGAAACAGTAGTCTTTGGTCAAAGAAATCAAGATTCAAAGACCAGCTCTACTACTTACTATATGTTTGACTGCATCATCTGTGCCTAACATACATGAGGAACTCAATAATATGGTGAATTAATTAACAAATAAGAGATTCTTTTTGTGAAACTATTTATAAAACTGGAATAAAGAACCAACACCAAGATGTCTCTGATCACAATACACAGTGAAAACTACACTGAAGTAAAATATATTTAACTAATTCTTGCTGAATGATGGCAATTCTAACATATATTATCTAACTTAAGTTTGCACACATAATTTACAAGGTACTTTCCAATACATACATTTATTTATTTTTCACTAGAATCTCATGGGGTAGAAATTATTATGCAAGATTTGCAAGTGAGAAAACTGAAAAGCTGCCTGGTTTCTCTTTTTTATACCGATTTGCCAAACAAAGAGCACATATAGTCTTCAGTTTATGAATGAAAAGAAATAAAATGTCAATAATCCATTACATTTAATTGAATATGCATGTCTGGAATATGGAAAGTTGCAACAGTTAAGGCATTTATAACATCTTGAAAGTAAATATAGAAAACCAATACTGACCTATTACTTTGTAGTAGCTGACCTACTACAGAAGAATTCTTTGTTGAAAATTACCATCTTGGGTTAACATTCCACTACCTAGCCAGTCTATGTCTTGAAATTTCCTCACCTTGTTTACTTAGGCCAGAACACGCCTAGAGAATGCTGACAAAAATCTAAGTGAAGCATAATTACGCAGGTTAACATGCTACATTAAAATCCTACCATATCCTGGACTACAGTCATAAATATCAGTATAATTGAATGCATATACAAATTGATAGACACAGTAACAATAATGTTATGTTTATGACTTAGTATATGTACATATTATCTAGCTATGTCCAACAAGAGCCTGGTTTATAGACACAGCTCTCCAAGAGGAACCAGGACTCCTTAGAGAAATGGCTGATTCCAGGGCAGGGGCAAGGAATAAACAAGAGGATCCTGGAGCCTCCTGCAGCAACAGAGTAAAAAAGTGCTCAAAAAACAAAAGGATGGGTCATGTCAAAGAGACACAGGAGCCAACAGGAAAGATGTCTCAATAGCCAAAGCTGCAACAACTTAAGCAACACCACAAATAACACTGGATGATAACAAAAAGTACAAAATAAATATACATGTAACAACAGTGATATAAGTAAATGGTTGGATAACTAAACAAAGGGAGGAGAAGGGACAATCTTTCTTACAGAAGAATTCTAACAGAAGAATTCTAAATATACGTAGATAACACCCTCTCCAGGAGATGAAGCTTATTCCCAGCACCTCTCAATTCTTGTGAGTGTGCTAAACTTAGTGGTGGTTCCAGAGTGTGCTAAACTTAGTGGTTCCATCACATGCACATCTTGTACCCCCTGATACAATGTGATGAGAAGGCTACCCTGTGTTATTCTTTCCAAAACCCCTTAACCCTGGCCTAATCATGAGAAAACATCAGACAAATGTAGACTGGAGGACATTCTATAGGACAGCCAGCCAATATCTCCCTAGGCTGTCATAGTCATAAAAATACAAGGGAAGAGTGAAAAACTGTCCTGGATCAGAGGATACTAGGAGACATGACAACTAAAGGCAGTGTGGTGCCCTGTACTGACTAAAACAGAAAGAAGATACTGATAGAAGAACTGGAAAAATCCATAAAGTCTGGAATTTAGATTGTGATTAATATTCCAATGTCAGCTTCTTAGTTGTGACAAACATCCTGTGAATGTATTGTTAACAATAGGCAGAACTGGGTGAGGGGTCTATAGAAACTGTTTGCAACTTTCCTATGGTCTCAAATTATGCCAAAATAAACTTTTTTTTAGATAAATACTCTTTAAAGAAAATGTGGTAGTTACCCACCTGCATTGATTTTACAAGCTACTAAAAGACTGCAACCTACAGTTTGAAGAATACTGCTTTAGAAAACTTATGAGGCTTTTTGGCAAAAATGATCAGAAGTGTTTGGTAGTCCGTAAGCTATTTTGCTGGAACATAAGTATTTCAGGAAACAATAAACTGCTGAAGGAAAATATTTTAAAAAACAGTTTTAATAAGCAACTGTCTTTGGTTATTCCATCTCTGAAGTTTTCTGCTATTATTATTTTCCCTTCAAGGACCAAGTTTCTATGACTGATGTTTTAGAAGACCAGAAAGGGCAGGTAAGGAGATTGTTTTATAATTGTCTAGTCTATATCTATGTATGGATGTGAGAGTTGGACTATAAAGAAAGCTGAGGGCAAAAGAATTGATGCTTTTGAACTGTGGTTGGAGAAGACTCTTGAGAGTCCCTTGGACTGCAATGAGATCCAACCAGTCCATCCTAAAAGAGATCAGTCCTGGGAGTTCATTGGAAGGACTGATGATGAAGCTGAAACTCCAACACTTTGACCACCTGATGGAAGAGCTGACTCATTTGAAAAGACCCTGATGCTGGGAAAGATTGAGGGCAGGAGGAGAAGGACTCCTACAGAGGATGAGATGGTTGGATGGCATCACCGACTCAATGGACATGGATTTGGGTGGACTCTGGGAGTTTGTGATGGACAGGGAGGCCTGGCATGCTGCAATTCATGGGGTTGCAAAGAGTCAGACACGACTGAGCAACTGAACTGAACTGAGTCTATGTCTTCTTCAGCTATAACTTTCCTATCTTGGAATTCCTCGTCACCTAGCTTACGAAGCAACTTCCGAATCCATCTGAGTCCTAAATTAGTCAATTATTTTTCATGCAGTGATTTCTCTGTAGTGAGGCAATCTATCCTAAAGACAGAGCTTGAAGAATGGTCTGTTCCCACTACTGATTTGTCACTGTCTAATCCTATTAAAAGGGATAAGACTCTTGGTTTGCCTTAAGAAAGTCCTACTTTTTTCTTTTTTTCTTTCTTCCTCCTATCAATACTACCCCTGTCATCACCACTGCCATAAATACATTACTGGCAGTACAGAGGGACAATTAAAATGCTCAACTTAAAATATTTTGTATTTGGTTAAATCAATATTCATTAAATATCCCATATTTTCACAGTGAATAATTTCACAACTGTAATGAAACATTTTATGAAGGCAACTTTATCTACATAAAATTCAAGAATGTGAATTAAATAGCATATTAGCTAATTAAAAAAAGAGCTCTTGTGCCAAAAAAAGAAAAGAAAGAAAATATACCATAAACTACAAACACAAATAGACTAAAGAAATCACACATTATTTTGTATTAGTTGTACTGAGTCCCCTCCCTTGCTTGTTGCTTGTGAAATGTGCTCAGTCGTGTCTGACTCTTTGTGACCCCACAGACCACAGCCTGCCAGGCTCCTCTGTGCGTGAGTTCCCCAGGCAAGAATACTGGAGTGGGTCACCATTTCCTACTCCAGGGGATCTTCCTGACCCAGGGATGGAACCCATGTCTCCTGCGTCTCCTGCACTGGCAGGCCAATTCTTTACCACTGCGCCACCTAGTGAGCCCCTCCACTAGACTATAATTATTTAGCTTGTTTCTTCTGGGCAGCGGGGGGGAAGCTATTTTGAATCATTACAATTTCACCAATAATCCATTAAAAACATTTTTCAAGCTTGCAAAATTCTAATAGATGTGGGTTTATGATAATTAATCCTGTTCCAAAACTGTAGAATTACTGGACAGATTCTGATTCCTGATTCTGACAGAAAAGAATACAAGAACAGACAAAAATATGGAATTCAGCACTTGCCTTATATGAACGTCGTCGTCACTGTCAATGTGTAGTAACCGCCCCTGCAGACGTCGCTCTTCACTACGAAGCTGTTTTCTCATTTCTGATAATTCCATAATTACATTTTTCTTCTCCTCTGAAAATTCCCATCAGTAAGTGAAAAATAAGAGATACATAATAAAAGGTTAAACACTAAACATAACCTGATTTATAAAGCTAAAATGCTCAGTTATATTTTTATGGAAAGTTATTTTTAAGGCTTTATATATAGATGCATTATATGAACATTATTAAGACCCACAAACACACTTCTGATAATACAAGAATTTCAAACATTTAGAAACATTCCTGAGGGGAGGGAGAAAGTGCCTTCCCCTATTAAGGGGCAGCACAATGGAGTTCCTTTGTGATGATGGACAGTTCTGCAACCTTGATTGTGTGGTAGTTACACAATTTACACGATAAAAATTCACAGAACTACACACACAAACACATAAATTAGTGTAAGTGAAACCAGACGCAGGTCCATAGAGCATGCCAATGCCAATTTCCTGGTTGTCATATTGCACCACTGAGGGAAGCTACAGGGAGGGTGCACAGCACCTCTCTATACTATTTTGCAATATTCTGTGATTCTTATTTTTCAGAACAAGAAAGTTAGGAAAAAAGAAACAGTCTAGATTACAGGTTTAACAGTCAGCTCTACCTTCTGCACGAAGCTGGTTTTTCCTGGCAGGTACTGGAGGAGACTGTGCCATGGACACAGAACTGTCCTGTTTAACAATTATGACAAAGATAAATTCAGTATATGTCTTCCCTACTCAGAAGTTTTAAAAGGGGAATTAAAAAAAAAACCGTAAGAGAATCCAGATTCCCAACCAATCTATCTATAAACTTACCTACATCTATTTTTTCTTCCCACTACCATCCCTTACTCTTCTTTCTCTTCCACCTTTCTATCAGTCTGTGCTTAAAAAACTAACCTCACCCTTCATCACTCGCTATCTAGCATCCATTCTCTCCTTCCTTCACAGTCATTCTTCAAAAAAAAACACAACAGTATGTGCAGTAGTATGGTGCCTGCTCCCTTATTCCCATTCACTCCTCACCTTGCAGCCACTGCCTTTGCATCTCCTACCAAGTGACCCCTCAGCGATGCAGTCTATGGGCATTTTAAGCCCTTATTTTACTTGGCCAGTAGCAACTACTATCACTGACACTTTATTTCCTTGCTCTAAGTGGTGATAATTCTCTACTGTTAGATCCTCAGCCCTTTACTTCCCCTGAACATACACAAGACAATCGTACTACTTAGGCAGTAATGTTAGTAGTCTCCAGGCTACAAATCCGGTGCAGAGCTCCTTCCTTGGCCACGACATGTATTTTCAACTGCCCACTCTATATAAAGTTGTCATTGACTCCGACCCACCACACACAGTCAGTATACCACTATCTGTGTTTCATCAACATATCTTGAAGTCGTCACCCTTTTTCAGTTCTTAATGTCACTGCCATTGTTTAGGTCCTCAAAATCACATCTGGACTTTTGCAAAAGCATCTTAACTTTACAGTTTTGCTCCACCTCCATGATGCATCTCCATACCACTGCCTGAGAGAATATTATGCAAGACAAACATGACCATGTCATTTTCCTACTTAAAACATTACATGAACACCATACATGACCACAGACCTACTAAACCAGAACCACAGAGGGTGGGGTTAGGAAGACATTCTAATACATTTCTCTGTCTATTCTAGTAATTGGCCTCTAGTAATTGGTATCCTATAGAATGAATCAAGCCCTCTAGCACTCCATACAACACCCTGCATATGTTCTAACCTTCACCTCCCCTACTTCATGGTCAGGCATTATCAGGCCAGACCAAACCATGTATTCTCTATGCTATCAAGTGGCTTACAGTTCCCTCCAAGATTCTGCATGTGCTGGAAGTTGCTCTTCCTCATCCTCTTTTTGGCAAATTCCTACTCACTCTTCAAGAGTTGACTCAAGGATCAACCCTTTCTGGAACATTTTCCTGGCTGTCTTTTAATTGTAATTCAGTCTAAAGTACAAGGGACTTTATTAGCATAACTACAACTAGCTAGTAGATATATCAAAGAAAAAGCCTTCCTGAGGGACCTGGACAAGAGCCACATGCTATATCATGAGCTGTCAAAGAATTTAAACTTTGGGGCACCAAAGTTTTATCATTTATAAGTATTATCATTTAGAACTGAAGAAACAGACAAATTAATGTAAACACCTATGTTTCAGATCTGAAAAAAGTAATCTAGCTAATTAAGATGAATAAGAAAATCTCAATCAATCCCCTTAATCTTAGATGAACAAATCAAAAGAAAAAGCACATACCTGAGTAAAGGAAGTTATAATGCTGTCAACTGAAGGAGGTCTTTGGAGTCTGCTTGCAATCTTATTCTGAAGAGCAGGAACTACAGGAGAAGGCTGTCTCAAGTGCTGATGTGGGGGGAGGGGTGGGAAATATATATATATATATATATATATGTATATACACACATACTCCCCAACATATGTCTATGTGTGTATACACATACCCCAACATGTATGTGTGTGCATGCACACACCCATATATGTATACATATACATATGCAAACACACACACCCCTAATAGTTAATAAGACCACCAAAGAGGCTGACTACTATTGCTTTATTTTAATAACATTTACCAAAAAATCTATAAAAAATATTAGATCACTATGTTGTGCACGCAAAACCAATATTTTGATATTATAAATCAACTACCTTCCATTAAAAAACATATCTACCCAAGAAGTCAGAAATTCAGTTATGTAAGATCAAATATATTAGTTAGCATAAACAAATGGACTTACATATCCTTATTAAAGAATATGACTATCTGACTAGGATTAAAAAATTCAACAAACTGAATTAAAGCAATCACATACCAGATACTGGGAAAGCAGCAAAAATAAAAAAAATATAGCCAAAGTAAAAAACTGTCTCAATAATAAAAAGAAATAGGATAAAACAAAAAAGAAACAAAAACCCTTTCTGGGAAAATGATATAAATCAGTCTCTAAAATCTAGATTCCCTTGTCACCAGGAACATCACGGGTCAGAGCAGAGCTCTGCATCTCCATGAGAGAAGAAAACAGGGTTTCAGATCATGGTGTAATAAAGCTAATAGCTCCCAACTTCATATTAAAATCAAAATGCTGGAAACACAAATACTCTCAACAAAATTCAATAATGATTGTCTGGGTAAAAATATAAATGTGTATGTAAAAAGGTGGATGTTAATTGTTCATTCTGCATGATACAAAATCAAATATTACTTTCACTAGCGACTAATACAATTAGAAATATATGGGAGACAAAATTTAAAAAGAAACTCTAGGTGACCACAAGCAGAAGTATAGCAACAAATTAAACCTTCTAAAGGACTGCAAAGAATGAAGCAAAGAAAGTATAGTCCACATAACAAACGATTAACTGTCAAGGGAGCAAAAACAAACAAGAAAGTCAGAAATTCAATTAATATGATCAAACACATTGGCCATGATAAACATAAATGGATTCAATACCTCATTAAGATTATAACTCAGATTAGGATAAAAAGCAAATTTCAACAAACTAAAATATACAGACTAAAAATTTTAAATGCAGACAAAAAGTAAAAACTAAAAGAGTAGACAAATATATTTTAGGCCTACATACATTAAAAAATAACAGATAGCAATGATAATTTCAAAATTGAGGGTAAAATGTGTTAAAAGGAACAAAGCTGCTCTAAAACTTTCTGATACATCACAATTAAACTGTAAAACAGTCATAAAATTACATATCCCTAAGCATTTTTTTAGGTGCAATAAATGGCAGAAGCAGAACTGTGAGAAACAACTTTCCTTTTCAAATAATCAATTTTACAATAAAATATTCTCTTTCCATTCAATTCTGCTATAAACCAAACACTGCTCTAAAAAACAAACATTATCAACTAAAAATGTGAATGATATGACACTTGACTGATATATTTTAAAAGGCTGAGAAAATATATATCCAATTATATATCCTAAGAATGAAGGATACTAGCCTTATATTCCTGAAACACTGAAAATAAAACAAAAATATAGATCTGACTCATAGATTCCCCTTCAAACAACGTTTCAGCAAATTCAAATTGTGAATACTTATTTCTATCACCATAAAACCTGGGGGTAAGAAATTCAAAGAGTATATTTGCACCAGTCAGAAATGGCTCACATGATCTGCAGAAGATTATATATTGAACAATGTACCAAAACACACCATAAATATACCAGAGCAGCACACTGGTTGAAAGTAATCTTTTTGTCAACTCTACTTAGAAGAAATAATGTCTGCATAAATCTAAATTTCTGAAAACAATAAAAATTAAATTGGGCTAAACCTACAAGATACGGGGTTTTCCAAAGTATGGTTCACAAGCCAACTGTATCCAAACCCCTATGGGTTACTAAATCACACTTAGTAAATCAGATACTGCCGAGAAAAACTGAGGGCAGGAGGAGAAGGGGCAGACAGAGGATGAGATACTTGGATGGCATCACTGACTCAATGGACATGAGTTTGAGCAAACTACGGGAGACAGTGAAGGACAAAGAAGCCTGGCATGCTGCAGTCCATGGGGTCGAAGAGTTGGACATGACTTAGTGACTGAACAACAACAAATCAGCTACACTGTAGATGAGACCAGGAAGATGCATTTTTATTAAGTCCCTAGTGATACTATGGGCTGAGAGCTAAGAATCCACCTGCCAATGCAGGAGATGTGAGTTCAATTCGTGGGTCAGGAAGATCCCCTGGAGAAGCAAATGGAAACCAACTCCAGTATTCTTGCCTGGGAAATCCCATGGACAGAGGAGTTGCAAAACAGATGGACATGACAGTGACTAAACAAGTGATACTGTACATCGTAAATCTTAAATATAGCTTTGAAATATAAGCAAATACATGAACTGAATTTTCATAAGGGCCAACTGTCTAGAGAGAAAACACCTGTCTAATAACTGATTTCATGCACCTAAGGGTGAATCAACCTCCATCTCAGAAACATGGACTTCAAATCAATCTGCAGTGAGCCACAAGTTTCTTTTTTAATTTCCAATCCATTGAGGACAGATGCATAAATGAGTAAGAATGAATTATAGTTGATCCCTGAACAATGCACGTTGGAACCACAGGTCCACTTCCAGAGAGATTTTTCTGTATCAAATGCTGCAGTACTACAGGCAGTGGTGGGCTGATTACAGACTTGTAGGAACTGCAAGTATGGAGGGCCAGTTATCAATCACACCCATGGATTAACCCCTGGGCTTAGCCCTGGTTCAAGGGTCAACTGTACTAGCTAAATAAAAACTGTTAACAGATGTTACAAAATCCAAACCTAACTTTTTTTTTTAACAGATTCAACAAACATAAAACTATAATGACAAATTGCTACAACAGTTTCCAAACACTTTCAATCTTATCAGGAACAGTTTGTAGGGTGCTGGTCTACAGACCATGCGAACAAGACTACTCTGTTCCCAGCAGGGAAGACACAGCAAAGCACAGTGATATCATCTAGGACAGGAGGTTCAGTGCACTGCACCCAGAAAAGCACCAGGACGAAAGTGGAGACAAAAGCACCTCCTCTGCTCTCTACTTTTTGCTGACCACTCTACTTTTACAGGGAAAATGGGTTAAACAATGGGTTCCACAGACATTTTTGTCTGAAACTTACCTTTGTATCTTCCCCAACCATATTTTCTCTTTCATAGTAGTGCTGAAGTTGTAAGTTACGTTTTTCTTCTTCTTCTTTCTTCTTTCTTTCTGCTTCTTTTCGTCTTTCTTCAGCTAACCGAATAAGCTCTTCATTTTTCAGTCTTTGCTTTAAAATAAAGAAAAAATACACACTCCATCCACACATTCAGTCCATTCATATTTGTGTGAAATAAAGAGATAAAATGGAGGGTATAGATGACATGCTCAAGTCACTCAGTTGTGTCCAATTCTTTGCGACCCTTTGGACTCTAGCCCACCAGGCTCCTCTGGCCATGGGATTTTCCAGCCAAGAGTACTGGAGCGGGTTGCCATTCCCTCCTCCAGGGGATCTTCTGGACCCAGGGATCGAACCAGTGTCTCCTGCATTGCAGGCAGATTCCTTACTGCTGAGTTATCAAGGAAGCCCACAGATGACATACTGGACTGCTTACAATAAAATATTAGGCATCTAAAATATTACAACATGCTAGTCAGTCTAAACTATTTTTTGGCTGTAGAAAAAGTCATCATTTATCTCTTTTCTTAATTCAGTATTTCGTTTTTATAAAGTAACATCTAACAAATGCATATTGATCTGATATTTTCTAAATGTACTTCAAGACTGTTCTCCTTTGTGAGTAATAAGTATCTTTTCAAGTCAAAGCAAGCAGTTCACTTGCAGACTAAGCAGAAAGGGAGCAGGGAAAAAACGCACCTCCTCCTCTTTCTCCCTTTTCTTTTCCTGCTCCTCCTCATACTCTTGCTGGATTCGAGCTCTCTGTTCTGCAAGCCGCTTTTCTTCTTTTTCTTCAGCAATTCTTAATCTCTCTCGCTCTGCTTCTTCTCTTTGCTTCTTTTCTTCAATCTAAAGAATTAAACCTAGTTATTACTTTGTGAAGCTGCTGAAAAGTTAGAACACCACTCAATTTACCCTGTTATCCTATGAATTCAGCCTTTATATCCTGCTTTTGTAAGTAAGTTCCTAAATTTTTCAGTTTCCTCTATTGTATTAGAGAGGCCACATGACATAATGATAAGAGCTCTAAGTAAAATTCCAGCTCCCACAGACCTTATGAAACTTTCTGGTTCAGTTTTGTCATCTAGTAAAAAGAGTTACTAACGTCTATATCTCAAAGTAGTGCTCAAAGACTGAAATGAAACTATGTATGTAAAAAACATAAAAGTTCCTAAGTAGAAGGTCCAATACTTAGTAATTCATGATTATATTATTCTATAATGACTACTACTACTATGTCTCAATGTTCCTTGTGATTAGTATCCTGAAACAGCAGTGAAATGTTTTAGCAACCATCCTTTAAGTAGAAATCTCTTCCCTAGAATAGCCTTTCTTATTTTAATGACAAGATGTAAGGTATATGAAGATGTCAGCTTCAAGGATTCATAATTAAGTTTCGTTTGAATGCCACCTGAAACCTGCAGTGCTGAGTATTCTAGGCGAATATTGTAAGGCAAAATCTAAGATGTGACATGAAGAAGACTCTAAGAGATAGTCTACATCCTCCATGAATGAGACAGAGAAAAATGACAGCATGATACCCGAGGATTCATGATGCTAGTTTAAGGATATCAATAAATTTTTATCCCTCTTAAGTATGGACTGATCATGACTATTCACAATATTTTAAGAGTTCTTGTCTGCATTTCCTCTAGTCTCAAGGTTGCTGTATTTACTGCTGTCAAACTTTTGAGCTATAAGAATGCGGTCTTCTTACCTATGCCACAACTTTACATGCTAGGGCTTTTTCCAACATTTATCACAACCCTTTTAAATATGTACAGTCCTAATATTTAGGACTAAGTGGTGTGTATGTAATCACCTCCTCAATTACAACAGCCCTAAAGAAAGCATCATTCATGAACCATACAATAAAACCACACATTTAACACTCAGTTCCCTTTTTCTACTCCATGAAAAAAATAATCACAATCAGCAGGTCACTTCACCATTAATGGATCACATCATAAATGGATCTCACACCTAATGAATCCACAGAAATATCATTCCAACAAAAATGCCACACAGCTGTTCAACAGAAAGAGAAAAGTTATTGCTCAGGTCAATGGTTTTCAAACCATATAATACAAAAGTAGTTCAATGGTCCTGCAAATATTTTATTAAACTTGTTAATTATTTTTAAAGCTACAGTTTACAATGACATCTAAACACTCGCATGTATTATTCACCAAATCTGAAGTACATGAAGACTTTTGCTGCACTAAAACTAATGGTATAACTTTTTTAGTGTTAAAACTTATTTATGCAGGTAAGGAGCTAAGGCTTCCTTTGCATCTTTGTGCACAGATCTGAACATTTTATAACATTTCTTTTAACACTTAAGTTTGGGGATTCTTTTTGTCTGACATTATATTGTTGATATTAATAAATACCATTTAGCTATTTTACATTTTCTTGGAACTCTGGAATAATTTTGTTTTGGGGAAAAGCAGGAGTTTTTAACAGACTGCTAAAAGAAAAATACATAAACCACCATTTTATAGGGTGGGAGAACTGAAGGTTGAACTTATTCTGAAACTAGTAAGTCAAAGTTTCCCAAACTACTAGTAGTCTTTTCCCAGAAGAAAGACACTGCAGAGTGTGGAATCTAGGTATGATAAAGTCCAGAGACTTGGGGTCAACATGCTAGCTCTGCCACCACAGGTGAGCTTCAGCCTTTTTTTTGGTCTTAAAATAAAAATAGTAATACCTTCCTCAGAGAGTTGTGAGGTTTAATAAGAGACTATATGTAGAACTATCTTACAAACAAAAAAAGACTACAAAATGGCAAGATTTATTTATTTTTCCCTAAATTCTACCCTCAGTTCAGTTCAGTCGGTCAGTCATGCCCAACCCTTTGTGAACCCAAGGACTGCAGCATGCCAGGCTTCCCTGTCCATCACCACTCCTGGAGTCCACCCAAACCCATGTCCACTGAGTCGGTGATGCCATCCAACCATCTCATCCTCTGTCATCCCCTTCTCTTGCCCTCAATTTTTCCCAGCATCAGGGTCTTTTCAAATGAGTCAGCTCTTCACATCAGGTGGTCAAACTATTGGAGTTGCAGCTTCAACATCAGTCCTTCCAATGAACACCCAGGACTGATCTCCCCTAGGATGGACTGGCTGGAGATCCTTGCAGTTCAAAGAGCTCTCAAGAGTCTTCTCCAACACCACAGTTCAAAAGCATCAATTCTTTTGCACTCAGCTTTCTTTATATCCAACTCTCACATCCATACATGACTACTGGAAAAACCATAGCCTTCACTAGATGGACCTTTGTAGGCAAAGTAATTTCTCTGCTTTTTAATATGCTGTCTAGACTGGTCATAACTTTCCAAGGAGTAAGCGTCTTTTAATTTCATGGCTGCAATCACCATCTGCAGTGATTTTGGAGCCCAGAAAAATAAAGTCAGCCACTGTTTCCCCATCTATTTGCCATGAAGTGATGGGGCCAGATGCCAAGATCTTAGTTTTCTGAATGTTGAGCTTTAAGCCAATTTTTTCACTCTCCTCTTTCACCTTCCTCAAGAGGCTCTCTAGTTCTTCTTCACTTTCTGCCATAAGGGTGGTGGTGTCATCTGCATATCTGAGGTTATTGATATTTCTCCCAGCAATCTTATTCCAGCTTGTGCTTCTTCCAGCCCAGCGTTTCTCATGATGTACTGTGCAATAAGCAGAGTGACAATATAGTCTTGACGTACTCCTTTTCCTACTTGGAACCAGTATAACTGTTGGAAACAGTTCTAACTGTTGCTTCCTGACCTGCATACAGATTTCTCAAGGGACAGGTCAGGTGGTCTGGTATTCCCTTCCCATCTCTTTCACAGTTTCCCACAGATTATTGTGATCCACACATTCAAAAGCTTTGGCATAGTCAATAAAGCAGAAATAGATGTTTTTCTGGAACTCTCTTGTTTTTTTGATGATCCAGTGCATGTTGGCAATTTGATCTCTGGTTCCTCTGCCTTTTCTAAAATCAGCTTGAACATCTGGAAGTTCACGGTTCACGTATTACTGAAGCCTAGCTTGGAGAATTTTAAGTACTACTTTACCAGCGTGTGAGATGAGTGCAATTGTGCAGTAGTTTGAACATTCTTTGGCATTGCCTTTCTTTGGGATTGGAATGAAAACTGACCTTTTCCAGTCCTGTGGCCACTGCTGAGTTTTCCAAACTTGCTGGCATACTGAGTGCAGCACTTTCACAGCATCATCTTTCAGGATTTGAAATAGCTCACCTGGCATTCCATCACCTCCACTAGCCTTGTTCATAGTGATGCTTCCTAAGGCCCACTTGACTTCACATTCCAGGATGTCTGGCTCTAGGTGAGTGATCACACCATCGTGATTATCTGGGTCATGAAGATCTTTTTTGTACAGTTCTTCTGTGTATTCTTGCCACCTCTTCTTAATATCTTCTGTTTCTGTTAGGTCCCTACCATTTCTGTCCTTTATTGAACCCATCTTTGCATAAAATGTTCCCTTGGTATCTCTAATCTTCTTGAAGAGATCTCTAGTCTTTCCCATTCTGTTGTTTCCCTCTATTTCTTTGCATTGATTGCTGAGGAAGGCTTTCTTATTTCTCCTTGCTATTCTTTGGAACTCTGCATTCAGATAGGTATATCTTTCCTTTTTTCCTTTGCTTTTCACAGCTATTTGTAACACCTCCTCAGTTGTTTTGCTCTTTTGCATTTCTTTTTCTCGGGGATGGTCTTGATCAGTGTCTCCTGTACAATGTCATGAACCTCCATCCATAGTTCATCAGGCAGTCTGTTAGATAAAGTCCCTTAAATCTATTTCTCACATACAGTGTATAATTGTAAAGGATTTGATTTAGGTCATACCTGAATGGTCTAATGGTTTTCTCCACTTTCTTCAATTTAAGTCTGAATCTGGCAATAAGGAGTCCACGATCTGAGCCATAGTCAGCTCCTGGTCTTGTTTTTGCTGACTGTATAGAGCTTCTCCATCTTTGGCTGCAAAGAATATAATCAATCTGATTTTGGTGTTGACTATCTGGTGATGTCCATGTGTAGAGTCTTCTCCTGTGTTGTTGGAAGAGGGTGTTTGCTATGACTAGTGTGTTCTCTTGGCAGAACTCAATTAGCCTTTGCCCTGCTTCATTCTGTACTCCAAGGCCAAATCTGCCTATTACTCCAGGTGTTTTTTGACTTCCTACTTTTGCATTCCAACCCCCTATAATTAAAAGGACATCTCTTTTGGGTGTTAGTTCTAGAAGGTCTTGTATGTCTTCATAGAACTGTTCAACTTCAGCTTCTTCAGCATTACTGGTTGGGGCATAGGCTTGGATTACCATGATATTGAATGGTTTGCCTTGGAAACGAACAGAGATCATTCTGTCATTTTTGAGATTGCATCCAAATACTGCATTTCGGACTCTTTTGTTGACTATGATGGCTACTCCATTTCTTCTAAGGGTTTCTTGCCCACAATAGTAGATATAATTGTCATCTGAGTTAAATTCACCCATTCCAGTCCATCTTACGCTGATTCCTAGAATGTCGATGTTCACTCTTGCCGTCTCCTGTTTGACCACTTCCAATTTGCCTTGATTCATGGACCTAACATTCCAGGTTCCTATGCAATATTGCTCTTTATAGCATCGAACCTTGCTTCTATCACCAGTCCCATCCACAACTGGGTGTTGTTTTTGTTTTCGCTCCATCCCTTCATTCTTTCTGGAGTTATTTCTCCACTGATCTTCAGTAGCATACTGGGCACCTACCAAGCTGGGGAGTTCATCTTTCAGTGTCCTATCTTTTTGTCTTTTCATACTGTTCACGGGGTTCTCGAGGCAAGAATACTGAAGTGGTTTGTCATTCCCTTCTCCAGTGGACCACATTCTGTCAGACCACTCCACCATGACCCATCCATCTTGGATGGCGCCACACGGTATGGCTGTTTCATTGAGTTAGACAAGACTGTGGTCCATGTGATCAGATTGGCTAGTTGTCTGTGACCCGTGCTTCAAGTCTTTTAAATCCACCCAAAATACATCAACAGTATTGCCAGATCAATTATCCTTAAGATCACATCCATTATGTCACTGCCTTATTTAAGAGTCAGTAATAATTAGGATCAGAAAGATGGCATATTTGAGTAGACTCTCTTTAAGAAGAATTTAAGAGGCTGGGATCAGACTGGATAGCCTTAAGTGTCAGAGTAAGGAATATGGACATTTTATTTAGAAAAACTACTGACAGATTTTAAATAAAGAAAAAAAGCGTGAGAAATTATATCAAAGGAAGATTAACCTGGCCAAAGGATTAATCTGACACTGGGTTGTAAGTGGGTATGGAAGGGGGGATGATAAGAAGAGAAAATATTGTGAGCCCACTATGGGCAGGTGTCTCATTCACCTCAGGCTCCATTCCAAGGGTGGACACAGTATGCGAGTTCAATAAATCCATTTGCTTAATAAACACCTGATGCTCAAGTGTCTTCCTCTGGGCATTTCTAGTGTTTTAAATGCAATTTTCTTACACATATAAATGAAGCAAATAAATACAAAATGTGAGGGTATTTTTAATATTTACCTACAAACTAAACAACTGAGTCAAGAATATAAAATCATTTAGAAAAAAACTTTCTATTAACACATAAACATCTAGAAAGATTCATTTTATGCCTAACATGTGAACATTTTAAGAGTTTCAGTTTTAGAAATTCCAGCACTCTCTAACACTTAATGATTTAACAAAATTTAAAAAAGATTAAGTCAACTGGTATACCTGTCTCCTTATTCCTTTTTCATATATACATAACAGTATAATAATATAAATTAAATAATATAATTTCTATCTGATATGAATTAGATATTTTAGATAACTGCATGACATTTTAGAATTTATTCTTTATATTGTGGATAAAATCTTTGCAAGTTTATTAAAACTTTTATGAAACCTTGAAATAATGATCAAATAAGCATTTCACCTGAAAACGAAGAAAGTTCTTGTATAATTCCTGCTGCTTAATCTGAAGTTCAGTTGGAGGCTCACTAAAAATATTTCCCCGAGCAAACGGAGAGCTCTGTGTTTGCATATGACCTTGAAAGGGAAATTTTGCAAAAACATACCATTAGCCAGTGCTTAGAAAACATAAAGGTTAAAGAATAAAGACTTTGCTAAATAAATTCAAATTTTGAAAAAACGCGCTAAATATGGAAGCCCAGAGGCTAAACTCGGAAGACGACTAAGATTAGAATCTTAAGACCAGATGAAAAGAGAGGGGAAAAATGGTGAAACTAAAATAAAAGTAATACACAGTTGAAAAATCATAATATAGCTATATCTGAAAGTCATCAAGGAAACATAAAAGTTAGTAACCTAAGCAACTCTCACTGCAGCAAAGGCTTTAAAATAAAATTTATACAGAGGAAAAAAAGCACACATTTAAGTTCTTATGTATGATGTAAATATCCTTTTCTTAAGAATACTGCTTAATTACACATTAAAATGTATTATGTATACACATAAAAAATATTTCTAAAATTGCTTTTAAAAAAATCAGTGGATTCCTATCCATGGTTTAAAACACAGATTAGAAAATTAGCTCTAAAAACATTTTTAATTTTTACAAAATTAAAATGACTTTTAATCACTGCAATACTTTTTACTTAAAAATTATATCAGATTAATGAGATATAAGTTTGAAGATTAAAAATATGCTATATATATATATTATCTATAAATAGTACTAAACATTTTGGGAAAGGAAAAATATTATTTTATAAAAGCAGCCTGGAAAATAATTATACCCCAGTAGTCTTCTGAATGCAGAAAAAAACTGTATGCAAATTTAAGGCTCACATAACTTTTTTATATCATTTTATATTTATATAAAAATATACCATTTTTTAGTTTCCTTATACCATCAATCTAAAGCATTTATTTCTCTCATATAGTGGTTGTAAACCAACTGCTTTGCAGTTGAGCTGTCATTTAGGTCTCTTTTTCTTTGCATTTAAATTTACTAATGCTTGAATAGATCAGCAGAAAGGCAAAATCAATACCTAAACATTAAAATCTTAGGTTATGGTGGAAAAACTGATCAGCAAAACAAAACTGAGTTGTTTGTTTCACACTGAGATCTGTCAAATTCTAAACCTTTGAGGCAATTAGAGAAGAATTATTATTAGAGATAGGCAAGATAAGTTCTTTTAAACATAAAAACATTATAAAAACAAACCCAAAGAGAAAGACATGCTCTAAACAAAGAAAATGAAAATGCATTCAGGCATCATAATAAGCAAAAAAATAAATTTAATCCAAAGTAGTATGAACTTTATAAACATGATTTTTCATCCAAAAACCATGAAGTAAAAAAAAAAACAACAAACATTAAGAAGAGCTTTTAAAACAGGCCTAATGAAGGCAAAATATTAGACGATAGTCAATCTCAAGTATGTATTAAGATATTCAACTTCCAGGCATATTTGAGCTCCCTTAAGGCCTTTAAAATACTACATGTCACATATGTATGTTGTATGTGTGCACACATGTATATAAACATACACACACATATACATACACTCCTACACATATATGATGGCACAGCAACAAATTAGGTGATTCTCAATAGTTTTTTTGCATTCAGAAAGTCTATTTTATATTAATTCTTAGGAAATGAAAGTTAATTGAGGGAATTTCAATGCACAAAAATGGGGAATTTAAACATTTTATGATTTCTTAAACTAGAGTATCCTGGCCACAACATTAGCAGCAAAACCCTTGTGTTAGATATAATAAAAATAGATGACAAATTCTGCTGTGCATATTCAATCATCAAGGCTGTACTCTTTTGGGGGAAAGAGTCATGGAAACTTTCTATTTTTCCTGTGTTTTTGCTTGGTAAGCAAAGCCAGATGCCTGACGTGTTATTACTATGACAGACAAAAGTTCTAAGCTAAGAGGGAACTAGGTACAAACAATACAGGGGGTGGAAGAGAGGAGTAGAGAAGGGGTCTGTACCACTGATCTCAATACAAACTACTCCAAAAGCAGCAGCCAATGAAGAGAAAAATAATGGTCATCAGAAAGAAGCAAAAATTCTCTAAAATAAAATGAAAAGGTGTTATGATGTACAAAGAAATAAACAAAATAAGTTTACTTTGACTTCTGGTCACATTACCCATTTATTTACAGTAAACGCTCTGCGCTTTCTCAAAAACTTTAATTTTAGACAAGAACACTGTACTAAAAAGTCCTTTCAAATATCCCTGACTGATCATACTGTCTTTTAAAAAAATTTTTTAATGTTTAATACATATGACTTATTGGCCAAACAGGTAGACTAAATGGTGAGCTCTGATTTGAATTACTAGCCTTGTATCTTTCAAGCCTTTGATGGCAGCACTAATTTCTGCAGCCTTTTGGAACACTTCAAGAGATGTACTGTAGGTTGTTTCTGTAAACAGCCTGTATCACTGTTTAATCTCTAATTATAAGAAAATACTTTCCTACTTTGATCCACAGTAGATTTTTACACAGTGAATCTAGTTTTGATTTTTGGACTACTAAAAGTAGAATTTTTGATGAAATTATTAATTTGGCTCTCATTCTGAGTCCTTAATAATTCAATTTGCTGTAAATAAATGGTTATTTTTATAGGCATCAAAATACAGTATAAGGTGGTATATTCTTTAAACTTCACTTGAATTCTAAATATGTAATATATTTTCACATATACCTGATAAAGAAAGATAATTACAAATTTTCCTGGCAAGTCATAAAGATACTGAATAATCTTCAATTTACAGAATCTTTAATTAAAGGACCCTGTTTAATAGCAAACCAAAGGTATATGCTTATGAAAGGGAGATGTGACCAGAAGTCAAAGTAAATTATTTACTTCTTTGTACACTGTGGCTTATAAGGGAGGGCAAATGTTTATAAAACAAACAAAAAATGAATTTCACTGTATAATTTATCATACAACATCTGGTATGTTCTCACTAATTTAAACTAATTCTTACGGGTGTAAGAACCAAACTCTGTATGGGTTAAAAAAAAACAAAACTATTTGATTTTAAGAAATGTCCTTCCCAATGTATGACAAAACCCACTGCAATGTTGTGAAGTAATTAGCCGCCAACTAATAAACATAAATGAAAAAAAAAAAAAAGAAATGTCCTTCCCATTAGCAAAATGAAGCTGTTAGCAGTAGCTAAAGTATATATAAGAACTAATAAAGCTGAGAAGAAATACACAGTATAATATTAAGGAGCAAAATATATTTTATTCATTTTTTCAAAATACCTACATAGAAAAGTTATTGTAAATAACATAAATAATGTGTTATGCTTTCTGACTCAGAATAACCAACTTCTCAAAATCTTAATAAGAACTTTGTTGGAGAACAGAAGAGAAATGCTACTGAACAACTTTAGAAACATAAAATATATATATATATATATATATATATATGATTAAAAACCTGAGTTTTTATTTGCAGCATCTTCTTGGTTCTCAGCATTTGAAGTGGCTAAATTTTGGTCTAGAGATACAACAGCCCTTTTATCTTCATATGTTCTTGCATCTGGGTTATGGTAGGCATCTATATTTTGTCTGTGCATCCTATTCAAATCAGCTGAGAGGGAAAAAATAAGCCATTTATTTCAATAAACATATTTCTATAATTACTATGCTTAATACATTTTCTTAAAGTAAGGAAATGAAGAGAACCAACAGGACCAGAACTGGAATAATTAAACAGTATCTTGGTACCCTGAAAACAGAAACAAGATTATCAAAACTTGTAAGAAATTTTTTCAAAAATGTTACAAAATAAATTCAAAATTAGTACTTAGAGAGAACTTAAAGAGTGTATATGTTTTTGACAATCCATAAAAACCATATTTATATGTAGCTACCTTAGAACTTTGACTATCTAAATATAGAACAAATAGTAACAATTCAAAACTAGTCACAGTGAAATCTACCCAACATCATTAGTATTCCTAATGAAAAAATATCATGTGGAGTGGAGTTTTTAAACATATTCATAAGTTTTTTTTTATATAAACATTCCTTAAAAGATGGAGCTGTATTCCCCTCCTCTGGAGTGTGGATTACTTCTTATGAAAAGGATTCTGCACAACAATGACGGAATAAAGCTTTCGAGGCTACTTCATAAAAGACATTATGTTTCCATCTTGCTAGATCTATTGGTTCACTCACTTGAAGAAAGCCAGCTATCATTCCATAAGGACACTCAAAGGAGCTCTAAGGGGAAGTCCACACAGCAAGGAATTGAGGCTTCCTGAGTCATGTGAGGGAGCCACAGAGAAAACAGACTCTCCAGTCCCAATCAAGCCTTTGAACGACTTTTAGCCCTGACTGACATATAAAAGGGTGAATTCTATCGTATGCAAATTGTCTCTCAATAAATGACATAAAAACAAACATAAATCTAACTGGGGCATGTATAATACATAAAAAAATTTAAATACCTAATCAAATATACATGAAGCAATCTTGCTATTAATCAATTAGAACTACGAGATATTTTTGCTATCTTTCAAACTGGTTAAGTATTTTTAATTTTTTTTTTTAACTTTTCTCTTGGTGTACAGTTTTTAAAAATTTTAATACAGAGTCAAGTAACATCACCATAATCAGGAATTGGAACAGTCCATCACCCCCAAAAATTCCATCATAGTTACTCCCTGTCCTCAGCCATAATCTTAGTACCAATGATTTGTTCTCCATTTCTACAGTTCTGTTATTTTGAGAATATATGTGTATGTAAAAGGGCTTCTTTCCCTTAGGTCTTCTCTTTGGAGTCTCCCAAATTGTTCTGTGAATCAACAGTTCATTCTTTAACTGCTAAGTAGCATCCATCATATGAATGTACCACAGTTTATCCATTCACTCACTGTAGAATATACTCGGTTTTTTCTTTATAGGAACTTTAAAAAAGAACTGAGAATGGAAACAGATGTTAAATGTATTACAAATAATCAAAATGAGAGGTACTTACTCTCAAAGGGTTGACACTATGTTAAAATTGTATGGGTAACAGATTTTGATATTTTATTAATAACTACCTTACAAAGAGATCTTTCTGAGAGCTAAGAATACGGTGAACATTCAATTTCTTTAATTTCTTTGTAATAAAAGATGAAAGATGAAACAGGAGTAATTAGAAAAGCCAACAGCTGAATTAAAGTCATCCAACATAATCCCTGTTATACAGTCTTGGCCATCTCATGAAGTAAAGGAAAACACTGATTTTTACTACATATTGGGAATATAATAGGAAAATTAGGTTCCCTCTCTTTCTCTCAAATATAACAGCTAAATACAAAACACTCTTCAAGTTTACTTGCTTTGAAAATACCATTAAAAAAGAGTTCCACTGCATTTGATAAAATAGCACACCTTTTTTATTTCATGGCATAACTGAAGCATTAAATAAGCAAACTAAACATTACCATTAAAAATAAAAACTTCAGAAAGGTCTGCTCCATCCCTGTTAGGTCAAGCAATTCTAAAACAATATACTATAATTCAATAACAAACACTTATCCTACTCACTTCCACCAATTAAACATATATAGGACACTATAATTATATTGTCTGAACTGGAAATAATCTTTGAGGCAAGCTGGAAGCTTCTAGGAAATTATTCCAGTGTTTCCCAAAGTTTCTGTTACATAAGCACTTCCTTCATGGTAACTATTATGCTTCTATCGATTCATAATTTAAATTTATTACAGCAAAGACTGGGTAGATGGTTATCAATTTTATGTCCTCTGCCTGGGTATAAAGAAACCCTTCCACCCTCCCAAGAAGTTACTTTAGAACCTTACAACTAGATTTGAACAACTGAACAAAGACAAAAGTGATATTTCTCCACCTTTAGGTCAGGCCCCATCAAAATTCTCAACTTGTTCTCCCATCCTCTGGACCACGCCTGTGCAGCTAGAAACGAAAGACTCCAAAATGGTAAGAGCGACACTGGAAGAGGCAGATTCCCAAGTCACCTCTTGGAGGAGAACCACTCAAACAGCATCGGAATGCAGTTTAAGTGAGAAGTAACTTACACTGCCTTAAGCCTGTGAGAAATGGGAGTTGTTAGACCACTTTTCGTTTAAATGCCTTTACTTTCAAAGGAAATGTTACAGTACCATCCATAAATGGAAAACCAGTAATATATTTTTTTCCAGTAATATATATATTTTTTAATATATATTCAAATAAACATTTAATTTCAAACATTAGAAATGTTAACCATGGATCACCTAATATCATCTTATTTATAAAAAGAATAAGAGTTCTAACCTTCAAAACTATGAAGAAAGCATGAGGTGAATATAGGAAAGGAATAAATCCATCGGAGAAAAAAAGAGTTACCTCACATTAATCTAAGTGGGCCTCAGATATATCTTTTTTAAAAAGCCATCTTAACAGAGAATCAAAGGTATAGCCATTAAGAACTCTAGTAACTCAATAACCCCCAATATCTCTGACTGCGTCACTGTTATCCCTACAACAAAGCATAAACCTGAAGAACGTCAAATTTACTTTCTATCACTCTAATGGGTTTTCTAATTATTCATTTCTCATTTCTAATTAAATGATTTTTAAAAACACATTATCTTTCTCTGCTTTTATTCTAAGCTAACTGAAGACCATCCCAACATATATAACAAGTTGCAAAAAGTCTCTTTTCAAAGTGTCCATTGTGTTATTTCTAGATGAAACATTTTTAAGAATACATAATTAAAAGATAAATCAATATAATTCTGCAATCTGCCAAACATTTCTGAGGCCAGGTTTTTGTCAGGAGTTCCTGCATTGTGTGAGCATATGGCATAAATAAATTAAACATAACATTCCACAACTACATCAGATCACTTAAGATACCTTATTAGTTTAAAAATATTGCAGTAAGGATTTTATTATTTTTACTAGAAAACTTTAAAAAATTCAAACTACTAGTTTGGGTAAAAACTTGCTAACTAACATAAACTTTTCTCTGCCAATGAGTTATTATCATTAGAGGGTGAAAAATTTGTAATAATAATAAATGAAGACAGGCTTTTTAACATGCTATCATGTTTACTATCAAAATACCTCTTCTGCATCAAGCTGTATAAAAAGAGACCTTTCCTTACAGACTATGATTCCCACTTCTTTCTACTCCCCATTCTTTTAAAAAGTTAAACTTAGTTTCTTTTAAAAACAACAAATCAGGGACTTCCCTGGTTGTTCAGTGGCTAGGACTCTGTGCTCCCACTGCAGGGGGCCAGGTTCAACCCCTGATCAGGGTACTGGATCCCACATGCTGCAACTAAGACCTGATGCAGCCAAATAAATAAAATATTCTTAAAAAATCAACAGAAATAACATACTTATCAGATTTCCTTTGTCATCTCTCAGAGGAGCACCACCTCCACCTTTCCCCCAGGGGTTATAACTTCTCATTTCAGCTTCTAATTTGGCTTCATATACTTCTTTTTCTTCACGTTCTTTCTTTCTTCTTTCTTGTCTTTCTTGAATCTTAACAACATTAAGAAACATTTATAATAACTGATAACTGCTAACAAGTATTCTGATACAAAAAAATAGTTTTAAGATCAGATTTTATTTTATTTTTCTTATTAGAAAACTAGACTTTTTCCCAGTATACTTTATCATAAATTTAATATCACAAATATATGTAAAAGCAATTAAAAAACACTTTGGTAGCTGGAATACATAGAGGGTACTCCCTCACATCCTGTCACTTGAGCCCTTTCCAGCCACTGGTGCCACTTGGACTAAAGCAACTTCATCTTCCCAACCCCCAGCTATTCTCCCCCAGCTACCCTACCTGAGCTATTCTCTCCCTAACCTCACCATTTTCATGGGGTCCAACAGACTCTCCCTACCTTCATTTTCTTCATCTACCCTTTCATGGTACCTGGCCAGCCACAAACTACTCACCACATCTCTGAGACCTTGGCCAACTACTCCCTACCCATCACCAGACCTACTCTACCTTGGGCAAACTCCATTCCCAAAGTTCAAAGATACTGAAGGTTCAAGGCTCTCTAGAGAATGCCAAGCTATTTAAGTACACTTTGTGAAAGCACATAAAACGGTCTTATCACCAAGTGTAAGCATAGGGTTGGTCTTTAAAGACATAGAAATAGGCAATGAAAGATCTACATTTTGGAAAGTTACTTTCAAAATCATTACCATATGCAAGGCAAATTTAAGTAACTACTCCAGGAAGGTCAAGGAAGTCATCATATAAAAAATATTTAGGGTTAGGAAATCTGGTTCTGTCAGTGGTATTTTTAATATGCTCATTTGAAAACAGATAAATACAGTCGCTTGTTTGTAGATTCCTAACACAAAAAAATAATGTTGGTACTTGTGTAATTTTAAAAAAGCCCACTTTTCAAGGAGGTTGCCCAATGTAGAAAACAGAACAAAAATCTGAGCTTTAGAAAAAATCCAGTGGAATTTTGTAGAAGGGTACCTCAGGTGAATATATATACCTAGAGTTCCAGGGACCTCTCTGGAGAAGATATAACTATTCCCCCCAAAATCCACATATTTGATACAGTTATTCCTAAGTAAACTCTCTCCAAATATTACAAACCACAACAGAATGTCATCCTCCTCCCTAAGTGTTCTACCTCTGTTTTCCCTATCCTTAAGAGTTCATAGCTTCATCCTCCTCTTAGATTACAACACTCAGAATCACCTTACAGCCCTGTTCTTTCTTCAGTCCCTAAATTTAAATCCTATTAATGAAACCCCAGAACTGTCTCTTCCGATGTCCTGTCCATCTTCCCCACCTGGTACAGGACCTTGTTACTTCCTGGCTAGACTACCTAATAGTTTCTCCAGCACATCTCTTTCCCAACTGTCCACATCACAACCAGATATCTTCCTAAAAGCCACATCTGCTCACATCAATTATAATATTTCTTTCACTCTTTGGCTTAAGATTTCCTCCCTTTGGCTGTCGATAGATAACAAGATGAAACTGAAAACCCCTTACTTGCTATCTTCCAAAATCCAGTATAATCTAACATTCCAGCCCCTTCTCCAGCCCCACTTCCATTTCCTGAATACACCAGGAATTTCATATTTATTCACTATGTAACATGCAACTCAAAAGTCATCAACCATGTGAAGCCATCCTAAAAGCCAAGGCAATTACTCTCCCTATCCCATGCATTCCAGCCTGTCTATATCAAACTTTACCACATTTAATGATAAATAAATGGAATTCTTTCTCCTCAGCCACACTCAGAGTTTTAAAGGGCCACTGTACTAACACATAAGATGTTTAACATTACATGAATGAACAAATGAAAAAAATGAATGGATACCTGCTGCTGCAAAGCTTCCTGGTAAGACTGAAGTGACTGTTTTGAAGGCTTTGGTTTATCTTCAAAAAACAATCCTGAATTTATTGCTCGATTACTTGTAATTCTGAGCTCATTCTGTCCAACTGTACTCCTACATCAAATATACAATTAATAATCTAAATCCATTTATGACAAAACAAGGAGAAGATGCAACACTTCTTTGAAATAGCATGGCATATAAGTACATTTAAAATAGAGAAATGGCAAACTACTTCAGTATTCTTGCCTGGGAAATCCCATGACAGAGGAGCCTGGTGGGCTATAGTCCATGGGGTCGCAGAGTCAGACATGATAAAGCAACTAACACACACACAAAATAGAGAAATTCCTTCTATATAGTTCAAAGAGAAATTTGTCAGTTAATGACCCCTATCTCTGCTTTCAAAATTAATGGAACTTTCAAATTTACTGAATCTACTTCCTAATCTAGGTGGCAGTTATATGCAAGTAAAACTTTCACATACAAATAAAAACACTTGTGATAATTCATCAAGTAATATACACATGACTTATGCACTTCTCTGAATGCAGTGGAAGTCCCTCAAGTAATATCATAACTAATGATTCACTTTAAAAATTTACTCCAAAATAAAGTAATAACTTCTGAGCCATTTTAAGAATAAAACAAAAAATTACAGTAAAAAGTCCAACTATCCCAAATAAAATTTATTTCACTGCGTCATAGATTTTATTAATGGCATCGATGGTATAAGACTAATAAAATCCCTAAAACCTTGCCCTGTTTATGGAGGCCTGGGATGGGAATTGTGTCAAAGGTGAGAGGTTCCAACTGCTGGGTAAAGTTATAGCAATGATTCCGTAGTAATTGAAGGCCCCTTCTACCATTCGTTTTTTTTTATTTTCTTTTCCCCTGGTAATCCAGGGCTTGCACTTCTTAGAAATTATGCATAGAGAACTCACCAAACTCAAAGTAAAAAGGCTCAGAGATCCATATCTATACACATCATAGTCAATGTGCCCAAAGAAAAAGAGAAGAACCACAAAAGCAGCAAGAAAACAAAAATCATATACAAGGGATCTTCAGTAAGATTAACAGCTCATCAGAAATCCTATGAAGGCCAGTAGGCAAGGAAATGACATATTCAGAGAGATTATGGCGGGGGGGAGGAATTCAACCGAGAATTCTGTATCCAGGGAAACTATGCTTCAAAAATAAAAGTGAAATTAGAACATTATTAAATAAAACTCAGAGAAGACATCACTAACTGACCTATAAGAAATAGTAAATGATGCACTTCCAGTTGAAATAAAAAGCACTTGACAGTAACCGGAGTAAACACAAAGAAATAAAGAACACCAGTTAAGAGTAACTACACAGGTAAAGGTTTAAGATATTACAAATATGCTTTTATTTACAGCTATATTCTCTGATTTAAAGGACAACTACATAAAGGAAAGAAGGAACAGTTAAAAACTATTGATGAGCTTAAATATATAACAACACACTTTGTATGCAACAGTGGCATCAAGAAGGGAAGGAATGGCATTATACTGGAGAAAATGTTTTACATATTATGGAAATTAAACTGGTGTTAATATGAACTCAGTTCTTTTAAATTAAAAACATAAATTTCAGTCTGCAAGGAAACCACAAAGAAAATGAAATACAAATTATACTAAAAGAAGCAAGAGAATTAAAATGGAATGCTATATTTAACACTAAGAAAAAGCATTACTGGAGCCAAAAAAAGGAATCTTTTATATTGATAAGGGTCAACTTATCAGTAAGATATAATGATTATGAGCATATGTACACATAGCTACAGAGATTTGAAACATAGGAAACAAAAACTGACAAAATCAAAGATAGAAATAAATCAAAATAATAACTGGAGACTTCAATACACTACTTCTAATAATAAACAACTGCACAAGAGCTCAGTAAGGAAATACAGAAAAACACTATAAACCAACTATATCTATAGTGATAGAACTATCCACCCAACAACAGGAAAATGCTAATTTTTCTCAAGTGCATATGAAACATTCTACAGCACAGATCACATGCTATAAGCCTCAATTATAAAATAAACCTTAATAAATTTAAAAAAATACAAAATATGTTCTCTAACTGCAATGCTGCTGCGATGTCACTTTAGTCGTCTCCAACTCTGTGCACCCCATAGATGGCAGCCCACCAGGCTCCTTTGTCCCTGAGATTCTCCAGGCAAGAATATTGGGGTGGGTTGCCATTTCCTTCTCCACTAACTGCAATGGAATTATATTAAACCTCTATTAAAAATTTCCACAATCATATGGAAATTAAACAACACACTCCAAACTAACAAATGGATCAATGAACAAATCAAATGAAAAACTGAAAAATAATGAAATGAGTGAAAACAAAAAGATAATGTATAAAATTTAAGGAAGAAGATAAAAAAATAAGAGGAAAATTTACAGTTGTAATATATACATATTAAAAAAGAAGACACTATATCAATAACCTAAACTTCCATCTTCAAAAACTAGAAAATATATGAGCAAACTGAACCCAAAGGAAACAGAAAGAAGAAAATAAAAAGAAAAAAGAAGAAATAATATGAAATTTTATTTCTAAAAGCACAACAGAGAAAATCAACTAGACCAAGAGCTGATTCATTAACAAGATCAACAAGACTGACAAATGTTTAGTCAAAATGTATAATAACAAGACTAAAATTATTGAAATAAAAAAATAAGAAACATTACTACTGACCTTATAAAACAGATTGTAAGGGAATACTACAAACAACTATATGCCAATACATTAGATTATCTTGATGAAGTGGACAAATTTCTAGAATGACACAAACTATCAAAACTGGTGCAAGAAAAAAATTTTAAATATGAATTAACCAAAGACAAGGGAAGAGATTAAATTAGTAATCAGGAAATTATACATAAAGAAAAGATGAGGTCAGCAGACAAATGGATGAGGAAGCTGTGGTACATATACACCATGGAATATTACTCAGCCATTAAAAATAATTCATTTGAATCAGTTCTAATGAGATGGATGAAACTGGAGCCCATTATACAGAGCGAAGTAAGCCAGAAAGATAAAGACCATTACAGTATACTAACACATATATATGGAATTTAGAAAGATGGTAACGATAACCCTATATGCAAAACAGAAAAAGAGACTCCGATGTATAGAACAGACTTGTGGACTCTGGGAGAAGGCGAGGGTGGGATGTTTCAAGAGAACAGCATCGAAACATGTATATTATCTAGGGTGAAACAGATCACCAGCCCAGGTTGGGTGCATGAGACAAGTGCTCAGGCCTGGTGCACTGGGAAGACCCAGAGGGATCGGATGGAGAGGGAGGTGGGAGGGGGGATCAGGATGGGGAATACATGTAAATCCATGGCTAATTCATTTCAATGTATGACAAACACCACTGCAATGATGTAAAGTAATTAGCCTCCAACTAATAAAAATAAATGGAAAAAATAAAAAATTTTAAAAAAGAAAAAAAAAAAAGAAAAGATGAGGGTAAACTGGATTCCTGGTGAATTCTCCCTCACTGAAAAAATTAACAATGCTTTGCACAACACACTCTTCAAAGTAATAGAAAATGGAAGAGCACATCCAACTAACTATTAGGCCAGTATCATCCTGATACCAAAATCAGACAGACTTCAAAAGAAAACAAAAACCAAAGACCAGTATCACTTATGAATACAGAGACAAAAGTCCTCAACAAAAAACTAACTAACTGAAAAGTCCAGCAAGATATGAAAAGGACTGTACTCCCTGACCATGTGAGATTTACCATAGGAATGCAAGTTGATTTAATATATTTGAATCCAATAAATATATCCCCACCATACTAACAGAATGAAGAACAAAAACCATAGGATATCTCAATAAACACAGAAAAAGCATTTCACAAAATTCAATTTCCAACTCAGTAATATGTTGAAAGGATATGCCAAATATGCCTTCCTGATAAAAATAATCAACAAGGAATACAAGGGGACTTCCTCAAGCTTTTATTAAAGCGATGTGAAAAATCTGCAAAAACATCATACTTAACGGTTAAAGACTGAATGCCTTCCACGTAATAGCAGAATAAAATGAAAAGGCCCACTCTCATAATATCCATTCAACACTGCACTGGATGCTCTAGTCAGGGCAATTTAACAAGAAAAAGAAAAAGCATTAGATGGAAAGGAAGTAACCTCTACTACCTGATGACATAATTATATATACAGAAAAATGCTAAGAAACCCACCAAAAACTGTTAGTAATGATAAAAAGAGTTCAACAAAATTGCAGGATAAAAGAATTAATATACAAATTTCAACTGTATTTCTATAAACCAGTAATAAATAACATGAAAATGAAATTAAGAGAATATATTCACAACACCATCAAAAAGTATTAAATAGTTTAGAATAAATTAAACAAGAGCTAGTCTAAAAACCACAAAACACTGTTGAAAGAAATTTTATTTATTTTTTTTTTCATTTATTTTTATTAGTTGGAGGCTAATTACTTTACATCATTGCAGTGGTTTTTGTCATACATTGAGATGAATTAGCCATGGATTTACATGTATTCCCCATCCCGGTCCCCCCTCCCACCTCCCTCTCCATCCGATCCCTCTGGGTCTTCCCAGTGCACCAGGCCCGAGCACTTGTCTCATGCACCCAACATGGGCTGGTGATCTGTTTCACCCTAGATAATATACGTGTTTCGATGCTGTTCTCTTGAAACATCCCACGCTTGCCTTCTCCCAGAGTCCACAAGTCTGTTCTATACATCGGAGTCTCTTTTTCTGTTTTGCATATAGGGTTTTCGTTACCATCTTTCTAAATTCCATATATATGTGTTAGTATACTGTAATGGTCTTTATCTTTCTGGCTTACTTCGCTCTGTATAATGGGCTCCAGTTCCATCCATCTCATTAGAACTGATTCAAATGAATTCTTTTTAATGGCTGAGTAATATTCCATGGTGTATATGTACCACAGCTTCCTCATCCATTCGTCTGCTGATGGGCATCTAGGTTGCTTCCATGTCCTGGCTATTATAAACAGTGCTGCGATGAACATTGGGGTGCACGTGTCTCTTTCAGA